GTTTGGGATTGATTGATTGGGAGGGGAGAGGGATATATTGTGTTGTGTATTGTAAATATATTGTATGTACTTTTAAAGATGGATAGAATTGATGGCGGGATGTCTGAATATGAAGATTATATTTTTTCTTGGTAAGATTAGCTAATTATGTGGTTTTGACGGTAAGAGTTGTGTTATATTGTGAGATTTATGTCATGTTATGTTGTAAGACCTGTGTTGGTCTTTGGGTTTTGCTGTGTATGTATGTATTTACTATTCACTCTATTTAACAGGTAGGTAGGTAGATTAGGTACTCGGTTCGGAATCTCAAATGTATGTATGTCCGTAGGTTAGATGGGTAAGTATTGTAAGACATTTTTTACCTACATATTGCTGTTTTTCTGTCTTTCGATGCTGCTTTAAACAACTCAAATAGATATTGAGCTGTTCCCCTTCAAGATTTCGAATCTTGAAGTTTTTGATGATTTCAATGAAATTTCAACGAATTCATGATTTTGAAGCCTTTGAAGTTTGTGTAATCTCTCTTAATCGATTAGAAATAATCATAGATTAAATTCTAAAATAGAAAATTAATGATTTCAAATGATTTCGAATAATTTTGATTGATTTTTACTAGAAAAATGAAAATTTACAATACTTCAACCATCTAGACAAATTTTCAATCAGCATGATGATATTATTAATCAAAACCCCTGTAAACGAGGAAGCACGGTCATTTTTTTGGTGTATCTTACAATACTTTCCCCAGCAACCTCCGTAGTCTATCTAATTCTATCTAGGTACTGTTCCGCTGTGATCTGTCTACTCGGTGCGGAATGGAATCTCAATGTACATGTATGTACTATGTATGTATCAGAATCTGGTAGTGTTTTTTAGCGTACCATCGGGTGGATCTATCGATGCAGTACAAAGTATGATTATGTTTTCAGCTCGGGAATCAGGACAGGACAGGATGGGTTTTGGTGGATCTTGCGTGTACATGTGTGTATGTGGATTGGCGGATGGACGGATGAGATCGCTAGAATGCAATGTAAATGTAATGTAATGTCGAGATGCCTGAATGGAACTTTTTGGGTAGATGTTTTGGATGGGGATGGTGTAGATGGATCTGGATTGAGGAGTGGTGTTTTGGATGGAGTACCGATATGTGTACAGATACCTAAGTAAAGAGAGCATTGGGTATGTATGTACGGCGTATAGAGTAGTGGCTGTGCATCGACCGTCGTACGAGGTTTGAGATCTTTCATGTTTGAAGGCCTGAGTGGAACATATCCGTCCGTATATGTGAGTAGGTGGAGATGAACGTATGAATCTACTTTTGAGTATTTGGGCTTTTGGTAAGTTTTAAGATCTTACAGTATGAATTTCTTGTTATTTTCTCTGGTGTATCGATAAGGTTATCGTTAGTTCTACTGGCTGGTTTCAATCATCGCAAATCCAAGATCTTCAATGTCTGCAGGCCTGAATGAATTCTTGGAAATAAAGTATACCCACGGAGCGGAGGTGTTCGAGAAAAAGGAATATCCCCATTTGATCGACACGCAATCGATTGCATCTATTATGAATTGACCACTCCTCGACATTTCAACATGGCTAGATCCGCAAGCCTTGATTTCATCCACACACACACGCCATATTAATACCTTAGCGATCGAATATAGGAGAGATCTTCACTGCTTCCACGCCCAATGGAACTTTTCGAACATTCGAAAATCACGGTAACAAGCACACCCGAGTATTGCCGACGTGGCTCGAGATCGACAACAAGGTCTTTCAATTCTGGGGGCCCAGTTTCATCACATGATCACACATTCATGGTTAGTTACTTTTCGTACGCCTTGCGCACAAGGCGAACATTGATTCTAGTGACAAGTTGACAACGAGGCGAACGAGGCTGTGAAGACCAGGGCATCCTTGATGAAAATGTACCTAGTCTCACCTAACGCCACTTGGATTTTTGGAAGAAAAGGAATCCGCGAATGGGAGTTGAGAAGATAATGCATGAGAATAAGTGGGAATGCTCGAATCTAGAATTTGGAAGAACTTCCTTGGAAAATACCTGGGTTTTTTTTTTCTCGTTCATGGACTTACTCTGTACTGTACTTAATACTTCCTCGCGAATCATTACTTGCGTAGGGTGTAGGTATGTGTAGGGCTAGATGCGGAGACTTCCCGGCCGTCTGTCTACTCCGTCAGAGTAGAAGCTAACTTATTAGTTATCGTATCGGTTTATTCATTGTTCATGTGACCCAGGCTAGAATTGAATTGGTATTTTCCCTTTGCTTTTTCTCGCTTGGTGACCTGCTATTTTCGTTTTAAGGTTTGTTTCCAGCTTGCGGATTGGTGCTATGCGAGTCCTGATTCCGCGGGATGATGCGTTTGTTATGATTGGGATTTGTTGATATAGGGTGCATATCGTCATGATGGGTCCGGACCTTGGTATTTGGGAAGGGCCTGGGGGATGCGTACTCCGTATCGCTATCTATTATGGCTGCATGCTGAAGATTGGTAGGGTATTGGATGCTGTGGTGTGGAGACTGGAGTCGATGTGGATTTGAGGATATATATAGAGGGTTGGTACTCGGTCGGTGAAGAGGAAGTTTTTTTTTTTTTGAAAGGTATATGAAGACAATTGTTCTTTGGGTTATTGATCGTTTAATTGCTATACATATACACGAAGAAGAAATTTATTAAAGGTTTTGTTTAATATTTATTTATCGGTATCTTCGGACAGACAGACACATAGATACAGACAGTATATAAAGAAAAGAAGTTAAAATGTGTTTATTCAATAGTAAGTAAATTCCTCTCCCCATTCAATCCGAGCTTGATACATTCTACACCGTCCAGCATTCTTACCCCAATTCTCTAAATACCCGCTAACATATCCCCTCCCTTATAGTCCAAAGACGAGACATAGTCTTTGTCGACCGTCGAGCTCCCGCGCAATCACTCAATAGTCCGTCACGACGTCCTCTCACTCCCGTCCCGTTTCCCGCGTCTCGGAAACAATCATAAGACAACATAGCCACCACCGACCTTCTACATCCATGACTGAAATCCACCGACATTCAACCTCAATGTCCGAAATGCAGCGCGCTCAAAGTCACAGACATTCCGCCTCTATGACAGAAATTCACCAAGCTTCTGCTCCTCCAACCCCTAAACCAGTAACTCCTGTTCCTGTTCACGCGTACATGGCTCCGCCGACTCCTCCAGCTTCTAATTTCGGTTATCCTCCGCCACCTCCTTCGGCTGCTGGCGGATATCCTCCGCCTCCTGTTTCGGTAGCTCCTCCTCCACCACATCAATATATACCACCACCACATCAATATATACCACCTCCCTCACCATCGGTTATGCCCGCAAGCCCATTACCATCATACCGCGATTTATCACCTCCTCGAGTACCTACTCCTCCAGAGGAAAGCAGAGTCGAATTAATAAAAGTAGAAGAGGAACACTGGCCACCACATTCACATTCCCGTTCACATTCACGTTCGCATTCCCACGGAAGATCCAGTCCAAGCGCAAGCCATGTATCCCGAAGAAAAAGCAGAAGAGGAAGTATTACAAGCGGCAGAGATAGAGAAAGAAGCGACAGAGAAGAAATCTACATTCAACGCGACCGCATCATCGAGCGCGGAACACCATCTCCACATCCCCCTCCAAGTCCTAGCTCCTTTGCCAGAAGAGGAAGTCGAAGTAGCAGGGGAAGCGGAACCCCAGAACCCGTTCTCAGTGGTTATAGAACGGTAGAGGGTACGGGATGGGATCGCGATCGCGATCATGTGGATAGGAGACCTATTACTCCGAGTGGGTATAGGGTTGTTGAGGGGCAGGGGGGTAGGAGGGGTAGTGGGGTGGGCGTGGGTAGTGTGCATAGGGAGAGGGAGTGGGAGAGGGAGAAGGGTTCGATGTCGGGTTCCGGGTCGGATTTTGGTGGGAGGAGGGGTAGTGTTACGTTTGAGAATGGGCCGAGGGGCTTGGGGAGGTTTGTGGAGAGGGAGAGGGAGAGGGATAAGGTGGTTATGGATGAGGGGGGGAGGAGGAGAGAGTTTTATAGGAGGGGGTAGATGGTAGAGAGTGAGAGGGGTGTTTGAGGAGGAAGATGTTGGGATATTTGTTTTGTTCTATGTGATTACCCATTTTTGCGTTTTTTAGTGTTGTTTTATACCGCTAGATTATCTATGTATTAATGTTTGCATATATTGAGCAAGCAAGCAAGCGAATGAGCAAGCGAGCGAGCCAAAATTCAATAGAAATCCTAATTTGATTAATGTTTATATATATATCTTTTGACATCATTTCCATATTAAATACTTGGTTTTGTAAGATTATATATGGATTGCTCTATATACCAAAAGATCCTACAAAAAGATGTTATATACCTAATTAAAGTTGTCAGAAATAATAAGATTAGATTAGATTACCTACGTAGTAGAAGTAGATTATTATGATGAATACTCGGTCGCGTAACCTGTATCAAGAACTTGTTTCTTTACTAATTACGTCATTTTATTCGACTAGGCTCGACTGGCAAATTTATATTTTATTTTCATCCTATTTCATCCTATTTTGTACCGTCTTATTAGCATGAATATGAATATGAATATAAAGGTCATAATATTTGCTAATCTTACCTAGGTAGGTAGACCTAGATATCTTTCTAACAAGATCTAGTGATTTTAGTTCTAAGATATTTAGTTAATTACATGGTATGTATATTGGAAATTATAAAATAGATCATCGGTCTGGTCTGGTTGATAATGTTAAGATTTAGGAAATTAATTAGGTATGTTAATTATCGGAAAGGTAGTTAGATGATGGAATTCGTATGTATTGGGCTTTTTGAGGAGGTTGGGGCACGAAAAACAGTAAAGTAAAGTAAAGACTTGATATGATTGTTTATTTGTTTGTTTATTTATATAGCATCGAAGATGTATTATAAAATCTCTTTATAGGTTAATTATCATAAAGAATAAAAGTAATGCTAAAAATCTAGGTAGAATAGTGTTTATATTTAGACGGGGAGGTCATATGTGTTTGTTGTTCAATGTGAGGTTAGTAGAGAAGTCTGGGACTTCTTTCTACACTAAAGACCCCAGGAGGCTTAGGGTTATAAAGTCAAAGGAGGAACTTTGTTGCTATGTACTTTATACATAAGCCTGTAGAAGCTGGTAGTTGCTAGAAAGAGTTAAATTACTCGATTGTTTTAACTCCTGCTGTTTAATTTAGCTTGGGTATATGGTATACAAGAATTAGTGAAAGTTTCAGAATAGAATTTACTCGAGTTTGAGAGTCATCGCCATTAAGGTGATGGGAATCTTCTTGGAGCACATTCGGGTACTGGTAAATGATATAAGGAATTGATGAATAAGGTTAATATATTTGAATTGCCGTTGGGAAAATTTAATACTCCCTGAATACATCTTTGGGAGTGTTCTCAAAGTATGGGGGTGGAATTGACTATATTTCTTAATATACTCTTGATGGAGAAAATCTGAGTTTGTATGAACCGATAATGATATGTCCATTGCACCTGCCGGAATATCTGTGTTATTGTCCAGTCAAGGTCATGAAGTGCTAGGATACTGAAACTAGTGCACATATTGAAACTTTTTAAAGCTGTATAGGCTACGAAGCTGGCAGGATATGGCTCCTGATTAGTTCTAGATAAGCTACCTTTAATTATGTCAACAGCTTTGGATCTAGTTGCTACCTTCCTCCAATATAGAAAGAAAAGACACGATGGGTATATATGCACTTTCCATAAATTCTGGTAATTTATAAACTTCTAAACATATATAAGACTGGGAAAAACGAGAAACCATTGTGGTTAAGTAGTTGACTTTTCTAAGGGGATTATTATTATACATTAGAATGGTGAGTATTGCCTCATGTAAATGAACTGATACCATTAGCCGTCAGTTCACCTGCACCGAAATATATAACAATATATGTTTTGCACTTTTAGGAGGGAGACATGGATAGAATGTATATGATAGATTGCTACTCTATTTCCTTTTCCAAACATCATACTAGTGGGATTTTTTGGTTTGTTCACGGGAAATCATTTCTTCAAGCCCAAAATTTTTCACGGCGGTGGAGAGAATCATCATCATATTGAAGCGAGTAGATATTCCACCCTGCGTTTTACAGTCATTTACTGCCTGTGCCAAAAGATATTGCATATGTATTTCAATAAGCAACTTTCTTCCTGTCATCTTCCTACCCAATTAAACGTAACGAGCATTTCAATGTCCCATAGAACAAGGCTTCTCGAGCTCCTAGCATAGTACCGTGATATTCTGCAGCATATATATTAGAAGGTTGTATATATAATTAGGAGGATTTTAAAACTAGTATTTGTATTGTGTTTCCATTTTCAGATACCTGGCTATGTTTTATGACAGATTTCTCCTTTAGAATGTCGGTGAAAGTAGCATTTAGTCCAACGAGAGAGGTCAGATAGATCACAAGGGAGTTCATCTATCGAGTGTTTTTGTACTTGCATGAAAAAGCTTGCATAAAGATCACAATTATCTTTGAAGTAAGTTCATGAAGCCCTGTCAGCCTAATCTTCGTGGAGTTGTATAAAGTGGTGCAGCTGGATCGCAAGGGCAAAAGTGCGGAATATGCGTAAAGGTGGTGTAGATGAAACCCTTCTCCAGATCTTCGTGGATACCTCAACATTAAATGGAAGAAAAATTTCGAGGATATCTATCATCTCATGAATTGCGTTGATAGTCCTATTTCTGAGTTCGTTCGTGCAAAGCTTCTCAGCAAAGATGTAGAGACTGAGTAACCGGTCGAGATCCTCGAGCTTTGATGGAGTTGGTAATGATTCGCGGTACAACCAATGAAAAAAAATCTCGAAAGCTTCGGGCTCATCCTCTGGCATATCCATAATAGATTCTTGGCCCTCCTTGAATCATCCAGCCGAGAAAGTACGGCGAAAATATGGCACGGAATAGCACAACAGCTGCTTGTGCAGAACGAACTTGCGCTTCTCTTTTCCTACAACGATCGCCACTACCTCGTTGCCAAGAGCTCTATATCTGTTAGTGGGATCTTTCATGGGACTCCTGGCGCCTTACATCCCGAGGTTGGGGAATTTTGAAGAAGCCATCTTGTGAGAGACAAAATGCCGACTGACTGTTTGCGTAGACTGAATGATAATTAGCAGCGATGCTACAATATGTGGAGTGGAAACACTACATTTATATCTAACAGTAATCCAGGTTACTTCAGATAATCTGAATCAATGGTGGTGATTGCGAGTGGAAGAAGTCTTGGGATGAGAGGAACTCGAGACAAACAATTTTCTTAAGACGAAAGCCACAAAGTTCAGCCTCGCCCTACAATAAATCCTGGATTCACTTTTAAACTGAGGTCTTTTCTTTTTCAATCAATGAGAAAATGAACATCACAACATTGATTGTTCGCTTAGAATTTTCAAGTCATTTCCTCCCGCATCCACGTCTTCCTGTCCACTAAAAAATAAACACTTCAGCAGAAAACTCTCTGTTCTTGAACGGGCAATTGTTCATATAAACAACGTCAAACTTGATGAGCTCCTGTTTGATAATCAATTCTCCTTATCTCAATTTTCATCAAAATGGGTAATGTAAGTTTACCATTCATCTCAGCAAGTTCTCAAGCAGCTATCTAACATAACTGATCAGAGTAAAGAATATGCGCCAGAAGCTACGAAGCAACGGAACAGCTTCGCAGGCAACACCACTTCTTCAAAGTCACAGAACGGAAGCCAAAGTGCTCATTCCGCTGCTCATTCCAAGACAAAAGCATTGATTAGAGTTGATCCAGATGTCTTGCTCACTGAGTAAGTACGATCCCCATTGTCGCTTGATTGACTTTAAAAATCGATCTAATTTTTAAGTACAGTTCAATGGGCATGGAGACGGTTGTGTTGAAGGTTGGATCCGATGATGGAAATGGTACTATGGTCTTTTCTATCCACAAGAACTTGTTGCAGAGTTCATCCCCTCGATTCGTAAAGATGTTGAATAGCAGAGTTTTGGACAGAAACAAAATCTACTCCATTCACGATACAAGTCCTAGCGTGTTCAAACTCTTTAATGAGTATCTTTACACTCGTCGCGTTCCCGGTGTCAGTCATCGTCTATCTCAATCTGCGCAAGGAACTCGCATTTCGGAGCTTTGTCAACTCTACGTCTTCGCAGAGATCTTCGAAATGGACATAAATTTTCTCAACAAAATTATGGACGCTATTCAGGACGGTCTTGCTCTTAGTTCTTCTCTTTTGACATATGCTCTTGTCAAGAATATCTTCGATCATGCTCAGTCAGAGTCTCCTCTTCGCAAGTTTTGTGCCGCAAGTGCTCTTTACTCTGCAATGACTCCAGGTCTGGATTCAGCTGGATTACAATGGTTGATTAAAAATAGTGATGAATTCTGCAAAGAATTCATGAAGATGCTCGTCAAACTCACCAAGGGCAACGATCCTCGTATTCGCGATGCCAATCAGGAATATGTCAAGGAAGTTAAGCTTAAGGAAGAGGAATTGGAGGCTGGAGGTGCCCCGGTTGGTGCTAATATTGCTGCTGTGGTTGGTCCGGGTGTTCATCCATGTCAGTTTCATATTCATGGCGGATCAGGTTCCGATGCAGAGGGTGCTAGCGGTGTTGATGACGAAGAGATCTGCTATTTGCTCGTTGATCTAGACCTTTAGACAAAACCGAAGCGGCTGAACATTGTCATGAGTTGTTTCAGGGTCCTCATGTTCAAAAATATGGCTTTTATGGGGTGGAAGGCGTCAGGACGGGGTACATGATGAAGTAAAAATACGAGAAACAGTAGTTGATTGCTAAAATTCTGGAGATTTCTAGGATTATTGTGGCACCTCGCTACCTAAAGGTATTTGCTCCTATGTATCATACATACAAATAAATGATTCTACATAACTAGTTTCTTGCCTCCAGCTCACTCAGGTTGATATTCCTAAGAGAACTTTGATCCAGAGTTGAACGACTTTCATTGGTACATGGGAAAGATAATATAACCGACATTGAGTATATCTGAGCTACCTAGTATTTCAAGAATCTGAGAGATCTTTCTTCTAAGAAAAATCGAAATCTTCAAGATAGAAATGAATACTTATAACACCGAGATCAGCAAGAAGCTTCCCAGTCAGATTTCCGAGATGACATAAAGAAAGTTTCCTATGTACTATTACTTTATCTCCTTCCATTTTTCGTGTGAATGATGCGTCATCATCGTCTCGTCATTTGAAGAATATGTCCTGGTACACCAGGAGTCTTGAACTAACTGGGGATGAAATTCACAGGAAGAAATATATCTAACCCTGCCTTTCAAAGTGTTGATTTTAAGGACTAGCTTCAGTGATAAGTTGTATATCTAGACCTTGTGCAGAGGCTGCTGTCGAATGTGATACTCTAGGAGGAATTCCGCATGTGGATATCCATGGGACTTCTTGAGAGCAAGAAAACAGAAATACTTGTCGATTAAATAGTTGGATGGTAAATTAGAATTTTTTGGCCCAGAAAAGATTGGTGATTTTGTCTGACGCCTAACGCGACAGGCGTTACTTGCTGCGCATGTCTATGAATTGTTGGTGGTGCAAGGGATTTAGACTGCGGTATGAATCCTGATGGTATAGTTGATCGATGTTAAATATGACACACTGGCACTTCGTGCACTCCTCGTTCTTTCTGTACATGTAAAGCTTTTTTCTCCCTAGAACTTGAAATCTAATTTCTTTTTAGCTATGTATTTTCTGTTTTCCCTTTAGACAGACCTAATAATGGTATGGTGATGAACCAACATTTTTCATCATGGGTAGCTTGTAATACTGATCAGAATACCTACTAGTGCTGCTGAACTCATAATACCTGTCGACTAATAGAAATTCTACCAACTATCCTAGGTGGTTGGTTGCACCAATCCGATCTGTATGAATTATTTCAAAAATCGATATTAAATAATTATAAATTATAACGTAATGTATGGGGAACTCGGACATATGGGGAACTCGGACACTTTTTCAATTATTCTACACGCGATCTTGTTCTACGAGCCACACAATCCTCCAATTCCAATTCTGAATCATTTGAACTATTCTCTAGCTCTTCTTCTTCAATCTCTTCTTCTGATTCTTCAATTGGGCGCTTGCGTGGTCGTCCTCGTAGCTTTTTCTCCTTAGGTTTTTCCTTCGCCTCATATATTATTTTCAGTATTTCCTTAGTATTAAAGACAAATTGATCTTGTAATTTGACTCTTTTGCCTTTAGTTCTCTTTTTTCGAGTCTCAATTACTTCCTGAGCATCAGCGAACTGTTTCCGGAGTAAGGCTATCTCAGCATTTTGAGATTCTACAAGCCTAGTCATTCTCTTGGCATATCGACGAGTTGATGATACAGGAGAACTACTGTTTGCTAGAGTTGTATTAAAGATCTGATTTGCTTGTATTAGTTCTATCCCATCTGAAGGAGAACTTTTGAGTACAGATAAATCTAGGTCTTGATTGGGGGTTCTCATTTGTAAAATAGAAGGTTGTTGGAAGGAGTTAAATGATAATATATCGAGTACTTTTCGTAGGGCAAAAGGTACTAAACTAGTTCCTTTTTAGTCAAATTTAATATTAAAAGAATTCAATGCTTTTTTTCTAATATTTTGAAAGAGTTCTACCTATTCAGCTCTTTGAATTCGCTTTACACTAGTTCGAGAATATCGATCGATCTTTAAAGCATGATATCGTTTCATTGGTCCATACATTGCAATATTAAGTAGCTGAAGCAAATGAGAGCAATGAGGAGGTAATATAAGTAAATCGATATTCTTCTCTATACAGAAAGCAATAAAGCTGCTTGTAATATAATTTGAATGATCATCCATGATCAAAAGTCAAGGTTGGTCACCTGACACTTTCTTGGATTCTAGTTCGAAAACCCTTTTTAACTATTCTAATCTATGATTATTTGAGGTCTATCCATTCGTATTAGTAGAGAACTGCCAGCTTTGAGGTGTATCCTTTGGAATCCATGCAGAATTCGTATTTTGAGCCTTGAAAATGATTATAGATAATAAAGCCTTTCCAACTGTATTAACATATTCAAATACAGTTATCCATTCTTGCTTACCAGCTATAACTTTCCAATTCGATTTCTGAGTAGAATCGATTATAATACATATACTTTAAGTACTTCCAACTCCAAATCCGATTTTGTCTATATTATATATATCATTTAATTCATACTTTCATTCAATAAGATATATATGAAATATATCAAACCAAGCCTGAATATTCTTCAAAGTTGCCTCTTTAACCTAATTAAACTCTAATTGATGTGAATAGCATGTTTTAAGTTCTGGATATCGTTTTTGGAATCTATAGATCCATTCGTGGCCTATAGATAGAATTTCTGTCGAGGTAGGAATTCGAGATGACGCGACCTGAACACATCGAAGACGAATTTCATCGGTTATTTCCTTCACCAACATAAGTATAGTAGGGAATCCAGTGATCGTGAATCGTGAAATCCATCGTATAAGAGTATTTTCTTCTGCGTTTGAAAGAATTTAAGCCATTTCGTAGGTTTGGGAACGTGTTTTCTTCCCAGCCAGCTTATCAGCTAGAGTGGACTTAGGGACTTCAAAATGCTCTGCAGCCTTTCTAATTGATTTAAATTCTTTTAATTGAAGTGCAACTATAGCCTGTTGAAGCTTCTCCTCAATCTGAGCAGGTGTAAAAGGTGATTGGGTATACATAATAAAAGTTATTAGGGTTTCAAGTTGGCGATGGGCAAAAAGTGTCCGAGTTCCCCATACGTTACGTTATATCATAAATTATTAAATCTTTAATGAAATCTTATTTTAAGATGATTGATTTGAAATTATTATAATAAAATTGAATGTTTTAATATATATATGTCACGGGCTCATAACTTATTCTAGTTAGCCTACATGAACGTGTACGGCATCCACATTCTATATAGTCGATGCTCCTCCTAGTACCTTCTTTATCCTTTTGTAGAATATCATCATATTATGAATAGTGGATAACTAGGCTAATCATGCCTATTCGTTTCATGATGTCGTTAGAATTCGGTAGCTGTAGGGCGTAGAGACTCAGGGTTAATCATTCTGCCAAGGCGGTGACAACACCTACCCCAGGTTTCAGAAGATCTATGAAGAGCAAACGCAATTTACTAACTCCTCTTTGAAGACTGAACTAAATCGCTGTCCTGGGAGAATTTCAAAGAGGCTACTACTCACCTTATGGCTGCCTCCTACAACTAAATTATCTCAAATTTTTACACCGAAAAACTCTCGTATCGTGTCACAGCTGCTGAGATCTCGAAAAGTAAGAGTCTTACCATTCGAATTCGACGACTTTTGAAGGATTCTGGAGTTTGAAAAAGTATAATATGAAACCCAATTTGAAAATGACTATTTCACTGACGGAACTAGAATCTCAGTCTCTAATTGTCGGAATGGAATCCCCTAAAAAATCAGTTCTTATGACTCCTGAGTAAGTCGTCAATCTCTCTTCCCGTTTGCTCAAATGATGGCACATTTATGTTCGATTGGAAACTAACTTTGACCTCATAGGGTCCTTTACGAAAAAGTCACGCTGTATGTAGGCAGTAAGAGGAAGAAGTACATCGTTCATAAACGAATATTGTGCGACCAATCTGAGTTCTTCAATGCAGGATTTAACGGCGGTTTCAAAGAGGCAACTGAAGGAGAAATGTACCTTCCGGAAGATGACCCTACAGCTGTTGCTAATCTCATCGAATACTTGTATCGAGGATCACTCCCGCGCTGTAGGGAGGATGGTGGCAGTGACAAAGTTCGTAACCTTTATTACCTAGCGGAAAAGATTGGCATATCATCGCTGATGGACAAACTTATGGACTTAATGGCAGTTCCCAGAATTCAGCAGACGGGTCATCTGGTCGGGTACGGTTCAGATACGATCAAGGAAATATATGACCACACGCACGAGGAAAGCAAGCTTAGGCTCTTTGTTACGGCTGTTAATGTCTTCAGATTAAGAGATCGAGGGAATGAAAAGAATTGGATGAGCGATCGTGCTAAACTCCTCCACAGTAATCCGGAGTTTTCTCATGATGTGTTTAAATTTCTCGGTAAACATGGAGAAAAGGTCTGGGTTGGGAAGGGCGCTGACGAAGCTTTTGTGGCAGCGTTTGAGCCGTGCTATTTTCATGTTCATGGACAGGACAAAGAATGTTATGTCAACCTCGATAATGAAACTCTGGAAGACAGCGAGGAATATACCTAGAGTGAGGGGTCCGACACTTTAGACTGACAAATTGTCATGGTACGGAAACCCATTGCCCTGTCTGCTTGCATGTCATACATGTTTAGATTCCGGAGCTCCTAAATTTCTTCTCGTGGTGGATAAAATTTAGGTGCTGATGCTGTACTCTCTCAAACACTTTTAGGAAGCCTAATTGACAGATTCCTTGAAAGGTCATCTTTCCATATATGCGAGCAATAATGACATAAGTGTCCATTCATCCAACACGTCTGCTTTATCTGCACACTATTATTGACAGGTGCTATTCAGCATAGTTATTGGTTATTCCCTCACCTCTAGAATATGTACCCAAGGTTGTCATTTCCCATTCACATCGCCCTGCCTTGGATGTCCACCACAACCCTCGTAATTTGTTTCGTTCCCATGATCATCCCTAAAATTCTCAAAAAATCTACACGTCCATGTTTTCCAATCTACCAAGCCTCTTAACGCCGCTAGCGCGCTCGTCCCCTGAACACCTTGGACCGAAACGAATTATATTGTCGCGGTATCTACCCGCGCTTTCTATACTCAAAGATAACCAATTGCAATTCCACTAGTGTAATATCTAAGCCGACATTTGCCTTCTTACAAGCCTTTCCCAATTTCTCTGCAACTTTCCCGTATACCTGTTCATGGGCTTTCCCAATCCCATTCAAATCCCACCCCTCAGACGCCATATCCCAAGTAAAAACTTTCCTTTTCCCCGTTTTCAATGGAACGAGTTTAAATCATTTCCCATGAAATTAATACAACACCTGCCTCTGAAATCGGCACCAAGTTCCTCATAATGTTGCAAAGTGAAGAGAGGCTATTCCAGATCCTCGAAAACTAACGAAACGAAATTTGCTTCCTCGAAGGAGGTGCACCCAGGAACATCTAGGAGAGAAGGAGAAGAAATGTTGAATATGGCATTGATATCTAGATGATAAACCCGTGGGTGACAAGCATTATGGTGTTGCAGAGGTGTTCTCGTTCTGTCTGAGCATCTTCGGTTTTGAAGCTGTTATGATTGGACTTTTCTGATCTATCGTGATAATCTCTGGGAGATTCTGGAATTAAAAAGAAGAAAAAGAACGTAAATTTCGAAGTCCTTGGTTAAGTAGGTCCCTCGTATTCAAGCTAAGATAGATGACGCGACATAGTGATGAGCAGGCTTTAGTTTCTAAGCTAATAAGAAGTCATGATACTTGTGCATCGGTTCTAAGTGTAACTTCGCATCCGGGCATATACACCCAAAAGTCTTAACATAGTCGTCAGATTTGTTGAAAACTTTTAGTACTAATTCCAGAAATCTTAAGAAGCAGGAACATCTTCCAAGCTTCGTCAACGATAACTCACTCTCAACACTTCGCGGGAAGTTGCTAAATATTATGAACGACTCATTGGCCATCTATCTTCAACCTCATCTACACTAACCCCATCTTCTTCATAATCCGATGACATCACTAAAACTTTCTATCTTGAGCTCCAATTTATCTCAGAGTCAAGATGACTCATCCCTGAAAGGTTAAAGGCAATTGATGCGAGATCGCAGCACATAGTATAATTGATGTAGATGCAGCTTCTTTAGATATGGTACTCTACCAACATGATGCACAAAGGTTATTTGAATCTATCGTACTATTTGCAGCTTTGTACTCCATTTAACAAATGTTATCCGAGTCTGATGAAATGGGAGAGAGAGAACACAATCACTATACAGAATAGAACCTCTGTAGTATCTCCAAAATCTGCCTAATAAACATAAAAGTTAATCCTACCTCTCAATATCCCCAGCTTGCAGGACATCGGCATAACATAGCACCACTTAGCTGAGCCATGTATGAAAAGAAGTCTTCACGAACCTTACCTGAGATTTGGAGGTTTGGAAAACTACCTAGGTAAGGATAATCCAGCCATACACCACCCAGGTCCCCTATCTTCATCTAAAAGTGCCAGGATGAGTGTATATAATGGAGATACTAATCTGAGAAGAGTAACAAAGAATACGTTTGAAAAGATAATAAAAGTATTTGAAAGTAAGATGTAAGATATATAGCGTGATCTTACCACAGAATCCCAAATAATAGCACTAGCAATTATAAACATATTTAATCCTCAAACCCAATAGAAATTTTGGAACTTAAAAGATACTAGTAAAACACAAGACTAGATATTTCACAACTCACAAAAACATCCAACCAAAAACTCCTAAACCATCTAGCCAAAAAAAAAAAGCCCCACAAGCTGCTCTGATATAAAAATTCATCCCAAGTTTTCTCATCCCAAGATCACTCATCCCAGGATCAGACCCTAAAAACTACAATATCCATCAAAGTCTTCTAAACCCATCATTACCGCACTATCTATAGCCTATCCTCTTCTCTGCACTTACACTCATCTCGCTTGAGTACCTAGCTAGGAAAATCCAGATTCACTTCGAAGAAGCACCCCGAGGATTCACTCCACTTCCCTTCACTTCACTTCCCTCACTTCCCCATTCATCCCACTCCACCCTGCACATTCGAACCTCTCATACGACAAACCAAGAATCCAACCTCGACACGCTAGTATCGCTTAGGAATTTCCATATCTATTGTTCCATAAACCACCACAGCTTGATCTTAAGAAATCTTTCTTACTAATACGAGAACTTCTCGTGAATAATTTCGATAACTTTAACAACCCACCCACCAACGGAAATCCAAATACCACTCTACTTTCCAACCATTATTTCATCGCGAAAAAATTATCAATAATATCAATTTGGAGTAAAAAAAAGGAAAATTATTTATTATTTGATTCAGATTAATAAACTTACTCGTCATAATGCCGTCAAAGGTGCCACAGAAAAGATCCGCCAGTCCTTCTCCAAAGGCACGTCAGTACAAACGCCCTCGTATCAATCTCGTGAATCATACGTCTGCGACCTCTAACTTCACAGACGACGCTTTGAATAACACTGAGGCAAGCGAAAATTCACCATTATTAAATGTACCGATGGAAATATCTCGAAAACGATCAGCCAGTCCTTCCACAAGGGCGCGGAAGGAGAAACGCCCGCGTTTTAGGCTTACGCCTTCTACGGCTACTACAGGTATTTTCGCAGACGATGCATCGACTAAGACTGAAACAAGTAACACTAAGATTAAGCTTAAGCTCAAGATCACAGTGAACGAAAATCCAGAAGCTTCTAAAATGCCTTCAAAGATCCACCAAAAGCACCCAATCAGTCCTCCAGCTGAGGCACCTCAGACCAAAAGTTTGCGTGCCAAATACACGCCCCATAAGTCCACCACCTCTGGCTTCATAGCCCATGTATCGAGCAACAGCAAGAAGACGATTGAGACAGATCCAGCACCTACCGCCAACCAAATTTTTGCCATTAGGCCTTGTGTTCCCAAATCAGCAGCACCAGATGAAGCTAGCCAATCTGAGGATGCAAAGAAACAAGTGCATTTTATCCAGATAAGACAGAACAATACAGAGAAGCCATTAAACAAGAGCAAGCCCAGGACAAATAAGACACGTCGCAGCAACCAATTTGTAGCCATCAACCCCACCTTGCCAAAACCAGTCACATGGGAGCCTCTAAGAAGTATTGAAGACGTAGGAGATAATGCGGTTGGCACTCGTGTCCCACTAAAAGATCCAGACGATGAGTTGAACAAATTAGTACCTCTTACCGAGTGGCTCGTTCCCCCTGATAAGGCACTCCCTATACCATTGGCCCGGGATCCACTCAAAATATTTGGGGCCGCAGAGAAGAAGTTCATTGCTCTCTGGATGCGAGCAAACAAAACAGTTGGGACACGAGGGAAACATTTAGCCTATCAAAACCTTTTGTACTCCCTAGGCTGCAAAGACCCAAGTTTTGACAAAGAGACCTTGCTAAAATTTGACCATCGGGTCGAGCGCTTCATTTCGAGGATCAAGAAATCGCTGAAGGAATGCGGTGCGATTGCATTCCGAAATGAAGATAAAGTGGAAACATATCCAGTCTTTGCGGATTGGACAGTTGTTTGGTTGGAAGAGGACTGGGATGGAGTATATGACACCAGAGGGTATTATACCGACAATTATCTCGAGAAATACTCAGTAGATCTTGAAGGCCAGGGTGACGACAGGGATTTTGTGGTAGAGCTAGCAGTCGATGAACCTTTCCAAGAGGAGATAGAGACCTTTGTCGTGGAAGTTCCCGAAGACTTCCAGATTCCCAATGTCACAGATGCTGACCCAGGTAATTTCAAAAACCCAGAACACTATTGCAACCCTTATGGGATGGCTGATTGAGGGTGAGAAGTGAGGACCTAGAAGAAATTGGATGGGCAGAGAGGAGTTTTGCATTGTTTCGGCGTTCCATTTGCAAAATTTGACATATTTTGAAAGATATGGAACAAGTATATAGACTACATTCTAGTTAAAAATACCATTCGTTACATCCCTATGAACACGAAAACTCTGTGTGGATTTTATCGAATATTTCGTGGAGCTGTGCGTTTGAAAATACATCTAGTGGAATGCCTTGTGCGGAATGGCTACATCCTCCCCCAGGAGTTTCGAAAAATTTGGTTTGATTGGATGCAGAGATCCAATGTAGTAAGGCATACCGGAATCCCTGTATGGCATTGTAACCTTGTTGTAGTAGTATTGAGGACTTCATTGTCGATCTGGCGGTGAACAGTGACAGCCTTCGTCGTCCATTAAAAACGAAAGTGGAAAACGATTTCAGGTCTGTGATCATTCTCCTTGTATGACGCTTGCATATCCTGGAGGCAAACCATGGTACCCAGGACATCTAAATTTCGTACACCTGCCACGATGGTTATCGAAGAGAAGATTTGTACATGCTTACATTTGTCCCAAACCACAACCTCAGATCACGCCTAGATCGTCATAATGCTTAGGCCATAATCTATATGATCTTTTCGGCCTCCTCGACCAAATCCTCAACTTTGAAAGCTGGATCACCTTTTCCAAACATCTCCAACAACCTACGTCTATCACTCTGTTCCCCTACTGGACCATAAAACTTCTGCAAACACATGATCAACCATTTTGCGTCGTCGACGCTAACCCCTCTCCCTTCAACAACCTGTCCATGTAATAAAACCAACTCCTTATCCTTTTCCAGTTCCAAATGATGAGTAATTGTAGTATGTGGTTGACTGTATTCTCCCCTCAATTTGTATTCTGCAAGATGCGTGAAGAGAACAACGACTGTATTTTCCGCCGGGAAAGTCCATTGCAAGAAATGAATCTCTGCACCCTGACCCTCCTTTGCAAGCGGTAAGACGAAGGTAGGAAACTTCTTTGCTGTGGCTTCAATGGTCTTGTATGTGTGTAAAGGTATCGCTGCGCACAATGATTGTGCATCTTCGACGTGTCGCAGTCGCCAAAGTGCCTCGATTTCTTTCTGTGGTAAAGTGCGTACTATCTCCAGATCCAGGTACGAGGATAGAGTCTTCAGCCCAGGGTTTGAGGAGGATGCCTTCTTGGCGGGAGTTTGAGGTGAAGATGGAGGTGGAGGTGGAGGCGGAGCTGCAGGAAACGGTGATGAAGTAGTCGGAGATGGTGGTGGTGCTGGAGGGGCATTCACGGGAATTGTCACGGTGGCTTTCTTTTTCAGTTCCTCGATCTTAGCTTTGTAGGCCTCCTTTAGTTCATTCACATCTCGTAGACCTTGTCTATAAATTTCCATAAGCTAAGCACATTAATTACTCATTTTCGACTACTTACTCCTTTGCTTTTTGATCAAGCTTCTCCCTATACTTTTCCAGAATTCTATCCGATTGCTGGGTGGCCAAGAATCGAACATCATGAACCTGCGCCCATCTCTTTTGTGAGGATCGCAAATAAGGGGCAGCACCACAAATTGTGCGACGTATTGCCGGAGAACGAATGATTGCCATGTTTGTTGTCGAATAACAATTTTAGTATAACAGTCAATTTTAGCGGCAAGCCTGACAGAACATTAATTGAGGTCGATGAAGTTATATTATGGAGTAAACTAGCGGCCGCGCGGCCGATACTTCCGCTTTCGGGACTTCGGGATATCTCAACTTTCCATTGTGATGCAATCAAAACAAACATGGAAAAGAGAAATATAAGTAAAGTACTCAAGTAACAAGAAAAGAACTAAATATCTTAAGAAAATCTATCCATAATTTATATCCAGAAGACGTTCGTAAAATCTACGTGTATATACGTTCCCTCCCCAAATCTACAACTTCGCTTTCTCATCATCCTTCTTCGCCTGATCTTTCAAAACCCTCCTCAAGATCTTTCCACTTGCACTCTTCGGAATAACATCTACAAACTTAACTCCTCCCCTCAACCTCTTATGACTGGCAACTTTCGCTTGCAACCATGCCATGATCTTCTTTTCCTCTTCTTTATCTCCTACAACTCCTTTCTTCGGAACCACATAAGCTCGTGGGACTTCAGTTGCTTGCTCTTCATTGTAAATGCCAATTACTGCAACATCGTCAATATCTTCATGAGAAACTAGAAGACCTTCTAGCTCTGCTGGTGGTACTTGGAAGCCCTTGTATTTAATCAATTCCTTGATTCGATCAGTGATGTAAAAATTGCCTTCTTTATCCTGATGTCCGACATCACCAGTTTTGAAATATCCATCATCTGTCAAAGCGTTTTTGGTGCCTTCAGGATTATTGAGATAACCCTGGAAAACATTGGGCCCCTTGACCCAAAGTTCACCAGTCTCCCCTGCCGGGACTTCCTTCTCTTCGGCGTTCATATATTTCGCGACCAGATTTGGTAGCAAGCGTCCGACGGAACCTGGATATTTATTCCAATCCTCCCAGGGTTGACTGTGGGTGGTAGGACTTGTTTCGCTAAGGCCATAACCTTGCTTGACAGGTATCTTGAGACGGGCATATACAGCATTGACAAGTTCACGTGTCAATGGCGCCGCGCCTGAGTTCATCATCCTAACAGTCGATAGATCGTACTTCGAAACTATGGGACTCTTTCCAAGCATGAGGACAATAGGAGGGACCACATAAGCAAATGTCGCCCCATATTTCTGTATTGTTTGACAAAACTTTTCCAAATCAAATTTCTCCATTACGAGGCACTCGAGACCTCCGTGGAAGGAGAAATGAATAATGCATGTCAAGCCCTGGAGACGGTCAGTAAAATCCACAAACCTGGAGTGATAAAGCGACCTACATAGATGTGATAAAAGGGAAGAACGGCCATAAGCTTGTCACCTTTGCCATCCTTACCGCCGGTCCAATGCAAGTTGTGCCCCTCAGTTGAATTCGCCATTTCAGTATTCGCAACGATGTTCTTATGCGAAAGCATGACTCCTTTAGGGTGTCCAGTAGTTCCACTGCTATAAACCAAAAATGCTAAATCTTCTGGCTTATTCTTCGTCCTCCTGTATCTCGACGTACCCGCCAAGTTGCGCACATTAGTAAAGTGCTTGAACTTGTGTGTCTCATCCCTTCCATCGCCAATCAAAATTATCCTATATTCAGGTATGCCAGCATTTTTAGCCGCTGCTTGCGCCACCTCTATGAAAGGTATCTGAGTAACAATTCCCTTGGCACCGGAGTCTTTCAACTGAAAGGTCAATTCTTCAACAGTGTATCCAGGATTCGCAGGAGAGACTATTCCACCGGCCCAATGCGTTCCCCAAATAACAGCGGGAGTGTCGATAGAATTGGGTGTGTAAAGGGCAAGAACATCGCCTTTCTTCCATTCCCAGACAGCTTTCAATCCCGTTCCAAATGTGATCGCAGTATCTCGCACTTGCTTGTAGGTATATGACCGTGAAGTCTCAGCATCCGTGTAAATTGCTGGGAAGACAATGGTCAGTAATTGAGCTAAACCGTCGATTCTTTTATATCGGAGCATCGTTAAATGTATTGGTACCTTTATCATCTGGAAATTCTCTATCTTTCCGTTCGAAAAGAAACTCCCAAATATCCACCTGTGGGATTTCTATTTGTGGGTATGTTGATTCTGTAGGCATGTTTTCTTTGGTGTATGTTACCAATAGGCCGGCGCGTCACGAACTGTGTGGAACGAAGAAGATGTGGAATACGGTTATTATGGAGGTATTTAAGCTTATCGAAGGAAAATAGTACGTAGGACAAAGTACGGTGAAGGAAAGTAAGGGGAATTCTCCCTATCTAAATACATTACCCATCGAGGAATATGGTTGGCTGGAGATGTACAATAGCAGGAAGGCTTAAGCATTATGATGTCTGTGTGGAGATGGGGAATTGGATTAATACTCAAAATTTAAGCCGAGCACACAAAAACACCGAGGTAACTTTACCCCAGATCTTGGCATTCGGAAATGTCGGACTCAACAACCCCCGAGATGACTGAAGAAAGATAATAAGTCTAATTCAACTACCGACATTTCGTCTAATTGAATTAAATCATCAACTAGGTCCTTGAGTATTGATAATCTCACATCCATCAATCTCATTGAATATTTTCCAGTGTGAGTTTCCATATCATGACATTATTTATCCATTTCATAGTAATCTCCAAATTTATCGTACTAGTTCTAGAGATTTAGACAAAATAACACAAAGTGTTTGATATTAGGCTTGTATTAGGCTCGGTAGAGTAGCTTTTTCAAGATTTAAGGTTAACAGTCTAGGGCCCCACATCAAGTCTTTTCACCTTCTAGCTAATGTGTGTAGAACACCTAGATATACATCTAATATTTTAATCGATAAATAGATAACCAAATCAAAGTAAAAAATCGTACAAGTGAGCGAAATGTGAGATTTTCCAGTTACCAATTAGTTCTATCTCGAAGAAAAGAAAAGAAAAGCATATTATTAGTTTTGGCGCAGCATATATTCTTTCACCCCTTAACCTTAAAAAATATCAAACTCTGAAAGTCGACAATGAGAACAGATGATTTTTAATATTATTTAAATACTCGAAAATAAAAAGAGACCCTAAAGAGCTCAAATCATCAACCCCTGATACACCTTGCCTAATGATATCCACTGACTCCCTTTGCTCCCGTCAAAATCAAGCTAGTCGCTCCTGACCTGGGGTTGTAATTGGAGGGGAAATATGCCGAAACCAAAAGCCTCAAAGTTGTGGAGGAGATAGGGTGGTAAATAAATATCATGTTGACGTTCTGAGATTTTTCTAGAGGGATTTGCATCAGCGGGTGTCATCTGATGAACAGGAGTAGTGCCGTACCATGGCCTTAGTCTTCATTTTAACCTCTACACCTTCTCCTTGAACTGATCTTTGAGTCATTCAACTTCGTTCTTAAGCTCCTGTATCTCCGTCTTAAGCTTCGGTTGCGCCTGAAATTTCTTAGATTCCAAATCGATGTCATTTTCAAGCCTCTCCTGCTGCATATCTAAATGCGCCTTATTCGTCACCGTCTCCATATCCATTTTCATCTTATTTGTTTCTCTCTCAATACTCAGATTTTCCATCTCCATCTGCACCTTGAAATTTTCCCTGCCCATCTCCATCTCAACCTTAGCTTTCTCCAAGTCAATCTTCGCCAGCTCCAGTTTCAATGAATTTTGGTCATCCTGTTGACGTTTGAGAATCTGGAAAGTCCGGGAAATGGCAGGAGCATCGAATATTTTAGTTAGGGAAACGATCTAAAGACAAGTCAACATAAGTAGTAGTGTGCAGTACCTATTGAATAAAATACTCAAGCAAAGAGCTGGATACAGCCATTGAACATGAACTATTAAGTAAAAGTACACCTGCGTGCTTAAACAATGACAATCAATGAAAGTTCTAGAAGAGTATCATCCACTAGAGCCTTGATACCAACCCCCTAGAATCTGGAAGAATGGACGGACGCAACCCAGTTACAAAGAAGTTTTTCATCTCTAGATTCTAGCATTCTACTCACTACCGTATTCAAGTTGATCTCACTTTTTCGAATTCCCTATTTTAAACCCACTATCACATACACCAAAAGTATCCCCACCCCCATCCCCATCCCCATCCCCATTTTTCACCTCCCCCCAAGCTACCCATAAAAACCACCCGTCTCCACCCCTCTCCCTCCCCGAAAACAAGAAAAAAAATCCCGCCCAAAATCAACCCCAAACCATCCAACCCAACCCCACAAAACTATCTAAGCTAAAAAATCCCTCACACTACAACCCTCCTCTCAATCTAACCACAATATCTCCCTCAATACATCAGTACATCAGTACCCCTTAAACTTAAACAATACCTCCCTAATTCCGAACAACACTCACGCACTAACCTAACCCTAACCAAGCACCCAAAGATTTCCAACGATTCAAATCACAACAAATACATATCCATGAGCAAATAGCGGGACATATAAAGTATACAAGAAGATATACAATAAGCATAGGACACTACACAACGTGAAATCTGATAGTTCTTCTGACCACCTTTCCCATCTCGACAAAAAATCTTTCATTTCTGTTATTTAAATAGACGAGTTCACTTGTGAGCTAGCAAGCCTTTCATCAAGCTTTGGTTCCATCAACACTAGTAATTCATGCGCCTGTTGATCCATTCGCGGTAAATTATAAAAGAGCAGTGTAATTGAAGGAACCGAACATTTTATAAAATCATCAATCACATCACACACACACACAAAGCAAAGTAAAGCAAAGCAAAACAGTAAAGTTTCAAGGTCTAAGCCGGATTGTAGATTTCAAAATTATCTAGAAAAAAGACTAGCACTTCTTCAACCAGCTAGGAAATTTTACATAACTACACAGAATCCGTCGCCCAAAATTTCTAGAAGAGGTGAACAAATTGTGTGAGCTCGCACCACCAAGGCAATTTGGAAACACCTCTCCATTCATCGATCTCAACTGATGTATAACAATAAAAGTTATAAACAGTTGGGATACCTATCCCCCCTTCCAACATCGATGCACCCGGTGCAAAGCTCGAAAATCTTCGAGTGTGAAGCGGTGATACATAGTCACATCCAACCCTGATCGTGACTATAGTCAAGAACATCATTTGACCGCCAAGCCAGTCTCTAAGGATTTCAGCAATATCAGTCTATGTGATACATGTGATCTAGTGACCTCCATCCGACGCGATGCTGAGGTTGCCCTCTACAGCTGTCTCGATGGTCCTCACCCAAATAGACAATACCCGATTGCCTAATTTTACAACATTTTTGTCAACCTTTTTACTAGCGTCGTATTTGTTCTTGATGAAAGGCAATGGTGGGTTTATAACTTCCCCGCCATGGCACTCGTATGATGACGCTCGCGGGCATCAATCGGTGCATTCATAGGCTGTGGCCTTAGTAACTCCTTACTCTACCACAAAGAACCAGTGAATCCTTTCATGTTTGTCATTCAATATAAGTACCAAACAATGGAAAATATGAGCGGCGTGAGTTTTTAGGATATTTGACTATCCCTGGCAGGCGTGACCATCCCACCCACCGGCACATCTGCCGTCGCACAGTTGTATTTGAAAGATACCCACGATAAGCATAAGTAACCCAAACCCCTGAAAGTTACCTCAATTAAGTCGCCTACCATGTTTTCCTAATGTAAATCTTCTGGGGCCGAGTCCCCAACGCTGGCTCCGGAGCAAAGTCGACTCATTTAGCTAGCTTAGTCCCTTACTATCACGCTTTTCTCCTTCAGAAAAGATCCTACAACCGAGGTTACAGTGCGCCCAAGTTAAACCGGATAGAGAAAGCTCTGAATATAGCATTCCCATCGAGGGCAGTATCTTTAAACAGATACTTTCTCATCAAGCTTAACTCGAGCGCACCGTCAGGCGTCCAGACAGACTCTGGACGCCCTGTTGTGCCGCTCACCCTATGTGTACATATATTCATAATGACTTGGGCCTTTTAATGTCATGCCCAGGACAAATTGAAACTCGCAAACTTCGTGATAAAATGGCGAATGCTGACCGTAGGGCGACATGCTCTTCGTTTATGCCGTGAAAGTAAGAACTGCATGCATTTTTTTACCATCGAAGGACGACTATGATAAATGTTGGATGTGTAGGAAATGCTCATTTATCAAGCGGATTATTGTAAAAATTCAATACTTCGAGTTCAATCATCCAACATTCGAGTACTCAGCCAAAGAATTCCCCGCCCACCAACGTCTCCCATGGTTTTGAAAGTTCCCAAACCTTTTCCATCAATGTTCGCGCCTTGTGTGCTTGTGTCATTCCGTACCTCTCAACCCTGTTCATTCGTTCAAGGATATCGGATCTTTGCTTCTCATCTCGAATATCACATCCAGCCGTAAACATTGGAAATAACAAGCAGGCTTCGGCACTGCTTCCTTTCCTAATCTTGCTGAAAGAGCCAAGGATTTCACCAACAGCATGTTGGACATCTTCGTGAATTGAAGGCTTTCCAAGTATTCTGCGATGAAGATGGACGAGTCCAGCAGAATGAAAGGCTTCGTTGGTTGCTGCTACCTCAAGACTATCCCATCCATACTCTGCTTCGGACTTAGATTGCATATGAGTGCATGGCTTCGCTGGGTGACGACGTGACTCAATGAGATCTTCTTCAAGTTTGTGGGCACGGACGACTACTTCATTGGATGGTTGCCAATCTACATTAATTGTTGAATCAGCATTAATGCGAAGAGCATCACATTGGCGCGCAAGATTAGCGACCTTAGCAAGAATGCGGACGCAACGACTGGTGAAACCGAGGATACAGTCAATTTGATAACCATATTCTTCATCTTCCGTTTCATAATCCAGCATCCAAGCAGATGAAAGATTTTGACCACCACTCATACTGCCAAGGACATCCAAGTAGGCAAACCAACTCCATAGAAAAGACGATACCTTATCCTTGCGCGATAGCGTTTGCATTCGGTGGGCTCCACCTCTCGCGACGAGCATTTGACGAGCAAATTCAAGGTGCTTCTGCCATGGAACGGCAACGCCAAAGACCTTTGGGGAAATTATTTCCAAAGATGCAAGCATGATCACCGTCGCAAGGTTGACATTCGACGTAATCTTGTTTGGGTCGTCGAGCGCATGCCTAAGGTTGGGGAAGATATCTTTGACCCACAAAGCTATTCGAGTGGCAGGTTCGGGTTGTCTCAGAAGTCTGGCCCGATGTGTGGCAGAGTATGCAAGTAGAAGATGCAAAAGATCGTCGTCCCGAACGGCCATTTGTGGTAAGATACTACGGAATGGATTAGACGAACAATTGTGCGGTATCAGACAACCTGCTGTGTGATCGAGAAAGTGATGCTAGGAAAGATTGGTTAGATAGCTCAAGCGCAGCCACGAGAAAAGTCTTACAAAGTACTGCATTCAGATTAGCGAGGAGTGACACCAAATATTTGTACAACTCACAAGTAGGTTCATTGGATTTTCAAGCAGTTTCGCAGGAAGGGGTTGAAGTATACGGGGTATGCATATCGAAACCGGTTTGTCATAGTATCCAACTTCAAGAGCCGTCTCATTACTTTCCATTCCGAATCCAAACTCCATTGGTGACAATTCGCCTCCATATTCTACATCAGACTCCTGGTGAAAACCCACTAGGGTGGAAGATGATTCTGAAATGGCGTTTACATCATCATTCCTTCCAATATCCAAATCTACCAGACCCCGGTCAATACCCCATGTATCGGTGTCCTGATATACATCATGCATATATGGAGTCCAATCCTGACTTCGGTAATCCCATCCTGATCCATGGCTCTGGTGATCCGACGGTGCTCCATCAAGTGGTCCCGATAAAAGTGAACTTACGGAGAGCCTGCGTGAATATTTGCGACTTGGTATAGTTTTGATCTTATTAACGTCCACCCTACGTAGTGTCCCGGATTCTACCTGTGACATAGCAGGTGTTGCATTTCGAGGTTCATCGTTGGGGTCCAAACTGGGCACCAGAGGAGGAAGCATGCGTGAGTTATAGAGCGAGCTGTCATATCGAGTGCGTTTAGCAGGTCTTTCCATTGTAGAGCTTTCTGCTGCCGGTGTCCCGCGCCCGCTTCCAAGATATGGCGGAGTTGACATTGGGCTTTCGATATTCAGAGGTGCGCTTCTGTTTGAATTTGAACTTCCAGATTCATCCGCAACTTGAAGTTGGCTAGATATTGATAGACCAGGTGATTGTGCTGAAAGTGGAGTGATCGGGGCACTGGATTGATATCGTTCAAGATTTGGGGGCTGCTGCTGATTTGGGTGACCATGATCCCTGGGTAGCGTATCTTGGAAAGTTGAAATCGGTGGATAAGCAGGTCTGGTCAAGGCGGGATCAATCATTGACATATCTGCCATTTGAACACCATATGCCTTATCGTCGCGGCTCAAACGCTCATCTCGAGGAGCAGACACCGGGAGAAAAGATTGGAAGCCTGTGAATGACCCCGAAAGGTGAGGACTTGCACTTTGAGTAGTTTGAGTCACTGGATTTGAGATAGAAAAGGCTCCCTGCCCAGTGTCGTCGTCATTTTGAACCCTCTTCTTGCCTCTACCCTCCCAATTCAATCGTATGCTGTAATCGCAAATTTCGTTCTGTTTCGAACAATTTACACATGTTGGGCGAGTTTCGTCGCATTTTACCTTTCGAGTTTTGCAGGGCCTGTGAAGGATATATATATTCAGTAAAAATGTTCGATGACATAAACATTACCGCTAGCGTACCAACAGCCATTCCTACTCCTCTTCTTAGGCTCCGGTGCCCCAGCTTTCTTTGGACGTGGCATGATGGGAATGAACGAATGGTACACAAGCAAATGGCAAAATCGATTTCCGACATTTGCTCAAGTTGCCGATATTTGAATTAGGGTGGTCGATACTTGAATCGCCAGTGTCTTTTCCATAAGTAGAGTAAGCTTTGAGTTTAGTAGATGGCGCTATTGGGTTTATCTGTGCTCGCATCGACATAACGATAGACGAACGGGAGGAATGCGTTAACAAAAGACAATGGCTTTGGAATTTGGATGTACAAGTCTATTATCAAAACAAGAATCAAAGAGACGGAAAGGATTGAGTGAGTGGAGTTCAATGCAATGAAAATTAAATTCGTAATCAAGCCTTAGAGATGGGAAGGTGTCCGTGGGAGTGTATGGAAGGTGGAAATGTGGGAAAGTGGGGATAAAATAGGTAGAGTGCTCGATATGCGCTAAGGCTGATAAGATCAAACGCTTGACCAATAACAGATTTTGACCTTGACTAATGACGGATTAACATCAAGGATGTAACAGGGTATTCAAAAAGTCTTTTTCGGCAATATGTATTAGGCAGCTCAAAGTAGCTTAAAGTCTTGAAGTCTTGGAATCTTGAATGATCTGGTCCAAATTCCATACATTAAGCTTTTCTTTTACATGATGTCTATATTGAGAATCTTAATATCTTCCTCTGGTTTTTCTTTATAGACTCGCGTATTTTCGATTTTGTGGACAACATCGAGACCCTGAATTGCCCTACCAAAGATTGTATGTTTGTTGTCTAACCACGGCTATCGGAAAAAGAGTTAGCACCCCGATCAATTACAGAAATACCACACGTAGCTAGGTATAAAAACTTACAGTCTTTTCGGTCGTAATGAAGAACTGACTACCGTTTGTATTTGGCCCCGCATTTGCCATACTAACTGTGTAAGGTTTGTCATGTCTGAGAGAACTAAATTCATCGGCAAACTCTTTCCCCCAGATACTTTCACCACCAGTACCATCTCCTAATGGATCTCCGCACTGAATCATAAACTTTCGAATGACACGGTGGAAGATAGTATTGTTGTAGTAGCCTTGTTTCGAGTGCGTCACGAAATTCTCAACTGCTTTTGGAGCTGCATCTGGAAACAAGCGTATATGGATGTCTCCGTATGTGGTGTGGATAACAGCAGCCGTTCCAGTCTCGGCAACCTTTGCCTCTGTCAATTTCTTTCCATTTGTATTGGTGGGTTTCTCATTTTGGACATCTCGTTCTGATTTGGAGACTTCTTCGTCGTTTGTGAACATGTAGAACCGCACTTTACCAACACCGGTCGCAAATAATATCGGATCTCGAACTTCTGATTCTTGCAAAAGAGGGTTGTTGGATGCCGCCATTGCAACGGTTGTAATGCCTTTCTTTTGTGGTTGGCCCTGGTACATAGCAATGTTAAGCGGCCTAAAATTCTCATCTCCTCCATACACCTTTACAACCCGATTTGTGTAAGTGTTCAAAACCTTTGTGCCTAGCATTGATCCATAAATGATAAAGTGTCCCGTCTCGTCAAATATAACATTTGCTTTGTTTCGTAGGGTTGGCGTTTCGATCTCGCGCTCAGTAGCAAGTCGGCGACCGAACTCCAGATCTTCCAACTTCTTCAATGACGTTCCTGCCTGTTGCATTTCTTCGATAACCCGCAGGGATTCATCGTATGTACGGTATAATTTCCCTGTTGAAAAATCAAATACCCGGACTTTTCGATCGGGAAATGAGAAAGTTGCGAATTGAGCACCGGTTGGAGAGATTGTTAGAGAAGTGGGTGTCGATTTAGCCTTCTTGAATTCGAAGAGATTCGTGGAAGATTTGTACTCAAAAACATTATCAGGCTTTTCGTAATTTCCTCCCGGACGCCAGTATTCGATCATACCATTCTCGTCCGCTGATATTACACAATTATAAGTATCATTGAAAGCCATCAGCGAGACAACGCTTCTATGTAAGCCTGTAATTGTATGTATTGGTTCCTGGTTTTCCCCACGCCCATCGTATATCCGAATCGTATGATTAACCTCGTCAGATACAGCTAGTAAAGGAAGAGATGCGCCACGTCCATGTACCCAGCAAACGCATTTCGGCGTGAATTCTAAAGTCAGCATTGACAATAGATCAAAAGTCATCACGTCAAAGATCTTGATTGTCTTGTCAGCCCCAGCTGTCGCAAAGCTCCGTCCATCAGAACTGATCGAAACACTCTTGATCTCTCCAACATGAGTCCTAAATTCCTTGACGAACTCGATGCCATCGGCTCCTTTCTTCCAGAATTTGACAACTCCATCAACAGAGCTTGTGATCAAAAAGTCCGTCAATGGAGTCATTGTGACAAACGAGATTTGTTCTTTGTGCATAAGAGATTTTGAATATCGTGCGGAAGTTGGTAGAGCTGAAATATAGAGCTTTTCGTAGGGAAGCTTGCGACGCTTCTTTTTGGGAGCTTCCGCAGATGGAAGTTGAGGTCCCATATCATCATCGGAAGAGGAGTCTTCATCTTCTGCATCTAGCTTCCGTTTATTAGAATTGAGAGCGATATCTGCCATCTTGATTGATTGATTAAAGAGGCAGACTGCGTGTGTGTGCTTAGAGAAATGGATTTGTTGTAAGGAAGGTCAATTAACCATAACATTCGAACCACAAAATAATGCTGCGAGGCTGAGGCTGATGCGCACTAGCGCGTTTCTATGATAAAACAAGGCTGGGTAGCCTTACCTAAGTCTAGCTGCTACTCCACATCGACGTCACCAGTTTTAGTTCAACATATATTTTGGGTATTAGGTACCCAGGTACCCAAGTATAAGTATACATTTTTATTTGTCAACGTTAAGAACTTCAAGAATCCTACACCATGGGTTCTATTTCTGCCGCCAACAAGCTCACTTCACGCCATCCTCTTCAACGCCTCCCTTCCCCATCTCCAACAATCTCAGCTCTCATCCATCTCATTGGACTTACTTCCTTCTTTCTATCCTATAAATACCTCTTCGACTTTCCAACATTCGTTAACTCTTCCTATGGCTGGCACTTCCAATATCTCACCATCATTGGTCTTACTCTAGCGTTTCTTACTTTTGTTTTCGGTCTCCTCTCCGACATCACTCTCTCCTCAAAACTTTTCCTGATCAAAAACTCTCTCTCATTATGCTCCGCCCCTCTCGAAGTTTTGATATCTGTTTTTTATTGGGGAATTTCGGCTATTGATAAGAAGCTTTTGATGCCTCCCGAGATTGTTATTAGCCCATACGCTGATGTGGGGTTTCATGCTATGCCAGCTATCTTGCTGACCATTGATCTCCTGTTTTTGAGTCCGCCATGGACTATCAATGCACTGCCTGCTATGGGCCTTTCATCGACTTTAGCAGTTGCATATTGGGCTTGGGTGGAACAGTGTCATAAGTATAATGGATTGTGAGTATCATATAGCCGAGCGTTCACGTCTGACGAGAAGTGTGATGAGTACTAATATCAATATCTAGTTACCCATACCCATTATTCGGACAACTTGACACAATACAAAGAGTTATTTTATTTACTAGCGCTGCATTGACAATGACTGGAAGTACGGCAATGCTTAAGTGGCTTTATGGAAGAGTTAATGGTTTGCAGGGTGCTCAATATAGGAGCACACCTAACAATATCAAGGGAGAATAGACGATCATCATAACCTTAGATGGATTTTCTTTTTTTTTTGGATAGAAAGATGCATACAGATATACAAAATTGGTTTTTTGTAATGTTATCTTTATACTTACAAATGAGGAATCAACATATCATGATAAAAAATCACTACTCGCCATACTACATCTCGTAGAGAAGCCTGTAAGCATGCGGCACATTAGTGTGGCTTGCTAAGCCAGCTGAGCTCCATATACCACCTTCCAATCATCAATTCCATTTACATGCATTATCACATATCGATTAAATCGGAAATCTTCAGTGTACAGCGCCGGCGTATCGCATCATCTCAATATGTCGCACAGCCTTGAAAAACTGTCCAGATGGGATTCGGAAGCACATCCCGGATTCAGCCCCCAATTGTCTATGCAACCTTGTGGCAATCTTCTTCCACATGATGAACATGTAACATCAGCTTGGTTTCGAACAAGTGTCTGCAATTGCAGCGACTTGGTCATCATATGAACTTATATTTTTCTTCAACTCAATTTTCAAGTCCAGTAACTTAATGTCAAAATGGTCAAGCTTAGCCAAGTAATCGAATCCAATCAATCGATTCGAATTCCTCCCTCGGGTCTTGTATCTGTATTTGTAGGCGCATCTCATGAGTTTGAACGCGCTATCATTCGCAGTTTTGCTAAATATGGGAATGCGCCGAAGATATACATAATTGATAGCTTCGTCCTTGAAGAAAAAGCCATTTCGTCTTTTGTTGAGGAATTGGAAAATATTAATCCGGCTGGCTCTTATAAAACTTTCAATGTGCGAATAGGAATTTTGTCCGAGGTTGATAGGGTATGCGACGAGATTTGGATAGTGGAAGGATATGTGGATTTATTAGTTATGAGTTGTGGATTTATGAGATTTCCTCGGGGAAAAGGTAATCTTCACCCTTTCTTCATATATTCGAAACTTTTCTCCCACCAATATACCATACGGAATAGGATTTCATTAAGCTGATCCCGTACCTGCAGATTGCAGTGCTTATGAAGAAAGCCATCTGTCAGATGAAGATGCACGTGGAGGTATCCCATTTGACATAGCACTTCAATTCTACATTCGCCAACGCTTCATCGGCAACCTTCTTCCTCTTCTTTCCAAAAGTCATTGCCCGCGAGTCATTTCACTCCTACTACCTGGAAATGACAGTCCAACCTACTTCGAAACACTCGATTCAAGTAAAAAGTATCTGGATACCGGATCAATCAACCATGCCACCTCCCTCCTATTCTCCGAATACGCCAAAACGCACCCAGAAATCACTTACATTAATGTTTTCCCAGGGATCATAAACTACGATACTTGGGATCGCATGATGAACCCCATCCAGGGAATCTCATGGTATCCGGCTACAGTTCTCAAATGGACTATGCCCCCATTATTTAAATACTTCATCTGCATCCCCACAGAAGAAATAGCAGAACGTATCATCTTCCTAGCAACAAGTGTTCGATATCCTCCCGGAAAAGAAAAAAGAGATGAAGGCAAAGTGGCAGGATTAGCAGAATGTCCACCAGCTTGGAAACTCTCGGTTGTGAGATCAATGATTATGAAAGATGGACGTGGAAATGGTGTGTATAGGATTAATGAGGAAGATGAAGCGTGCGAGGAGAGTGAGGTTTTGACTCGGTATCTTGAGCAGGAGGAGGGGAAGTGGCTTTTGGAACATTCTGAGGAGGTGTTTGGGAGGATGTTGAATGCGGAGACGGTGTCTAATGATGCAAGTTGAAGTGGCGAGTCATATGGGTGGAGTAGAATTTAGGTTCTCTTTCAGGTTTCTTTTTTTCACCTCTGGGACTGTGGCTGCACAAAAGCAAGGATTTGGTGGTAATTTTGAGATTCACTTGGACTCAGGAAAGATCCAAATATTCACATCCTTAAGCAATGCAACGTCCTGATTTGTGTAACACAATTGAAAGTTGGTGATAGTGATGATTGATGGTGCCAGTTTGTGAAGGAGGTTGAGGTTGTAAGGGGAAATGACGAAAGCAGGTTGGAGTTGTAATTTAGATTTGCACAACTCATTTAGAAGAACATTGCAAACCAACCAAAACTTTAACAATTTTCTACGCTCAAAACTGTCTTATCTACCAATAGCCGTCCCCATTTTCACACGCTCGCTTTTTCGCATAAAGAATCATCCTATAATTATCACGCCCAACATAAAATTGCAATTCTTCATTTCTTCATTCATGACCCGCAGCCCCATGCGCCATTACTACCATCCAATTGCCCTTAACTTTTCTCATAATCCGTCCTGTGATCTATTTCGATAATTGAGAAACGTCATATTGTGCTGCATCATGGTACAAATCGATTAAACAACCAGCACTCCATGCTTGCGTTGGTGACTATAATCATATTAGCATATATCATACAAATCAGAGAATACAATATACCGAATCGGCACAATAAGAACCATCTTTGTTTGTCAATTCTGTTAATCCTGCCCAGTCACTGCTAACAATAGCCTCCTTGCAGCCTGCTAACCTGCGAGTAATCTGTTGAAAAGCTTCGGTCTTAGCCGCTGGAGTCTTTCTTCTCTTGAGATCAAATTTCAATAAGGCTCTCAAGAAGAAACCAGTTGGCCACAACCACTCTGGACCCTGGTGATAATTTCTTCCCTTTGAAGTTGCGAAGTCATCACTATCTTCGGAATTGATGTAATATGGTCGGTAATTAAGATCTGCAGGATCAAGAGTTGCCATACCAGTAGGGCCACGAAGAACCTTATCTGCAAGGAACAAAGCATTAAGTGCATGTGTATCGTCAAATAGCTCTGGGGCCACCGTCATGGCAATTGGGAAGTTTGCTCGCAGCTGATAGTCTTCATACTCTTTACCAGATTTGTACAAATCCTTGTAAATACCTCTTCGATTGACGATAGAAGTGTTCACATCATACTTCGCGTCGTCCTTAGAGTCCAATGGAACATAGTAACAACGTTCGAAATTCTCCTTGATTTTGTTCGCCCAATCTGAGAAAGTGATGACCTGCATAGATGGATCTGAAGTACTGACGCCGGCATACTTGTACTTTCCTTTCTCATGAAGTTCAGCCACCCAACGAAGAGTACTATACAAGAGACCAGTGATCTCAATAGCGGCACCATCACGAGGTGTACCAGGTACTCCCTTGCTTTTAGCTCGTTCGCTCTCACCCATCTTGTCCATCCAAGTACCGCAGTTATTTTGGTTACCACCAAATATGAGTCCGGTTGACCAATCAACCTTGATGTCAATATTGAAGCCCTCGGAGCTCATTTGCATGTCAAGATTGGGACCAGCGTTTGCTTCTCTAAATGACATTCCAGATGCATGACGTTGCAAAGATTCTTGGATAATGTCCTCAAGAATAGATGTCTTTGAGTATGCCCTTGCATCATCGGAATCAAAGTATGTGTCATCATAAGGTAAGAAGCGTCGAGGTACCTTCTCTTTCAATAGATCTAATCCCATTTGGCACAATCTTCGTATAATCTTGGATGGTTTGTAACATAAACCAGATTGAATCCCGAGAATTGTAACGTGGTAAGTTGCCACTGCTCAACAAGTTTGGTATCATGCCATGCTTCAAGACACTTGAGAATGCGAGAATATGCTCTCTGGCTTCATCATAGCGACCTGTACCAAGGAAGAGCCCTCTTGCAGAAATAAACACATCTCGCCCCCAACATCTGGCCCATTCAACTGCGAAATGTGGTAAACCTGCTGCTAGAGATGGCACCGCCTTCTTGGGGTACAAGGATGCAGATTTAACATATCCTGTCTGCTGCACGCTAACCATGGCCAAATCTTGTAAGAACCATTGCCCTTCACGAACATTCTTATTCATGAGTGACAAACTTCGTTCCCAGGCAGCTCGATAAGCAGTTCGAATAACTAGTCCAAAATAACGTGGGAGTAAAAAGCTTGGCATTTTTCGAATAGCATCGAAACGCTCTTTCAACCACATCGCTGGCTTCTGTACACGTTCATAACCAGATTTGCTTGATATTCTTTCCAGTCTGCCAATAATGTAGTCCAGTGCCCATTGCCCTTCTCTCAAGTGGTTACACATGGGATGTCCCAAGTTATTGTCTTTGATGATATTTTTGAGCACGCTCCACCAACCTTGTAAACCAGCATATACGAGTTTCCCATGGCCAGGAATATCGTAAACTCCATCTTTGCCCTCACTAGAATCGCGCTCTTCCGGCTCACACCTGTACAGAACGAAGTTTAGATCAATGAGGTCCAACTCTGAAAATGCTGCCTTAGCCCCCGAGGTGACAAAGTTATCGAGACCGGTCGCATGCTCAGCAGCAGGTATCCATGTCTCGAACAATGCAATACTTCCAGGAGGAAATTTATCTCGGACTGAAATCGTTGTCTCTCCGTCTTTGTATTCCATGCGGACTCCGGGAAGATTGGAGACCTTGCTAGGTAATCCTCTTAGATATTTCTTATCTCCCAGTGCCTCCTTCTTTGCCTCGTCAGAAGTGTCAACTTCAAGCATCCAGCTGCCGAGATGGCTAGCCTTAGTGCCTCCAAGGTGAACTGGTTTGAAACCTCCATTTCCGTTACCATAGCCTGGGAACGCTGTATGTGCGATGAGGAAGTATCCTTTTCTAGATTCAGGATGCACCCGATGAACTGTGATATACTGATCTTCGTGATGAATGTATGTCTCAGCGTACCCATCCTTACCCATGATACTATGGATTTGGTTGAGAAGCTTTTTGATCCCGCCGATGCCACCTTCGCCAGCTCCAATCTTAACTTCTTTTTCAGAAGAAGCAGAAGTGTACAATCTTGTTTCATGAACGATCTCTACTAGCTTGGGATAAATCTCATCATAACCCATAACGCTACCGATGGCACTAGAACACATGGCAACTAGTGCAGCATTTGGTAAAGTGTCTCGAGCATCACGCTTTTGGGCAGGAACTTCGTTATCATGGGTGCAGTCCATGAAAAGGGCGTGAACCGGAGTATATCTGATGGTGCGTATAATTTCTCTGCCAGAAGTTGATCCATTGGTTTTACCATTGGGTGTCTTTTGATCTGCTCCAGAGACTTCATCAACTTCAAAACTTCCGATAGGTCTACCACCGTGGCGGTGGACCAGACGACTGACTTCTCCAGTACTCCAAGCCTGCATTGCCTCTCTGATGAGGGAGCTAAGACCTAGACGTTTGACAAAAACGTAGTCCATCTCTTCCGACCCCGTAAAAAGTTCTAGCAGACCACATAAAGATTTGGTCTAACTCTTCTGCCTCATCCAGAAGAATTCGGCGACGTGTATTGGTGTCGACTGGGCCATGTCGCATGCAGAACCCGCTGATATTTTTGGTCCATGAGACGTGTGTATTCCGACATAAAATCCCACAAAAAGGGGCTGTCTTCACGAGACTCTCCATAACGCAACTTCACACAATCACCCCAGACAATTACTTCACGGCGAAGGTATGCGCGAGATTTGGGACCAGCATTGTCAACAAGTGCGTTTGCCGCCCAAATCCAGCCATTGTTCACCAAAGCGAGGTCCTCTTGATTGTGCTTCGAGGTAGTGGAATTTTTGGGTAATCTGGTGAAGTAAGTTTCAATAAGAGGATTCTTTTCATCGATAGGGCCCAGTTTTGGTCCATTATCATCAAGCCGAACATATTTGGTGCGGTTGAAGAGCTGATCAAGAATCTCCGCTACATCAACGTCATATTCTTTGTAATATGGAAGGTTGACTTCATCCAGGATGTTAACCAAGCGACTTCGTGCTTCTGCTCGATCGGCACTATTTGACTTGTCGCCTTCGAATCTTCCAAACAGAGCTGTAAGCAGCGCCGCACCAACTTTAGGGTTTACCATCCTTCTGTATCTCTCTCCCAGTCTGTCAGTGTTGAGCATTCCCTTTTCTCTCAAGAAGGTCGCCTGGTCTGCCACTGAAGCATTTTTGATTGCTTCTAAACCACCAAAACCTGATCCACCAAATCCTCCCTCTGGAAATGAAATTTTGTTAGCTGCCCAGGCCTCTACAACTGCATCGGCATCCCTTTCAATTTCAATAACATAGTATTCCCATAGACGAAGTTTAGCAATGACCTCTGTTTTGACACCAGCCATTACTTTAACCAAGTCATCAACAGAATCAAGCGTCGTTGGAAGACCATGATTGGCAAGATCTTTACTGAATTCGAGCAATTTAGTATCCAATTCCAAGGCCGGACGCAACCACGGTGCTGTCGACACATTGTAGCCGACCTCTGGATGTTCCTGAAGCCACGCGCTATTGTTTGCAGTGTGGTTCCAAACTACATCAGTCAACCCCAAGAGACCATGATCCTCCTTCCATGCTCTTAACCAGCTTTTTTATATCTTTTTTCGCCGTTGGGGAAGCATTTCGGGGTCCCATGAGAGTTGGTCATATTATTATTATATGGCGAGTTTGAATCACCACGGTTTTTGCAAAGGGGGTGAAATGGGATCAATATTTGTATCCTCTCTCACTAATTCCCACGCAAATGTTTTTCCCAATCCTTGGGATATTTCCCCATGAATTTCGAAATGATAGAGAATACAGACAACGCAGGCAAAGGGCAGTTGCCTGCCTTCCAGCTTCAAGGTTGGAGCAACATCGATATAATACACTGGGGATTTTGTAGTTTCGATAGTAGCGGTATTTGTATTATCCAGATCCGGCAGAGCTTTGTACGTAGTATAGAATGCGAATGCGCCAGCTGAATGAATGGGTATCGATATTTCAATGGTACGATTAAAATCTGGTTCCAATCTATAAAGTTAGTGCTTGCGGCAGACGGAGTCTTGCAGGGAAAACTCACTTGAATTCACGAAACTGGTCTCTTTGAAATTCTGCACCTTTCTCGGGGATGTTTACCCAGAGACTGCCTTCTCGACATATCGAGGATGTCCCCTCAATAGCGAAACGGACAATTATTGGCTCTGTGCCTTTGGGAGTAAGATAGATGTATCCCCCGGATACATCAGGGCTCCCATCATCCTTGAGAGGGAGTAAATAGACTTCGTTAGAAACCATGGTCTTTGTGGCCACGGTTGTAAAGAACCAACAACTTTATATACGTTGGAAGTGACTGTTGCAGTGGCAGAACGCGGGGTTTAAGAACGACTGGCACCAATCAAAATAATGATAAAAGCTTGACGAAAGTGAAGAAAGAGAAAAAAATAGGAAGAGAAAAGGACATGCACGGAAAAGACGATACGAGGAAGAGTATTTAAGAAGAAAATGCTAGCAAAATGGCATTAGGTTAAGTGCTTGGTAGGTTCCAAGTGTTTGTTGATGGATGGTTTGGTGGAGGGCAGGTTGGAAGCGGGGCCCCTTTGGAGTGGTGGGAGAGTGGTGGGAGAGTGGGTACGGGTAAGATGCTTGTCACCATAGGAAAGACCCGGCTTTAGAATAAAAAATAGAAAAGCTAAGAAGTCTATTGGCTGTAAAGCTGGTTGAAGCATTTAGGATGAAATAAACTTAATTTGATACGTCATAATAAATCAGTGATAATCAGGTACTTTCTGCTCGAAAGGTGGTCATTGTACGTGGCGCCAAAAATACATTGTGGCCTAGACCATTATTATTCTTTCGCTCCGAATGGTTTAAAATACCTAGTAGGGGAGGTACCTAGTATTGAAGGTTTAAGCTTGGTTATTTTGACACAAGCTTCTATAGCTACATTAACCTGACACCAACTAATTTGATATGACTGTCCCAGTCTACAGCTACTAGACTGGGAAATGGGTTGAATAATAAGTGATTTCCAGATGGATCGGCTGTCGGGTATTTCTCTGCTTAACCAAGGTACAAGAGGAGTGCACAGGACAGGTAGATTAGGATACCTAGGCAAGATAGATAAATAAATACTTGGTAGACCTCAACTTCATCATTCATTTCGATTCTCGAGACAACAAGTTAAAAAGGTTACCGACTAAGACTCACGATTGACAAACATCCTAATATCGATAACATGTGTAAGTACATTTCGTACTATACAAGTCCATCACAACATAACCCTGATACGAAATATGGAGAAGACTGTACGATCACCGATGCAGTTTTCATGCTCGAGTTGGGCTATCAAGTACCTATCTATGTTGTGTTTGTGTACATTCACTCATTCATGCGATGTTGGAACATTACTAGGTAGATTTCACATGTCAAGTCATTTTCACCATGTGAACTTCTCACAGAATTAGCACTGTGACTTTCAGCGCGCTTATTGGATTCCGCTGTCATTTTCGTCTCGTGTCAAACAGCTTCCTATGGGATTTCAAAAGAGCCAATATGATAACAATATTGCACTAAACCACTTTAAAAGGCGGTCAGCTGTTCAAAAGTGACAAAATAGAAGCAAGCGAGGCATTTTATCACAGCATGCATCATATTCTCAAAGTAGTTGGTATCTTTGCCTCCCTTTGCATGTACTTATATCCCTTGGTCCAATTCTATTTCCTTCTTCCGTTCAATAACATATGTGCATGCTCATAAGATTGACAGCAAAATCAAGTCAAACACTCCAGAGAATCGCACAGACAACTCGACATTTCAACACCCCTCAACTGAATAAAATGGCGACCCTGGGAGCATGGAGCACGAAGCACAAGGTTACGGTAGTTGGATCTGGAAACTGGTAAGTCAGCCCATGAAGTATAAAACATCCGGTCTCTTTCTCACACCTACTAGGGGTTGTACTATTGCAAAAATCATAGCAGAGAACACAAAAGAACATTCCGATTTGTTTGAAGAGAAGGTTCAGATGTGGGTGTTTGAGGAGGAAGTTGCGATACCCAAGGAGTCAAAACACTACAATGCCTCCAACGATAGTCCTCAAAAGCTCACCTCTATCATTAACAATTACCACGAGAATGTGAAGTATCTGCCAAATATTACTCTTCCAAGCAATCTCATCGCCAATCCCTCCCTTGAAGATGCAGTTGCGAACTCCTCGATTTTGATCTTCAATCTTCCCCATCAATTTATTGGACGCATTTCCAAACAACTTCAAGGACACATCCTTCCATTCGCGCGTGGAATTTCTTGTATAAAGGGTGTGAATGTGACAGCCTCGGAGATCAGTCTGTTTAGTGAGTGGATTGGTGAAGGGTTAGGAATTTATTGCGGAGCACTTTCCGGTGCCAACATTGCCAATGAGATTGCAATGGAGAAATGGTGTGAGACTACAATTGCATACGATCCTCCTCCAATGGACTCGCGTGCTGCCACTCCAACTGGACCATCCCCATCGAGCTCTCAAGTCAATCTCACCATCACACCGGCAGATGAAGAACATAAAGATGTCAAGGGAAGGGTTAGCAAGACAAAGTTAAAGGCTGTACCATCGGAATATCCACCGTTGGATCATGCCTTGTTCAAAACATTGTTCCATCGTCCCTACTTCCATGTCCGGATGGTTTCCGATGTGGCAGGAGTCTCCCTCGGTGGAGCACTTAAAAACATTGTTGCATTAGCAGCGGGATTTGTTGAAGGGCGTGGTTGGGGAGACAATGCAAAGGCCGCTGTTATGCGAGTAGGCCTTCTTGAGATGGTTAAATTTGGTAAGGAATTCTTTGGGGAGACTGTTCACGCTGGTACTTTCACCGAGGAGAGTGCTGGCGTTGCCGATTTGATCACCAGTTGCAGTGGTGGACGAAACTTTAGATGTGCGAAGCTTGCAGTTGAGAGAGGGGTTCCAGTTGATGAAGTTGAGAGGACGGAATTGAATGGACAAAAGTTACAAGGAACTAGTACCGCAAAAGAGGTCAATGAGTTCCTCAAGTCTAGAGGAAAGGAGGGCGAATACCCATTATTTACTGCTGTTATTGGTGAGTTACTAGCTCTATATATTGCAAGAAATGAACCGTGCTAACATTATTAGATATTTTGGAGGGCAGAAACACTGTCGATGATATCCCGGACTTGTTGGCCAAGGCGGATGAGTAAGAATTACAAGAGCAATACATGACAAGGGCTTACTGTGGAAGCTAGATGATAGACGCAAGTCCTTGATTAGAAGGTAGAAGAATATTACGGCTTACATCATCTCTCCCCTTTCCGTCCTTCCTCGGAGATCAACCCCTTGGGTCCGTAAGACTTCTCCCGACCGACACTTTCTTAAGTGATCCTTCGGAGATCCTCCCTCGGAGGTCTGTAAATTTCCATCTTCATTGTGCTAGGTTCCATTCCTGATTATTAAGTTCTCATCCCTAAATTCTCACCGTTTCCCGCCCAATCAACGATCAGCATTAATAATTACAGGGGTTGACCCCACCAGCACATGGCTAAAACTTTTGTTGCGCAATGAATTATGCTGCCCCGCTCGTACGTACGGATCCGAGTATCGTAAACTCTCAAAGAAACAATCTCACCTCAGCACACTGGATATAAAAAATATCAGTTGCAAGAGAAACAATCTTCCAAAATATAAAAGAAACACATTTATCTCAACATGTCGGTAAGTTACCAAACAAACATACTTCTCATTCATCCAAGATGCCTCATTTCACAAGAAACTACTCTGACTCATTGAAGGCTTTCTACATAGAAAACCAGAACGTTGGCCAAAAAGATAGCACGGAAGATTGGCGCAGTAAGTATTGGATCTTTGGGATCTCCCAGCTCGAAAATAATGAATGCAACTGACAGTTCTTCCCTCCAGTTCGAGGATACAACCCATTGACACCACCCGATTTGCTTCAACATGAAGTCCCCCAAACACCCGAATCCAAGGCAACAGTGTTGAAGGGTCGCAATGAGTCTGTCGATATTGTTACTGGAGCGGATAAGAATGGCAGATTACTGGTAGTCATCGGTCCATGCTCAATTCACGATCCTGCCGCTGCGCTCGAATATTGCGACAAGCTCGTGGCCCTCAAGAACAAATACGAAGATGACCTCTTGATTGTTATGCGCTCTTACCTCGAGAAACCAAGAACGACTGTTGGATGGAAAGGTCTCATCAATGATCCTGATATCGACAACAGCTTCAAGATCAACAAAGGATTGAGAATCAGCAGACAATTGTTCGTTGACTTGACTGCCAGAGGAATGCCAATTGCAAGTGAAATGCTGGATACTATTTCGCCACAATTCTTGGCAGATTTATTGAGTGTTGGAGCTGTTGGAGCTAGGACAACTGAGAGTCAATTGCACAGAGAATTGGCTAGTGGATTGAGTTTCCCGGTTGGTTTCAAGAACGGTACGGATGGTAGTCTCGGTGTAGCCATTGATGCTATCGGTGCCGTGCGACATCCTCATCACTTCCTCTCAGTTACCAAGCCTGGTGTTGCTGCCATTGTTGGTACAGTTGGCAACGAGGACTGCTTCGTTATTCTTAGAGGTGGTACCAAGGGCACCAATTATGATGCAAAGAGTATTCAAGAGGCAAAGGCCGCACTTGAGAAGAACGGAGTCAGACAGAGATTGATGGTTGATTGCAGTCATGGAAACTCATTGAAAAACCACAAGAATCAACCCAAGGTCGCCGCTGTATTGGCGGAGCAAATTGCAGCAGGCGAGGATGCCATCATGGGTGTCATGATTGAAAGCAATATTAACGAGGGTACGATCACCTAACTATCCCCTTTCCAAAATCTATACTTACTTTGTAATTAGGTGCACAAAAGGTGCCAAAGGAAGGAAAGTCCGGCCTTCAATACGGTGTGAGTATCACTGATGCTTGCATTGGATGGGATGACACCGAATCAGTCCTTGAAACTCTAGCGAATGCTGTTAAGCAACGAAGAGAGCTCAAGACTGGTTCAAACAGGAATTGAGGGATGGACGAATGATATCAAGCAAATTGGTTTATATTGAAATTGGATCCATATAATAAGCATACATCCAGTAAGGAGTTGGGTTGGAAAAGGGTTTCCTGAATAATTAGATCTTGAAAAGCAATGGAACACGATATTGAGTTTGGCATGGATGACTAGAAATTGAAAAGCCAATGATATTTTGCATAATACCGTTTGTCAGCAAGAAAGTCCCTAATCTCTACTCGATATTATGAAAATGTATAAAATACCTGAGTAAATACGGAATAATCAAAGTATTAAATATTTACTATGTCACCATCATACTCATACCGTGCAAATAATATATTTTATGGACATCACTATTCCGGGCGTGACTTTTAGATTTTGTAGCATTGATCGTCCGAGAAATAATCGTGCAATGGTTATCGACCAATCAGAATCCGTTCAGTGGTAAGCCTGTGCCTAAGGCATAATTTAGCTTCTTTTTCGGATCGTTTTCGAACTATTTGTCGCCGCACCTCACAACTTCAATCTCGAATCCTATTATTCAATTGAGCTGTCGAATTCACCTTGCACTGAATCCCAGGTCAAGGCATATTTTGCTCAATATGTTGGCTAGATCATGCCTGCGCTCAACGCGCTCGTTCGGGGGAGTACGGAATAATGCGATTAACGCTACAAAGGTACATTTCCCCCATCTCCGCAGTCAATAAACCCACCACTTCGCTGCCGAGGACGGTGATGCCACATGAGCATCTCCTTGTGTTGAGCTTAAGGCTAATGTATGTCTTATAGCGTGCCGCATCTACTACTTCCACCGAAGCCGCCTCCCCGCTCGGCATTAACATGGCTGCAGGTGCTGCTACCGCAGTGGCAGCCGGCTCCCTCGCTTGGTATTATCATCTTTACGGCCAGCCATTAAACGCCATGACCCCAGTTGAAGAAGGGTGAGTAGTGACATATCTCTCCAAATCAAGTCGGACATTTGTAGAGTGGCGGGAACTTCAGGCATTATCAAATGAAGACTAGAAGACAAGCAGGATTTAAGTTGGAATACGATGCTGATACGACACCAGTCTCCATCCAACACAATACCCTTGGGTTCACCAACAATACACAAAAACATTCGATCACCAAGCGTAAGAATCCCATTCTGTGTCAAGAAGATTGGTCCGTTTTAACGACATGATAGACTACGAAGAGGTTTCCAAGTTTACCAAGAAGTTTGCGCTTCGTGCCATTCTTTGAGCCGTATCCCATACAGAGCTCTGGTTGGTGTCACACACACAGTCGATGAGGCAAAGGCTATGGCTGAAGAGAACGAATACGACAGCGAGCCAAACGATGAGGGTGAAATCGAGAAGCGACCTGGAAAACTTTCCGATTACCTTCCATCGCCATACAAGAACGACGAAGCCGCTCGTGCTGCAAATAACGGAGCATTGCCACCCGATCTCAGTCTGATGGTAAAGGCCAGACACGGCGGTGCCAACTATATTTTCAGTTTATTGACTGGTTACCCGGATGAAGTTCCAGCAGGAGCCAAGGTCCCAGAAGGACTCAACTTCAACCCATATTTCCCAGGTACCGGTATTGCTATGGCTCGTGTTCTCTACAACGACCTCGTTGAATATGAAGATGGTACACCAGCATCGGCATCACAGATGGCCAAAGATGTCGTCGAATTCCTCAACTGGTCAGCCGAACCCGAGATGGATCAACGAAAGAAGATGGGTATGAAGGTGTTGGTTATTGGATCTATGCTTTTTGCATTGAGTATCTGGGTCAAGCGTTACAAGTGGTCCCCTATCAAGACAAGAAAGATCATGTACAACCCACCCGTTTCTAACAGCGGTCCTAAACATCACTAGATTCTCAATTTCTTTTGTTTAATGGGGGAGCGAAGGGCAGGAAATAAATGTGCTACTAGTTTTATCTTACTGCAAGAATTGTACAAAGGAGAAGTGTTAAACGAGGATGGTAGATAAAAGCTTCACTTGGGAAGCGAAACGCTCAAGAGTGGTTGCAAAATAGATGTGTCCCAATTTCCATTTGACCTTTGAAAATATTTACAGGGACTCTGCGATGATGACTCGTGAAGTTACAACTCCTGCAACTACCAAAAATCTCCTGATATCAAGTCATACGTATCTGCTGTCCAGATGGTATGCCAAATAATGCTAGCGTTTTCAGTGGACCCCTAGGACAGCAAAAAAACCTCGCTAATAAAAAAAAAAGTTGCTACCCCAGATTTTCGAGTCCTCTCGGGAACTTTTTTTTCCTTGTGGCATTCGTTACTCTTAATCCAAAACCATTTGCGAGCCTTTTCTCGTCCTTTTTTGGACAAAAATTTGAGAAATAACCTCCAGTTGCTAATCGTGTTATCAATCGGTGTATCAAAATCAAATACACGAAACCATTGAAGATATGCCGAAACGAAGCAGTACTCAAGCAGCGGGTTCACCAGCTGGAATGGGAAAGAAAGCCAATGATGTGGTAATGACGAATGGCAAGGCCGGTGAAGCGGAAAAGGGAGAATCTCTTTCTGCAGAAGCTTCTCAAAACGAGGTATTTTTGGCAAAACCTCACATTTACCATGATAGCATTTTGGAAAATAGCTAAACTCTTTCATCAGAATGAAACCAGTGCATCAATCGATGCTGAGAAAGCTACCGGTAGCAACAAACGCAAACGCGACTTCAAGGCCGAACGCGAAGCTAAAAGACAAAAAAAGGAGGCAAAGCTGGAACCCAAGAGAGCAGCTGCTGTGATCCGAGAAGCAGAAGAGGCAATTGCAAGAGAGAAGAAGGCTGCGGAAAAGGCAGAGGCAAAGAGAGTCAGGGAAGAACAGATGAATATATTGAGGGAACAAAAGATGGAAGAGAAGGCAAAGAAACATGAGGAAAATTTGAGGCAGCAGGCAGAGGATAAACAGAGAAGGGCGGAAGAGAAGAAGAGGGATGCAGAAGCGAAGAAGAGAGATGCAGAGCAGAAGAGAAAGGATAGGGAGAGGATTCAGGCGTTGGAAAAGCAGGTTAGAGATTTGAAAAGAGGACATGGGAATGCAAATGGGAAAGGAAAAGGTGCGAAGAAGAGTTGGGACAAGAAGCCAAAGGGACCAAAGACTTCGGAATTTTTTGGAGAGGGTTTGAAGGCGCAAGTTATTGGTTTGGAAGAAGGGTTGAAGGAAGAGGTTGCTGATTTAGGAGAAGAGGAGAGTAGCAAGAAAGTCAAGTCGAAGCGCAGCTGGAAAGATCTTAAGAAGGGAAACGTAGCGCCTACGGGTCTGGAAGCAAAGATTGCTGCTGCAAGAGCATCCGTAGCTCAGGCTGGGGGTACTGTAGATGCTGATGTGCCTATGGAGGATGCCATCGAACAAGATGATGTTGAGGAGCACGATGAGCCCGAAGAGGAAGCTGAAGCGGCTACAAGTGCACCAGACGTCGTTTCGTATCCTGCCATTGATCATCTAATTGAAGATAGCCCCGAACCTGCTGTCCAGTCCGAGGCTGCAGCGCAATCAGAGGATCAGGAAGTGGAGGTTCCGGAAGAAGCTTCGGAAGAGAAGGTAGGAGAAGAGCAAGTCGACTCAGAAGTTCCCGTAGAAGATTCCAAGGAAGAAGAAGAGGAGGTAGTGTCGGCTGACGAAGCGTCATCTGCTAGTCAAGAAGAAAAAACAGAACAAGATGCTCTTAAGGAGGATACTGCACCTGCGGCAGGTGAAGAAATGGAACTTGACGAACCCAAGGAGGAAGCAGAGGCCGAAGCAAGTGCGAAGAAGCGGTCGCGAAAGAGAGTCAGGAACAATAACCGTCTAGAGGCTGAAGAAACACCAACAAAGCCTACAACACCTGCTTCATCTAAGAGTCAAAAGGTCAAGACGCCAACAGCCACGCCTCTTACATCAAAGAATCAGAATATCAAAACACCATCAAAATCACCTGCACAGACAAAGGCGGCGAATGCAAAGAACGGAAAGGCACCAGTCAAAGCAACAATTGAAGCTAAATCTCCAAAAGCCAAACGTGTCAGAGTACCAAAAGCTAGAGCTGCCGTTCTTGCATCGGCACCTGGACTCGATTCTCCGGCTAGGAATACCAGAAGATCAGCAAAAGCCAACCACTCGTAGAAGGGCCAGAGTCTACGAGTGGTAGTCAACTTCTGGATATTAGTTTGAGTCACCATAGCGGCGACATGGTTGAAAACACGGATGATAAGTTGGGAGGAGGAGACAGGACTTCTAGGACCAATGACGACGATGAAGATGTTTACGAATCCATCACCTGCGTATCCCAGTTAAATTCTAATTCTGATTTTGAAACGCATTCGAATACGCTACAATTATTTGACAATACGGAACTACCTATCCAAAGACAGACAGAGGCCCTCAGTCTCAATATTGACGAGAGTGACTCCTCGGCATTATCTGAGCTAAGCATAACCGATCACCCCTTTCTAGCCTCGGATAACAGCGAGTTTGATACGATTGAAGTTGATGTTCCTAGTCTTCTGAGATCGGGCAAAAAACAAAGGCCGCCTGCACATTCGCCTTATTTTACATCACTAGCTCCCACTCCTTCCAAATCGAGGAAATCAGTATCATTGCAAGTAGAAGCTTCTATCAACAATGCATCGCCAAAGAAGGAATCCCCTAAAAAGCGTCCCACTGGCATAATTTCATGCATCCCTTTTCCACCCCTGTCCGCACCTCATTTTGGACTCATTCAAGAGAAGCTTGCCCATGATCCATTTCGCCTTCTCATAGCCGTCACATTTCTCAATCGCACTCATGGTAAACATGCCATACCAGTGTTCTACACTTTAATGGAACAATATCCTACCCCACAATCACTTGTCGATGCCCCGAAAGAAAACATCGTTTCAGTGATTCGGCATCTCGGTTTACAAAACCAACGTGCAGCAACTTACCAAGCTTATGCTAAAACATTCTGCGAAAATCCGCCCGTTAGATCTAAACGCTACGCAGTCCACGATTACCCCACCAAAGGTCTAGGTCGTGACGTCAGGAAAAGTGAAGTCCTTCCCGAGGAATCCGAAGACCCGCGTACAGCGTGGGAAATTGGACACATGACTCAAGGGCCCTACGCACTAGACAGTTGGCGCATCTTTTGTCGCGACATCCTATTAGGCAAAGCAGAAGGATGGAATGGCGAGGGTAACCATGAAGAAGGGTTTCAGCCGGAATGGATGAGAGTTGCTCCAGAAGATAAAGAGCTAAGGGCCTTCTTGAGATGGATGTGGTTAAAAGAGGGTTTTGGGTGGGATCCGTTTACGGGGGAGAAAGAGGTTGCTGGGGAGGAAATGATGAGGGCTGCGATTGAGGGGAGGATTGCTTGGGATGATGAAGGTGGGATGAGGATTTTGGGCGTGGATGCTGTGGGAAAGGGGAATGCTGTGAAAGTGAGTTAACATTGTGATTTTGGATGTGGTTAATTATCATTGTCCTGGATATAGAGTTGATCTTGATCCTTCAAGGGCTTTCTGTCTAAAACTAAGTTGTATATAACTCTGTAGATTCTAGTTCAATTTCTTTTCAAGTTCTTTCTATGTTATATTCTAAAAGGCATCATATATAGAACTAATTTTTGATACACTATTCTTCATAAGACTTAAAAGAATGTAAATATATACCTTTCATCTAAATTTATTTCCTTTCTCTACCTCTGATGCTCTAATATCAATATCAATATCTGACTAGGTGAGATTATATATAATTTATAGTTTATATTTCCGTAGTATTGATATATATATACATATATATCTAAGATTATATTAAGATCTTACAAAGTAAATAAAAATATCCTAGTGGATTCTTACAATGTTGACAGTTTTATAATCAGATGGTTTATTTTATTTTATTTTATTTCTATTTATCTTAGGGATGGAGGAAAGATTTATATATATATAAGATTAATCTAATTAATTTGATTTTGTAATATTAGATCGGTGTGTAAATGTTGTTGTATTTGCTGTGGTTATTAGTGTGTAGGTATGGTTTGAAGGGGGTGGGAGGTAGGAGGTAGGAGGTGAGAGTTGTTGGCTTCTGTTCTGGTGGGTTTGAGGTTAAGGGTATATATAATGATGAATTTAAGAGGAGGAGGAGGAGGAGGGGCTTTGAATTATTTTATTTTATTTTATTTCATTATTGCTTTATTTTTGGTTCTAATCGTATTGCTTAAATTTCAATGCTCATGTTATTGAATTCAGTAGGGAGACGGTAATACTGGCTGCACTTGTACTGGGTGTATGGTACAATCTTACTAGGGTTTTCACTTTGATGATACGCTAGGAATTGAGTAATACTATTTTGGTATTTTGTTTTCGTTTTTGATTGTCCTACTGTGAATAGAGAGAGCTATTTATAGCAAAATGGAAGGGGCTAAAGTTCGCTAGTGGTGCGGCTCTCTATGAGGCGTGTAATATGATGTACCGATATTTACTTTTGGTCGATGAGCGGAGTGAGCGGATTTAAGGTGCTTCTTATTTAAATTGGTCACTGACGTGTGAGAAATAGAGCGCTGTGTGACTATTTCAGCAAATTTTGAAATTCCAAACCCGTAATATATGGTAAAGCTCGATTTTCTGGGCTGCGAGGCTGCGATGCTGCGTTAGGTTACTCTCGCCCGCACAGTTGATTTGTCGCAGATGTTCTTTCAAATTTCCCAGATCAAACCGTCAAAAAAATTAGCGCGCACTGTAGTCGCCTCAAATTTCAACCAGTAAGCTTTGTTGAGATAAAGAATGTTTGACTGTACTAACAAAGGATATATAATAAAGAACCTGCAAGATTTGGTTTTTATTATTACGCATAATATATATACACGCGCGACCTCACAAGCATTACCTTGATCGAGCAACTTCTTACACAAAAGTCAAAATGTCCAAAAGATTTCGTCGCGAAGAATATTTATCACCGAATGCACAACTAGGTGAACTCATCGAAAATCTAAAAGATGACGTACCCGATTTCCTCGAAGGCCGAACTTTCACCCAGCATGAAATCGGTCTAATATACGATATGCATTCAGTAATTCACAATCAAGAGAGAAGAGAGGAGATGGGTGGAAAGTGACGGTGGTGTTTACTATGGTGGCTTAAACCGTGGTAGCTTCACACAACCATTCCCTCCTTCTCGTGCAGGCATCACAAGCTTAATTAGGTGGATTCTGATGATTCCCCTTTTTCTGTTTATTTGGTGGGTAGTGGTGATATGTGGTATGACATATATTGCAGCGAAAGACATGGATAGATTTACATCCACGCCTGGCTCGGTTAGATGGCAATCTTCCTGCTCAGGGACAGATTGCCACAGCCGCACCACCTTGTGGCCCTGGTGGCCCTTCCCACTGTACGAGTCATGAGGCCAAAGTTCCTCCTAGTAGCACGTATTTCAGGAAGAATGGTACTACCTAGCAATAACGACGTTCCCACAAATGATTTAACCGCGCTTGGAATTGTTGGTTGGGATGGGATCGTTGAACTTCTCTGTCATAAGGATGGATATAGATGGAACGATTATCGGATGTTCTTCTTCTTGGGGGTTCGATCGTTTAGAGCGTTCTTTGTGTTAATATTCTCGGCTCTTCTCGACTGGTTTCGCTTGCGGTTCAAGAAGCGGCAACTCCAGCGTCTCTTTTAAGTTCGACGAATTCCATAGATCCGCTGATTTTCATGGTGGATTTTCGACAGAGTACGATAGATTTTGGTAGTCAGAAGAGCCTTAAGATCTTTTTGTACGTAGTCGATGGAGATTGCTGGTGTAGATACTGGTGCGTTTCAGAATGTTGGATTTAGAAAGGTTGTTGAAGTGATTAGAAATTGCCGGAAAATTAGAGGTTTTTTACTTTTAAAGTAGCAGTCATAGATTCGGTTTCAGTAAGTTTAAACGATGAATAAAAGCGTCTGATTTGGTAGTGATAATCTTACCTTTACTACTGGTGTCTTGAAAAAGCTATCCAGTTCTCGGGATCAGAAATGAAACTTTTAACGCCAAAAGTATCATGGGGTTTCCATTAGACTCCCCGTGTTAGAACCAGTTTCGATTGGCAAGCTACTAATCTTTCTATTTTCTTTCGAGCAATCTACCTCTTTCCTCGGTAGGATTTTCCTTGGATATATAAACTGGCTAACTGACATCCTTATCTAAACTTCAAACCCTCAACCTTGAACCTTCACACACCTCATCTAGAGCAAATCCTTCGAATTTACATATCATCAACCTACCCCCACATCTATCAGTCAACTCAAAGCAAAGTAAAACAAAATAAATGACAGAACAGTTGCCTCCCCATCTCCATATCCCGGCAAGCGGCCTCAATAATCATGCACATGATCAACCCCGCATCCGCGCTTGAGGTCTCGTCCCTGAGCCAAGAATTAACGTCTTACTAATCTTGTCTATCTTGATCCTCGGGTTGACCCTGGGGCTCTTGGTTCACGGGTTATTGATCGAATTCCGCGCATCAACATTCAGGTATGAGGCTTGTTTCGGGCCACTCTGTACTACATACAATGGTGCCAAAAAGGGTTATGGTGAGTTGTTGACCTCCTGGGATCTTGGCAGCATATGCATATATAGTACATATGCATATAAGGAGCAAACAAAACTCAACTTTTAATTCATTCTTTCCTTTTTGGTATACTGTTTGTTTGCTTTCAATATTTTGATTTCAAAGCACTTTAATTCCGAAGGCTGAATACCCAACCTATTCCTTCATTTTTTTGAATATATGCTCGCAGCTTAACTGCTTAGCTAGAGAATCAATCAATTCAATCTGATACTCTTTCTAGTCTCAAGAAACCCAACAGTTATGAGCCCGGTGCTGACTTTCAATTAAACATCCTGCACAATACTTGATTCACATATACCGAAACTCTACGATACCTTCAAGTTTCACTCTTTTAAGAATTACCTTACGTAGTGTGGTTTCTATAAAACCCAAACCTCGATAATTCTGACTTTATTTCTTCAATATGACTACAGGCGATAATTCAACTAAAATCATCCTTTCCTCACCAGAGGATTGGAATAGTTGGATTCGAAATGTTCAGCGTATTGCAGAATCCGGCGGCATCAAATGCTGGGTATACCTTGATCCCACTACAACAGTTGTACCTATACCAGAGTTGCTAGATGAACCAGAGCTACCCACAGTTGATGAAAATGCTTCTGAGGCTGTTATTGATAGGGCTTTAAAGCAATATCAGATGCAACTAGAGAACTATCGTATCAAGAATACCAAATACGAGAAAATCAACAAGGCCATTTCAGAGGTTCTCAAGTACATACTTTCATCAATCAACCGCAATTGCGAAAAGTTTATTAGTACCACCAGTATCACAGCACCTCAAGTGCTTGCTGATTTACGCAAAAGGCTAGCACCAACTGATCGTGCGAGAGAGCTTACCGTCGTAGCACGATACAATTGTGTAAAGCAACCCTACAAATCCAATCAGGATATTTATGAATGGTTGAACGAATGGGAACTCATCTACACTGAGGCTAAAACTCTCAATCTGCCAGACGTCGATCGAAATCGAGCTGCGTTCGACTTTTCTACAGCCCTTATGAATCACAGCTCCTCTTGGGCAACTTCAACTCTGTTGGAGATCACCAAAAAGCTCAAGAATCAGCCTGAAGAAACGATTGATGTGTACGATTTAATCGAAGACTTTCGAAACTACACTCGACTCACACAGGCATCAACTACTTCAACCTCTTCTACGTCATTTGCAACCTATAAGGATGGGAATAAAGATAAAAAGGAAGGAGAGAGAACCTGTCTATGTGGCAAGAAACATCTATATGAAAAATGCTACTATCTATATTCGGATAATCGACCAAGGAACTGGAAACCAATCGATGCCGATATTGAATACTTCAAGAAGTTCTGGGGAAGGCAATCAACAAAACGAAGGAACTGGTTTGTTCGTAGACATGAAGGAACTAAAGAACTTCTCAAGCTAGCAAATCTCTCTTGGGATCCAGCATGGAAGGAAACATTGACTAATCCTTCAGAATCTGGAAAAGAGAAAGATAAGGATCTTGGGGCTTTTCTCACTAAACAAAGTCCTACCTACAACAATGCTAGCATCCTTCACAAATGGCTAATTGATAGCGGTTCCGATACCCATGTCACCAACTCTCTACACAACTTTGTTCTTGAAGAGTTTGGAAAGCCATCCGATATGATAAGCGCTGGAAGGGACCGATTCCAAATTGAAGCATTCGGTACTATCACTATGTTGATCAATACACCAACTGGGCCAGGGCAAATAACCTTAAAAAGAGTGGCGTACATCCCAGGGTTTCTTACAAACCTAGTCTCTCTAGCTTTACTCTCAAAGAAAGGTGTACATTGGAACACTGAACACCCAGATGTCCTTACAAAAGAAGGCATTGCATTTATTACTCTGAAGCAAACAGGAGACCATTGGACCCTCGATCCTATTATCCTTTCTCAGCATGCTTCGTTTGCCACCAAAAACCACACCAAATCAATATGCCGAAAGGTTACAACAACAGAGTTACATGATCTTCTAGGCCATCCTTCTCTCGAAGCCCTTCAGCACCTAGAATCAGCAACTACTGATATCATTATCGACAAAACGATTTCGACACCTTCCTTCTCTACCTGCAAAGTTTGTAATCTCTCGAAGGCTCAACAGATTATATCTCGTAATCCAAGGAAGGAGATGCCAGAGAACGGCCATGTCGGAGATCGATTGGCATGGGATCTGTTCGAGATGGATGAGGCTTATAATAATACCCGATATATCAGCCACTTCTGGTGTACGACACACAAAATACAATGGGTGTATGTTCTAACTAGGAAAACAGAGATGATCGATATTATGGATACTCAATTCTCTCTGATACAAACACAATTCGGCTCAAAGGTCCGATTCATACGCCTCGACGGTGAAACTACGTTAGGGGGCGACTTCAAGAGGATCACAGACAAACGTGGCATCATTGTCGAACGCACTCCACCAGATACACCAGCACAGAATGGCGCTGCAGAGAATGCTGGTAAAATGCTCATGGTCAGAGCAAGAGCCCTCCTCCTTTCAGCAAACCTACCACAAAACCTTTGGCCAGAAGCAATTAAAACAGCCGGTTATCTTGAAAACCGTACTCCAAAAAGAGCTCTTCAATGGAAAACACCATTTGAAAGTGCTACTGGCAATAAACCTTCGCTAGCACATCTACATCCATATGGGTGCTTGGCATATGTGCTCAACAAGCAGATTCCAAGACGTGCGAAGATGCAACCTCGTGCAAAACTGGGCTATCTTGTAGGGTATGATTCAACGAATATCTTCAGGATCTGGCTCCCTTCCATAAATCGCGTCATTCGAAGTAGGGATGTCAAATTTGATGAAACCCGGTATTATCGACCAGAAGATATAGATATTGGCTTTCTTATTAAGGATCAACTTCGGGATACTGCAGCTATTCACGAAAAGAGGGCAGAAGAGATAGAAATATCGAATCTGTTGAGTGAAGAATCAGATGAGAGTATTGGTGATATAATTGTAGTTGAAGGGCCATGGAACTTACAACACAATCGCTTAAACGAGCGACCAACGAATGAAAGCTCTTCAAACAAGACGGATGATGGTATTCCAACCAATGAGGGGGTTCCTCAAACTAACCCTCAATTGCCAACGCCTAGAGCAACCTTATCACCAGAAGCACTTACAAGACAATCTACTGGAGATGTTCCTATACCATCATTACCGGAGTCAGAACTCTCATCTTCCCCATCATCATCGTTAAGTCAACATGATATCATCACTACAACATCATCTCATAATACAGCACCTTTGGCAGAGCAAATACGTGCCGATATCGACGTATCCCATATAATTCAGGGTTCTAGACGTTCACAAAGGAAAGAACATCATGCTGCAGCACTTTCATCACTTCCTCAACTATCCAGCTACTTTGCAGCATTTGCTATCGGAAGGTCTAAATTACGAACTCCTAGATTACATCAAAATGATCTACCACCTCCACCTCGATTTTATCATGAGCTAGTACAGCATCCATATGCTAGAGAATTCCAAAAAGCATGTGAGGATGAGATCAACGCTCTGAAAGAACGTAAAACCTTCGAATACATCGATATATCTACAAGAGGACAAAAGCCTTTACCATTACTCTGGGTTTTCACTTATAAATTCGATCAAGATGGTTATCTCATCAAGTTCAAAGCAAGAATCTGTGCCAGAGGAGATCTTCAATCAACCGAAGAAGAGACATACGCTGCAACGCTAACTTCACAAATTTTTAGAGCTATGATGGCTATCGCTGCAGCTTTCGATCTTGAGATTCGACAATTTGACGTTTCCAATGCTTTTTTACATGCAACATTAAGGCAACCAATTATTTGCAAGTGCCCTGATGGCTTCGAAGTCCCAGGGAAAGTGATTTCCGTAAACCAAGCACTTTATGGCTTCCGAGAGTCTCCAGCATACTGGTATGAGGATCTGACCTACACGTTAACCGACTTTGGTCTGGATCCAGTTCCAGGAGCACCCTGTGTTTTCACCAATAGCTGGCTTACGGTTCTCTTCTATGTCGACGATATTATCGCAATTTGCAAGAAAGCTGATTTGCTACGATTAACCTTATTCGAAAACACCTTAAAATCAGCATACACCATCAAATCACTTGGAGATATACAGTTCTTCTTAGGGATTAGGGTACTACGAGATCGACAAAATCATCGTCTGTGGCTTTGCCAAGATAACTACATTTCAAAAATATCAACACGCTTCAATATCAAACCTAATCCTCAAGCCTGTTCTCCATTGCCAACAACAGCACTTACAAAGAATCCAGCAATTGCAACTCCGCAACAGGTTTTCGGCTACCAGCAGCGAGTTGGCAGCATTAACTACGCTGCTGTTGTGACTCGGGCTGATATTGCAAAAGCATCTTCAATACTATCAGAATTTCTTCGTAATCCATCCGCTACTCATATCAATGCAGCAGTACATACATTGCAATACCTTGAGAATACCAAATTCTATGCTATCATGTTCGATGGGAAGAAAGCAACAACTACCAGGAACTTTCAAATCTGGAGTGACGCCTCCCATGCTGACGATATCGATACAAGAGTTTCTTCAATGGGATATTGCCTCATACTCTTTGGAGGTTTGATCCACTTCAAAAGCACTAAGCTGAAGTCGGTGACTACTTCCAGCACACACTCTGAAATACTGGCTCTTTCCGTTACTGCTCGAGAGCTTATGTGGTGGATACGCTTCTTTAAGAATGTTGGTTTAGATCTCGAAGAAAAGGCTTCAATTTTCTGTGATAATCGCCAAACCATTCGACTTCTTCAGCATAGTACTCCTAGACTTGTTACAAAACTCCGGCATGTTGATATACACTCCTGTTGGCTTCGCCAGGAAGTGCAAGCAGGAAGGCTACAAGTCGAATGGGTTCCAACTACTGAAATGGTTGCAGATGGTTTCACTAAACCTCTACCACCACAGAAACACACTCATTTTATCAATCTTTTGGGAATGGTTGACATTCGGTCTCAGGTTCAGGAATAACCTCATTATTAACTAACTCGGTAATCCCTGAGGGGGCGTGTTGACCTCCTGGGATCTTGGCAGCATATGCATATATAGTACATATGCATATAAGGAGCAAACAAAACTCAACTTTTAATTCATTCTTTCCTTTTTGGTATACTGTTTGTTTGCTTTCAATATTTTGATTTCAAAGCACTTTAATTCCGAAGGCTGAATACCCAACCTATTCCTTCATTTTTTTGAATATATGCTCGCAGCTTAACTGCTTAGCTAGAGAATCAATCAATTCAATCTGATACTCTTTCTAGTCTCAAGAAACCCAACATGAGTCATGTAGGTCTGGAACATAAACTCTGTGTCTCCAAATGTGCTGAGTATGTGGTGACTGCAATCCTTTAGGTTCTTCGCTAGAGGGTGCTGTTTCTTTCATTGAATCACGATTATGCAATTTTTGGATTTCGATTTTGATCCTAGGTGCCCTTCAGTAGACGCATCATCACCGAGCATGCTTCAATTTACGAAAATCACATCGATATTCCATCCTCCTCTTCCCTCATCTCCCTCGCCTACCATAAGAGAAAAATCCCCCAAGGTCATCTGCCACATCTTCGAACTACACCGTCAACGCGATGATTTTTGGTCGGGATTGGTACCATACCTCATCGATAATTCGTCTCAGGTTAACTGTATTCAGCACAAGACTGCTATGTAAATGGATATAGGGTTGCAGCAATTAAGGGAAAAGGAGAAGGTGATAGCTATGCGTTATTTTGCTTGGGGTTTCTTTTTTGGGGTTTCTTCATGTTTCTTGTTTGGGTTCTGTAACGGGGTTCGAAGCTTTCTTGGGTGGTTCAGGCTGTCAATAATTGCTAGGTTAAATTTACTTGATTTGGCTGAGGTCTCAGGGAGTATAGATTTACAAAAATTTCTGATTTTTGGATCTCAGCTTGCAATTTCATCTTATTTTGGTTTTGATGCAGTTGACGCCTTTGTATCTTCGTTGTTCAATAATAGAATCTTGAAATTTCGCTTAGACTGAAGAACTTTACAAGAAAAGTCAAAATGTGCCGGATGAAACCTTTCTTTTAGATACGTTCAAGCTTTTGGTAGATTACTCAAGTGATTGCTCCTAGAAACGTCACAAATGATCTAGAATGCAATATCATACAAGAATTTTCTCGACTTTCCAATCTAATCATGCGTGAAGGTATATAAGGCTACACTTTGCCCTACCATCCCATCTGAGCTCTACACAGAAAATCTACAGCGAAGAAACTGCATCTAACACAAAAATTTCTACGTGTTCTTCATCAAAAAGAAGCCAACTCAAAAATGTGCATCTTTTCCTCAATGTTTTTATCAGGCACTCCACAAACTATTCCATGCGAAAGGTGCTATACTCCCACTCAATCAGGATCCACTAGTTCGCCTACAGCAAGGTCGAGGTCTTCAGGATCAACCAGTCCATCCACAGCAAGCCCTTGGTCTTCAGGATCAACCACTCCGTCCACAGCGAGCTCTTGGTCTTCAGGATCGGCCACCCCGACCAATACTACTAGTATTCCTCGAAGCCCCTCTTACTTCAGTAACTAAATTCATTCAAGATAGTCCCCCAGGTGTGTCACTGCTCATAAATATTTGATTCATGGGTCCTTTTATCACCATGATTATTTTCAAACCCGACTGAGGGCAGTGCAGGAGGTTGACGTAATTCCCAGTCTGCTACTCACGTCCTAACATTCATATTCAGATGGATTTTGTGATGTGGATAGGAGGCATAAGTTCGAAATTTTTGGGGCTGATATCGCACGATGCATGGTCTGTTCGTTTTTCTATCATCTGTACGGGATTTAATCATTTGGTCTGTGGCAAGTACGGGATGATAAGCGACAAGAGCAGAAAAGGGTGGTAGCGGCCATAGCATTATTGAGAGTACGGATGAACCAGGGCGAACAAGACAAGTGAATGAGAAATAAAAGTGTTTTTGGTAAGATTATCATGATGCCAAATTAAAATAATACAAAGATTCTCCTCGTCAAAATATTCATACTAATACTTCACTGTATTATAATCTCATTCTGCTTGATCTCAACTAAACAGTTCCCCGCAGTAAAACTAAATCTTCACTATTTTAGTTTATACAACAACCATGAGATATGCAACAAACCAACCGATTCTAGGTCTAATTTTTAGTTCCCGCTATTTAGTTTGTGCCAAGTATTTTTGTAAAAGCGTATTGCCCAGTTCCCCAGATGAGCTTGAGTATATCCTATGCTCATTTCAATGTCAAATTTCGATTTATAATTACTAGATAGATAGAACTCCTTTTCCCTCGTCAAAATTAAGTCTTGGAATGGTATGTTGTTCTAGTGGGTTTGGTGCAATGAACATACTAAGACCACATATATTCATAACAATAATCCACGAACTCATATATCACTCCACAAATCCCATACACAAACACTCCTCCCTATCCTGTGTAACCCAGTCAAATACAAGATCCAAGATCCAAAAAGCACAAAAATTCAAAAATCTACCCGAAAACAACAAACACGCAAAATGTCAGTTCCGGTACGGGGAATTGAACCCCGGTCTCCCGCGACTTGATTGAAGCTCGTAGGCTTTCAATGAGAGGCGGAAATGCTAGCCACTACACCATGCCGGATTCTATGTATTATTTGATGTACATCGGGGAAAAAATTGAAGATATATATGTAGTGTATGGCACTAGATAATTTTGCGGAAAGAGATTTAAGCGAGAAAGAGGGGCTTGTTGTTACCCCACCACCATTTAAAAATTTTGTTCTAATGCCCTCCCTACGGATCTAGATGGGTTAGAGTTTATGAGAAATATAGATTTGATTCTTTATATTTGAATTGTAGTTTTATACTTTTTGTGTATTTTAGTTCGAGATTTATTGGTGAAAAAGATTGTACTTTAATGACCCGGATTAAATATAATAGAAGTATGCATAGAGTCTAACCATTTCTTGATCCTAAGACCTTTTGAGATCTAATCTTAAAAATATATTATATAGGGTTTTGATTCGATCGAATCGGACTCAGGATACAGGATTTTTTTTCATTCATTCAAAAATTAAATCTATCACAGGTGGAATAGAATATTGTCTTAAACGTCTAGAAAGAATTGATGGTGGACTTTGAAAAGATTATAGTAGTTCACCTCATCAATTCTTGCATCCCTCCTTCTGTTGGACTTAGGAGGGGAAGACACATGTATTGCCTCAATATTTTCCAAATTTCAAGGCGAAGGTTTTTTTCGTCAAATGGTATATATAAATACTACACCTAGAACCCTCAATATTTCCCCTCCATCTTAGCTAACCTCGTCCTTACTCATCTCATTCTTCGCCTGAGCAACTTTCTCACTATTCAATATATAAAGAAACTCTCTATAAAAAATATTAGTGGCATACATATGAACCAAGATATTCCCAAGCGTATCATTTAACTCCAATCTCCTCTCTCTCAACCAAGTTCTTCCCAACTATTTCACAAACCATTTCCCCCTCCCAAAAAATACACCCGCACCTATCAACCGCACAACTCCATACCATCTCATCTATCCTATCACCCATTATTCTCTCCCCTACATATTCTCATATCTAACCACTCCTAAACACTTATTTCCTCCCCACCCCCTTTAAATTTCGCACTAACCTCCACATCCTCATCCCTCAAAATAAGTACACCGAATATCTACTCCTTATACCCAATTCCCGCAATCTCTGAAAATCCCCCCTACTATAAAGCCCATCACAAATTAAAGATCTCGAACCAACAAATAAAATATTAGGAGCAAGATGACGAGATGATGAGGCAACAGCTTGTATAGCGCGTTGCTGGATAAAGCTTTTAAAAAGGTGTACCGGTACCGGTATAGAATATGAGGGGATGGATGTGTTTGATGTTGAGATGGAGAGCAAAAGAGGCATTTTATTTCTAGTGCAAAGTTGGATGGATATATTTACAGGGTTACCTTTGAGAACGGGGGAGCGATAGCTTTCGCTTGTTGTGGAGTAGTGGCTGGAATTGGAGAGGAAAGGAGGGGACGGAGAGGGTTGTAGGCTATTGTGGAGGTTGTGGTGGAGGAGAGAGTAAAGGAGGATATGGAGTAATTAATAGCGGAAGCGAAGGGACAGAGGGAGGAGAAGGAATCGCAGAAAGGGAGGTTGACTGACGGGTACCCTCCTGTAAGCGCAAGGGTGCTTAAAACTCCGGCCAGGACATAGCGTTCGTAGGTTTTAAAATCGGTAGAAATGACTGTGAGATGATTGTTTTTGCGGCTTAATCTGCATGGTTAGATGTGGCATCGTTAGAAGAGTCTATATTTTGATTAGCTAGGGGATATATACAAAGACATTGAAGAGAATACATACATTCTTACTAACCGGCTTCTGTACTCAATCGATAAAGAATCGTTAGAACTCAACTTCAGCCCTGAAATAGCTGATCCTTCTGTAGAAGGTGACATAGATATCGATGAGCCTGTAGGCTTAAGACCTGACATTCACGAGCTTCTGCGAACCTGTCCGAGATGCATAGCTCTCATTTTATAGCAAAAAATAATTTACATTACGAGATCCTCCGACGTTACAATGAAAGTTTGCTTAGCACGTAATCTGTAATCCTTTTCACGAAGATAAAAATCAAAGTTCCCTAGAAACATAATCTTAACCATCAATACTTCCCCCCATGCGAATGCACGACCGTACAATATATGCACCTTCTCCATTTTCAAAAGACTACTCGAATTATCAAGTTGACACAGGAGGGTACTTCAAATACTAATTTGTCATGCATAATGCCGCATTCTGGAAGATTCTTGGAATTGTTTTTTTAATCATCATAATAAATACTAGTTTAAGACTGTTTGCATCATCTCTATCAAAAATTAAAACATGGATGTTGTTGTACAGCACCGTTCCAGAAGCCAGAAGCACGAAAATCTTATGTTGACCTCCCGGGATCTTGGCAGCATATGCATATATATTGCATGATGCATATAAGGAGCAAACAAAACTCAACTTTTAATTCATTCTTTCCTTTTTGGTATACTGTTTGTTTGCTTTCAATATTTTGATTTCAAAGCACTTTAATTCCGAAGGCTGAATACCTAACCAGATTCCTTCATTTTTTGAATATATGCTCGCAGCTTAACTGCTTAGCTAGAGAATCAATCAATTCAATCTGATGCTCTTTCTGGTCTCAAGAAACCCAATATCTTATCAGCTGGTTTACTTCGACATTTTCCACGGCGGAGTGTAGCTTTCTCCACGATAAATTCTTGAAGAACCCGTTTGGTCACAAGCTCACACCCGGAACAATTTGTGTGATGCGCAACGTTTTCCTCAGAACACCTTTTACATATATATCCGAGGCTATTTAGATGTTCCACACGAAGTGACTCTCTGCCAATCATTTGGTCTACTTTTGCTGAGCTGCATTATATGCATCTGAATTTTTTGTTAGTTCAAAAGAACAACGAGAGAAAATCAGACGTAGTTTCATGTGCTTAAATAGAGTATTCGACAGAAACAATGAATGTCTAATTCTGTATCATACCAGCGACCAAGAAAGTGATCAAATCATCTCTCGTTTCATTTTTAGTCTGTACTTGGCTTTTCCCCCCTCCTCCTTATCATCTAACCTATTTTCCACAAAACATATGACTTTTGGCCCAGGAATCGTCACCTCAATAAACAATCGACACAAATTATTCATAAGCGAATTTAACGTATTAACTTGCCTTTCATCAAGATCCACACTTGTAGAATTTCATGTCAAAAAAAAAACCTTGCATCTTTCAGCTGTAAGCCACTAGGCCTGCTCGCAATCTTTCAAAAGTGGCGAATCAATTGAAGCATCATGGGAATCATCATAAACAACTGCCTCTGGATAGATCGTCGCCGTGTATGTTAGTTGAAGTGGGAATAGCTTCTTCGGACATTGTGTACGAGTGGAAATCCCCCAGATGATCTGGGTAATGATTGGTGTTTTGTAATCTCCCGTCATGGATGTGCACGTGGCTGGACTCATGTATATTGTGCCTGTACAGCTTCTTGGTGCTATTCGTGATATAATGTTCAGCAGGAACTCGATGTCCTGAGAATCGAAGCATGGATATCGGTTGATGGGATAATAAGGCTTACGTTGACTGCGCGGTGCTTGACTGTGTAGTATACCTCCCAACAATGATTTCTGTTGCATTTATGAACGGCTGCTGAATGGCCTGTCGTTGTATGAATGGAGAAAAAAATACAAAAATTACTAATGTAGGTACCTGCATGGATTCGAGCCAGAATGTGGCACAAGTTCCCAATCTTGGAATAGTGTGATATGATAAATAAGCACCAAGATTCTTCTAAATATAACTTGAGCTTATCGTTGATGTTGCTTTCTTCTTTTTCCGTGGTCCAGAAAATAGATATCTCTGTCTTAGCCATGCGAAACATTGAGTACCTAGGTAAGATCTCCACAAAGGCCCTCGCAACGTGCATATCTTGGCAGGGAATTGGTTGACAGCAACGAAAACAATCGAAAAGTTTCCATTGCTCGGATGAGTAGACAAAGCAATGTGAAAACCAATTCCAAATGCTCAAATCTTCGTCTCCAAATCAATAATATATTTAAATAGTCAGAATGTCATCTTCAGCACGTCGATCGCCAGCATTATCACAATCCCCTCCACCAATTCTTCAAGCTCCAATACTTCCTGAAGCTCCAAAAGAAAGTGCTGTAGTAAGGGTAAGTCACTCCCATCTGTTCTGAACATCTGCCACTGTGATTCTCATCAAATGTATAGCTTATAATTGCGCCTATTACCTTCATCTCATTTATAATTTCTCTCTTCCTCATCGATCAACGCAATAGTTCACTCCGAATAAATGAACACTCTAAACCCCGCACATATCCTAATACATTCTTCGGGCGCACCCAAGAATTTCTACACAGTTTGGTTTTTAAACCACAACCATATGCATATCTCAAGTCGCCATATCGAGGACAACATGCGGAAGGGGATAGGAAAAGGGAAGAAGAGCCGTGGCATTGGCATACGAAACAGAAGAAAATGATGAAGATGGAGGTTTCGGATGCTTTTAAATTTAGACAATGGGTTTTGATTGGGATGGCAGTTGTGGCAGTGGTAATAGGATTGCTGATACTCTATCTTGCGAATTGGATAAGACGGATGTGGTTTTGAGATGATTTGATAGTTACCTGTTCTAGACATTGGAAAAGATGGAATGAGATCTAGGAGTACACCATACTGGGAAGGAGTTTGGGGTACTCCAGCAAAATGGGTTGAATAGCAGACGAAGGATTCGAAAAAATGATGTCAAAGGCTGCTAGCTAAAGTCGTCATTACCATCTCAAACACAATAAGCTATAAGCTAGCTGTATGAGTACTCCGCATATATCCATCAATTCCACTCAGGTCGAGAAGCAGAGCAATTATCTTAGCATCGACATAATCAATCTACTAGGTAGTGTAGTGCACTATGTAGTAACCTTACCATACACTCGGGCCACTCTAATCATGGTTTCCGCCTTCAAGGATAAGCTCGGCATTTTTATCATTTGAGATAACGAGATAAAAAAAAATATTAAAATATGGTTAAGTAAAGTTGAAAATAAAAAGCAAAGATGGAAAACAGAGTGAATAATTGAAAAAGAAATGTAAGCAGGAGAAGAGACTGTGAGATAAACTTTTGAAAGCTGAAAACCTACAAGCAGTCAAAATCTTTTCTTTGAGGCGAATAACGTTACCTCATTTTTTCGAAAAAAGATACTCGTAGCCTTGGGAAGTTCTTCAAGATCAACCCACTTCAATACTTCGATACTTCTTCTTCATACTTATCAGAGAGCTCCACCCAAACACCATTTCCGATTCACCACTACTCAAAGCTTCAACCTTAACATCGACGCGTTTTGGCGCGATTCGCTTTTTAGTTAACTTCAGGTGCTCCACTCTTGAAAAAGCAATTTAGCTTCACCTAACCAATTGCGCTTCTCGATGCCGTTCGTTTTTAGCCTTGTCTCTCCTCTTCGCATATCCGCATCCTCTTGCTATTTCGCATAACTTCGAATTGATCAAGAATATTCGCGATGAATTCTTTAATAGAACCTCCTGCCTCACCAGGCTTTTCACTGAGAGTAAAGGTCTTTACACCAGATGCTGCCGAGGAAAATGATCGCCCAATTCGTTGCTTTCGAGTTATTACATCACCAAATATTACCATACGAGAATTTTGCACAGAAGCTTCAAGAGTTCACGAAATCAATTATGGCCAGTAAGTCTTTGCGCTTCTGCGAATAGACAGAGGGGAAACTTTGAGTTTGAAGTTGACATTCGCGGTTGCTGATTCTCACTTCATCTAGGCCACTTGCGATCAAAAAGTGTATGGATGATGAATTATTTGACGTCACCCAAAACGATATGCTAGGACCCCTCTTTCCCAATATGTCTACTATCCGAATCATAAAAGCTCCCAACAAACCAAACATTAGAGATTCTCTTCCACCAACTTCAGCCCTTCGATTTAATCCAATAAGTGTTCTTGGTCAAAAAAGAGATAGGTCACCTTTGAATGGAAATGCAGAACCCTTTTGGAATCCCCAAAAACGTCAGAGGACGGCCATAGATCCAGATCACCCAATTCCTTCTCGAGAGATAGAGTCATGGAATGGCGGAAGGTTGGAAGGGATCCCGGAAAAGTCAGAGACAACAATTCCAGATTCGCAACGGAGTGCTATCTTAGATCATGAGGATGAGGACAATGATGTTGTACCAAATGTAAGAGAATATTCTCCCATGACCTCCGACACCGCACAGCGATCATCCCCATCGCCAGTAAAGCGAAGTTTCCCTCGCCAAAGCCATGCCATAACTAACTATGTCACAAAGCTATCTACCAGTAATTTAAATGCGCGATCTGACAAAGCTCCGAAAGAACTTGTCAGTCTGTTCCAAGAACCTCCGCCACAGATTCAGGGCACACCAAAGAATAGTACAGGAGCGAAGAATGCAAGTTATCATATTCAGAGGGCTACTAACAGAGGCCGATCTGTTTCGACGACTGCGACAAGTCCTTTGATAGGCGAACCACAACTTCCTCCTCACAGCCACTCAAACTCTACCAAGAAGCGGAAATCAAGTACTCCGAATAATCGGTCACCTCGGAACGAGAGTGATATATATGATGACTTTGGTTCAGATACTGAGGAGCCAACCATTCGACAATCAAAACTCAAGTTTAAGAAAGATGCGCAAAAAGGATTGTCTAGTGTTGAGACGTTAGCCGAGTCACCTTCAAATAACAATTCACATCCTTCCAAGGCTTTCCAGTCGATTTCCACTCCAAACGAGCTCCCTCTAACGCCAAAGAGTAAAGTACGCGAGGAGGCATTGCGCAAAAGGAAAGAAAGTGAAGAAGCAGCTAAGGTAGCGCGGGCTTCAGCTGCAAAAGCTGCCGAAGAACGTCGACGTGAATCGGAAAGAGAGGCTATTGCAGCAAAAGCAGAGCGGATGCGCAAGGAGAAGTCAGAGGAACGCAAGGCAGAAGAGGAACAGAAACAAGCAGCGAGAAAGCAGAAGGAAGTAGCTGCCCTTGAAGTCCAGAGATTAAAGGATGAGAAAGCGAAATTGCGCAAACAAATTGAAGAAGACGACAGACTTGAGAAGATCAAGGCGTTAGAGGAGGCAGCGAAACAAGCCGAGGAGGAGTCTATAAAGTCAGAGGCTCCTGAAAATTCTAAGAGAACATCCAACACTCCACAAGAAAGCAGGAAAGGAACTCCCGTCAACAAAAGAAACACCCCTGCCGTTATACTTCCTCGTCAATCATCCACGCCTCATTATCCAAGAGGTAAGAAGTCATCTTTGAAGACATCAAGTTCTTCTGAGAGCATAAAAAGCTCTTCATCCGGTGACCCACCTCCTAAAGATACCAGCTTAGAAGCTCAGATACCATTGCCATCGAAGAGCCCTCGGCGTGTTTCCTTTGACCTTAATGCGACAACCACCCCTGTGAAACCACCTCCCAAGAAGGCAACTTCAATTGATATACCAAATGGGAACACAACACCCAAGCTTGCTTCTAGTCAAATCCCAGCGCAAAGTCAGACACCAATTCCATTGCCTAAAACTTTTAAACGACCTGATCGTAGTGCTACTCCAGTCAGACAGCAATCATTAAAACCATCTGCTATGAACCAACCTCCATTGACAGCAGCTCGCACAGGTTCGATGTCGCGCTCCGCAACACCTAAGCCTGTTTCTCTACCAGCACATAAGAGTGTTTTGACTGAGTCAAAACCTTTACAGAAAAACACTATTACACCGGAAGCAAGGAAAGCAGTTACTTCTGCGCCCAGCCGACCATTATCGGTCAAAGGTATGTAAATAATGCGCAGAAATCACTAAGATTGTTTTGATGTCATTATTTTCTCATTTCGGCCCATTTAGTCAATCAGCGAGCAGTTGAATTGGAAAGATTTTAAACTGACTGTATAATTAGAAAAATCAAAGTCACCAATTAAGCCTGCTGAAGTACCGCTTCCTCCAAGCTCCGACAGCTCCGACAGCTCCGACTCGGAAGTTTCTGAATCTGAAGAAATGGTCGCTATCAAGGAAGAGCCGAAAAGATCGAATAGTCCTGAGACTCTACAGGTCGAAGAATCAAAGAATAGCGAAGATCAGTCGGATGAGGATGTCGAAATGGGCGAGAATCAGTCATCATCACGCGAGAGTCGATCCCCGGTTGTCTTTCATTCCAACGCAGCATCCAGCGATGAACGTAAATCCCGCTCTAATCTCAATCAAACGTCGCGTTCAGTTTCTTCCTCATCCGAGGATGAATCTTCAGACGAAGAACAATCAGAAGACGATGCGGACGAAAAGCAGAATGACATTGAAGATAAAGCAGAAATAAAAGAGACTGGAGAAAGTTCCGAAGATGAAGATAACAGTGATAATGATGACGAGGACGTGGAAATGCCAGACGCTCCACCACAGCGGTCCAGTCCGAAATTACCAAGCCATGCCCGGAGAAATTTGGTTTCTCCTATAAAAACTACAAATCAACGTAAGACTTCTAGCAGCGATGGGGATGACACCCAAGACGAAGTTGATCTACAACTAACATCTGATATTTTCGAAGCCCAAGGTTCATTTTCCTCACCTGCCAAAAGACCAACGATTAAACCATCATTTAATTTTGGCGCAAGTTTGTCTTCACTTAACAGCCAGAAAGGAGCCATGTTTAAATCGAAACCTTTGACAAATGGTCAACTTGCAAAATCTAAATTGCAACTTTCATCTCAAATGATAAAGAATGAATTTTCGGCATCGGAATCCGAAGAAGAAAGCGATAGTGATGATAGTTCCGACAATGATGACGTTCAAATTCCAGCAACCTCACAAATTATCCAACCTTCAACCCAAAATAATGGTTTCATCTCAACAGCGACTAAGAAAATTCAAGATGCCGGTAGTGATTCTGATTCTGATTCTGATAGTGTTTCGGATTATGCAGCAGCAGCAATGGAGGAAGCGAGAAGATCATTAATGGCGGAGGTTCATCAAAGTGGAATGACTGCTAGCCAGAATAATATACTACAAAGTTCGCAAATCTCGGCTAATGGTGGGGTAGGAAAAGGAAAAGGGGAGACTGGAGTGCTTGGCAAGACAAATGGAAGTGCGAAGGGTTCGAGGACTGCAGGGAAGGAATTTGCTAAGAAAGGAAGGGATAGGATTACGAATGGTTATGATTTTAAGAATTATGGATCTTTTAATTGAATTGTGGGGGTGGGCGGGGGTGGATGAAAAATGGGAAGTTGGTTAAAAGGAAAGCGCTTTAAGGGGACATACAACAAAGAGCGTCATTTGTGCATAATGATGGGGTGATTTTAAGCATGGAGGTGTTCACATTTTTGCTACACGAGGAGAAAGCTGCTGAAGCAGATATGATATCCGGTTGATTTTCTTCATTTTTGAGGACTTGTATAAAGGTAGGAGTTTGGATTCAGAAAGGAAGAGAAAAAATAGGAAATTTCTCCACATTTTTTCTTGATTTTTTTTTCCTTTTCAGTGTGGTGTGTGTATACATTTGTGTATATTGGATGACATGGGATATTTGATGTTGTATTTTAAGTTTTTTTTTGGTTTGTAGATTGGGTTTTGAGATGAGGGTGGTAAATGGGGGTTAGTGAGTGGTTAGTGGTAGGGGGAGGAGAAGGGAGATTAATATGATGATTTTTTTGGAGTGGATGGGAAAGGGAAGGGAAGGGGAGGGAAGGGAAGGGAAGGGAGGAAGAGTGATGGGGTAGGAAATGAGGATAGGGATGAAGATTGAATGGTGGAGATTGAGGTGGAGGCGGGAAATAGGGAATGGATTAAATAAAATGGTGATGATAGTTGTAGATATGTAGCTTTGGGGTCAGTGATGGATGTGTGTGTGTGTGTATGAATTTAATGTATAGATATCATATTCCCTAACTGAACAAACGAGATTATTGCAAGTAAGAAGTAAGATTTATGAGTATTCTTAGGATGGGATGGTATAGTGGTGGTATAGGTGATTTATTTTAGTTTATGAAGACTTTTGAATTTTGGGTTGAGATTTGATTTCTGATGTGTTTTTGTGTTTGGCTTTATATTGTAAGATATAATTATTAAAATGTCAATAATAATCATCTTCTTTATTGATTATAAATTAAATCCATCAGAATTCATCATATCCATCCCCCAACCTCACAATCATTATCAAACTCATCATCCAAATCCCCCGAACACTGCGAATACTCACTCTCACTATACACATACACATCCACATCCCTATCCGCATCCTTTTCCCTATCTCCATCAACATCCCAGCCACAAGCGTCTCGATCTCCTACTCCTCCTCCTCCTTCTCTCCCCACATCCTCAAAATCCAACATCGCATCATCAACCCTATGAATTAAATTTTCCAACCCTTCTTCTAAATTTTCTTGCATAGTTGCTGTTTTTCTACTCCATGAGGTTGTGTTCGATTTTTCGATTTTGGTGTTTAGTGATTCGTGTCGAGATCGAGATGCGGAATTTCTAGATTTTGGTCCTGATCCTGATCCTGATCTTGATCCTCGAGATGGATATGGATATGGATATGGACTTGTAAAAAATAATTCGTTTTCGTTTCCATTCTTTTCATTTTCATTCTTCCCCAAAAACAGCATATCAGAACCCAATCTTCCATTGCGATATCGCATTGCGCTTCTAGTATCGGGTTTTGGAATTTTGTCCTGTTGTTTGAATTTAAATCTTAATTTCCCCCTAATATCTTCCCAGCCGCTTACGTGACCCCATAACCATATTTTTTCAGATTCTTTCTCGAAAATGTTTTCTAGGGTTTTGGTTTCTTGTTTTGTGGGGGCGAGGAAGAGGAATTTTGTTTGAGGGTGATGATGATGATGATGTGGATTTTGGGGGTGAGGGTGAGGGTTAGGTTTGCGATTTATTGATTCCGAGAGCGGTTTTGATGTGATTGTTGATGTATCATTATCATTATTGTAAATATCATTAGAGTGAGTATGATGAGGAGAGGAAAATGAGCTCAAATCCCTCTCAAATATAATATCAATACGAACCAATCCTTCCATTTCTAATAAAGCATTAACGAAATGATTATCCCCGAGTAGTGTACTCCATACTTCGAAATCTAACGCGAGATACAGGATTTTATGCAGGTTTCTGGAATATAATATGTGGTTTCCGAGGTCGGGGTAGAGCGTACGGGAAGTGAGGTAGATGGTGTCGGTGTGGTAGTTTATATATACGTAGGGATTTGAGGGGAGGTAGTAGGGTTGGGCGAAGGAGAGGGGAGATAGATGGGTGAGGGTGAGACGGCGGGAGAGATGGTTTATGTGGAGGGCTATTGGGAAAGAGGAGGTGTGGGTTTTTAGGATTGGGAGGGGTTCTTGTTCTTGTTCTTGTTGTTTGGAACTTGGGATACATGATGAGGATTGAGATGTGGATGGTGCGTATTGATATATTTCTATGATTTGCGGTCCCGGTAATGTATGTCTCCAAATAGTTCTTTGAATTTCCAATGGTAATGATGTGAAGTAAGGAAATGAAGTAAGAGGTTCCCATTTAGTATTCGATAATCGATTCGATGAGATATCGGGTGTACAAGATGAGGAAGAAGTTTTAGAGGAGATACTAGAAGAGCGAGAAAATGATAAAGAAGGTGTGGAATTTAGACAGATATTTCGAGAGCGTAAAGGTAGAGAAAGTGGACGGGGTAGTTCATCTTCTGGAGTGAGTGGATATGTGAATGTGCCATAGTCATGAAGTGGTTTCATGGCGAGCTCAGGAGTATTGTTTTTGAAAGGACTATAGATGGATATGGAACTAGAAGGTGGAAGAAAAGAATCGCTGAGGTCGACTCCGGGGAAGTTGAAGTCGGCCATTTTGGAAGTTTGGTTTGTATCTATTATTTATTTGGTAGATGGATTGAGTAGTGAAATTTGAGAAGAATGAGTTGCAATACGATAGATACTGCAAATCAGAACAATAAGGAAGACAGAACAGGAAGTAAAATCGAAATCGCTTTTGAAAAAAAATTCACTACCAGATATAGAAATTAGAAGAGATGAGATGAGATGAGACGAGGAAATAATCCGTATCCTCTCAAGCTGAGGATGAGCAACCTTAAAGACTTCTTTCTTACTGTAGCCAAAACACCACACTTGTATACTAAATTTAGGTTAAAAAAAGCTCAGCTCAGCACTCATTGCATTGCAACGATTAACCTAACTATCTGGCATCTAAGCAAGGCAGTATTTTGTAAGAAAAGATCTAGAAAATGAAAGACAGGGAAAGATAAAGTTACCAACACATCAAACATAATCAAAAATTAAGACATAGATTGACCAATTATACAATTAAAAGTATACGAACTGAGAGACTAGAATGTATGTATAGTACCTAGATGGGTGAATACTCGTGTTCCAGCAAAAAGACAGTTGGTAATCTGGTGGCTGAGATTTACTGCGACTCTATGAGATCCGAAATCCAACATACGGAGTAAGCGGATAACCTTATCAAAAGTTATTTGTCTAGTCGCATGCCACATGCCATGCACTTTCGACCCACCCCCACCAAGGCTGATGGACCACCAGACCTAACCAATTGATGTCAGCATTATGAAACATAACCAATGAATACTTGCGATATGGCTGTGAACAGGTGATTTATATAAAATGTTGTGATTTTGTTGCATATCGAAAGAAGAGGGCATTATTTAGGCATTTGGCTGTGTTACGGAGTACTCGGTAACTTTACTAAGGTTGATTTACTGCGTGTGCTCCGTCCATGGCTATGCAGTTGTAGAGTTGTAGTGTTGCCATCTCCATAGTATACATCTCTGTTTGTAATCGTACAGAAACACTCCAACTACAATAACTATAAAACATAACCTCAACCTCACATCTAAATCCCAAACCATACATCCAAGGCATAAGACCATCTCCCAAGAAAACCCCAATAATCAGATTAGTCAAATCAAATCAAAATAAAAAGATGTTTCTTTGTTGCATATCTAGAAATATGCATGCCCTACTGCCCGAGTTTTAGGGCGTAGGCTGGTTGGTGGATATTAATAGGGCTTTTATACTCATGTTTTAGGGATAGATTTGCATTTAGACTGATAAAGAGATAATCTTGTTTTTGAGATGTGCAACAAAGACGGACATGTTTCGCCGGTTTGAGGTTGATGTCCGAAAGTTAGGTAGGGATGAAATAGGTAGCTAGACATTTAACCTGAGTTTGGGTTGGGGGCTGTTTTCGGTTAAATTTCGGATGGTGATGCAACACACATCACCAAAATCTAAACCATCTAACCTTAATACATCCATCTATCTACAATTCAATCTCTATCACTGGCCCTTGATATGACTTCCGCCCATCTACTATATACCAGAAGACTGCAAATAAAATCGTCGCACCAAATGTCAGATTACTAAAGTTCATTGTGGCCGGGCCGACAGGCGTCTGTGGGGGCCAGAAAGCCCAGAACCATAACACGAATAGATATACACAGGCAAAAAGATTATTAACAACGCCTAAAATGCCAGGGATACGCCATGGTCCCCAATGTAGGTCATCTGCGCCGTATATTATGATACGTGGATCATATGCCTTGATTTTCCGGGATTGTAATCGGCGCCAGAGAAGCATGCCGCAGCAGACGAGATATGAAGAATAGAGGCCGGCAATACTGAGATTAACGATGTTGTTGAAGGCGACGCCCGAGCCGAGGATAATAAGCGAAAGAAGTATGGAAACCATAGTGGTGAATGCGATGGTGTATATGGGGATTGAGGTCCGGCGGTCAAGCTAGTGACTAGATATTAGTACGAAATACGTCATCTCGAGATTTGTTGGCGAGTTTAAAAGGATGGATGGACGCTTACCTTTACCCAATACCTCCATAGTGGAACACCTCTGTCTCTAGCGAAAGACCACAGCATCCTAGAGGATGAGGCGAGAGCGCCAACTGTGCTGCACACACCGAGAGCTACAACGATTAGACCCATTACTGCAGCTCCTGCGGTTGAACCAGTTCCTGTTTGGAAGACATAGAGGAACGGATATCCTAAAGTTTCCTGGGCGTTCAATACATCATCAAGATCCCCTAGACAAAAGAGGTATGCGATCATCATCGCGAATCCTAGGACACCATTGAGGATGAGGCCACTGAGCATGGCGCGCGGTACAACGATTGACGCTTTTTTAATTTCTTCTGACATCTGTATTAGTCACGGGTTATTCCGTGGTCAGCTAGGGAATTTGTATTACAGACAACTGGCTGAGGGTGATTGTCTTACATGAACGGCCGAATCAGCGCCAATAAGGGAGAACACAGAGGCTGGCAATCCAATCATGAACGATAGTCCTTGCGAAGACCACGCACCTCCATTGACAAACGTTGTAAACAGGGAAGTATTGCCGTGGGGTGAAAGATAAACGAGCGGAATTAGGACAGCAAAGAATCCTAGGACGTGCAAAACCAAAATTACGCCTTCAAAGTGCGCAAGAGTTTTGCTTGCTACTGTATTGATAACAACTGCAAAGGCTAAGATTGCCCACAAAAAGAGCATCGATTGCCATGGTTTCGGAATATAATCTGATTTTGTCATCAATATGATACTTTGAAAGAGTGTCCCTATAAGATAGGCTGCAGATGCAGTAACTGCTTGCCATCCGACAAATGTCATCCATCCTAATCGCGATTAGCTTCTTCCTTGTCTTTTGGCGGTGACACTCTGAGTGAAACAGAGCTATACCAGTAATGTAGCTCAAGAACCTTTTAGATCGGTCCGGAGCTAACATTGCGACCCAACTGTATTCTGCCGTTAGAGGATAGTAAGGTATTGGTAAGAAGTTAATGATGCCTTACTGGTATTGACCTGCTGCTATCGGTGCCCTGTCATTGAGACGTCAATATCGATCGAACATTGTGATCTTACATCAAGGAAGTTTCTACTCACATCGAAGCCAATTCTGACAAAACAACAAATGTGGAGATGGTGCCAATCCATACGATGATGTATCCCCAGATGACTCCCGCAGGGCCACCACTACTTTCGTTAGCGATTGCGTGTATTGTTGAAAGAAGTGTGTTTCTTACTTGAGAAGACTCTGAGTTGATACTCTGTGGTGTGTTAGCTATTGCTAGCAATATTGGAGACTCAAAACGATGTCAGTGCATTAATTTTAGGGAACACGAACATCAACATTCCCTCCCAGGTAATAAGGACAGTGCACGAAAATCCCAGAATGGACATGAAGCCAAAGTTGCGCTGCTTAACATTAGTATCATCTGTTGCTAGAGCGACTCACGATATGCGTATAACTTGCCTTTAGAACAGGCTTTTTGCCAAGCCGAATAAGATCTTTTTCATCTCTGGTGCGACCTGCTTCGACAACCTCTCCGATATGAGAAGTTGGCAACGCAGTTTCCGTAGCATGCTTTCTGTTTTGGAGTTCCATGTCTAGAGCAATCGTTTGTAGCTACTCCCTTGTCTTGTTCACGAAATAGAAAAGAGAAGTCAATTGAGGGTGTAAATAAATTGTGAGCGAGAGATAGAAAATGGAACGAAAATACCAAAGATTGGGTGGTCAGTCTGGGCACGGCGAATAAGAGCTGCAGCCCATGTTGTGTTGTAAAAATATATCATTTCTGCTTACTCAAATAATTGGATTAGATGCACAGAACCCATGTTCTTTTCAAGATGTATTGAAACATGGTACGGCAATGGTACGAGAGTGGAAGATTTGAAGATTTTAAGGAATCATTTCGATGCACCCGTAACCTTTTACCCCAGCTAATAAATTCACAGCATGTGGGGAAGTTTTATTGCATCCCGATTGGTGAGTTCCTTGGTAGTCCGAGCGTTTGCTAATTGGGGACGGATCGGTTGTATCTACCGGGCGGCCCACTTATAATCTTTCAATATCTGTTTGAAGTTCCTCCTTCCTCCATAATCGACAAGAAATTACAATAAAATAGTAGCATGGCCTGAATTGGCTTGAAGGAAAGAATACCCGAATGTCGGTCCGAAAATTCATGCCTTTCTTCCAAAAGTCGGCGCCCCTCTAAAGCATATTAGCGGCGTAGAGAGATTTAGAGGGTAAGAATGCAGATGCATATGCATCTTCCGCAGCTGATATTAATTAGCCAGGGTGCAAACGTTATTTTGTTTGATTTATTGATGCTCGCCCGATGTAGTGTAACAATTTGATTAATGTGAGAGTCTATTCGGTGTCCTTTCAAGTGAATGTCAGATTGGAGATTAACCGAATTCATCATTAAAATTTATATTTACTTAAGGTTTTTTACATTAGTATAATAGTTTATTTTATTTAAGAACTCCAAAATATTAAGTTTAAAATATAATAAACATATTAAATTATCAACATTATAATTAAAATAATCTTTTTAATTTAATTTTAAATATTAATAAATGTTAAAGTGAATGGTTCCTGCGTAGCACGTGCACAGGGCACTAGTCCTATTAGGACTAGATTGAGAAGCTCTCTGTAAGAGAGCTTCGCACTTCTGTAGAACAAGAAGAGAGATTAACCAACTAGACCAATATTACCTCAGTTCTGCCCTATCAGCTTCCCACTATTCCCTGTGTGAGGTCATTCCTTTTAACATCAATTTAAATAAAACTAAAAACTTTGCATTAATTTTGATATAATGTGACCAAAAGGGTGTTTATAGACCAGCAATTGTATTTAACTTAGAATCTACAGGTGAAGAGCACCTGTAGATGAGGATAGCTACTCTATATATACACAAATGAATGGCCTAGCCGCAATGGCTAGGCAAAAAGAAGTCATATTTATCCCTCCAATGATCTTACTTTACCGATAACCATTGATATCTAGTACTTGTCCGGATCTGATCCTCAGGCCACCTAAATCGTATACTAATCCCGAGTAATCGTATCATGTGTGGACATGGTTAATGTACCTGAGGTTTCTTATATAATAAGGGTGGGAGGAAAGCAGGGGTTTCCGTCACATATAATATACCCTAGCTTGTTCAGCCCGGTATTCGTTTAAAACGACACCGAGTAGCCCCGGGCACCCTTGTTACTCTCTTGCATTCTCAGATATATGCAAGTAAAATCTTCATGAGGCTGCATTGATATTGAATGTGATATTTTCAGCAGATATGAGGCGGGTCTAGCCAGTCACGATACTTTCTACCCCCTCCTCAACCGCTTCCCACTTTTTCTGAAAGATGCAGGCTCCTTACAGCTAACTACTGACTTGTGATTACCTCGCATAGTGTCATTGCACCCTAAGTTACAATTAGCCATTAGTGGGCCCTTATATCCTCATAACTTTTTCGTTCAGTCAATGTCTAGTGAACCGTTTTGTTTGAATATGTCGTCATGGTCTCTCAGCCTTACTAAATCAATCATTGTGCGGAACGGGCCCATAATTGATGATAGCCATATAGCGCCAGTCATTCAAATTTTGGCCTGGCTTTTCCTCACGTTTTCGATTCTATCTGTGGCTGCTCAGTTTATTACGAAATTTGTCATTTCAAGAGAATTTGGGGCTTCTGACGCACTTCTATTCGCCGCACTTGTAAGGCCTAGGCTACACGTGCGTTCTTTTCTAACTTCAGGAAATGCAGATCATGTATGTAGCCCAACATTCGGTTTTACTTAGCCCAGCAGGTCAGGTTATAGGAAATTCTCCTATAGGGCTATCTGACGAAACGGTAAATCTGGCTTTGAAGGTACGAACAATATCTTACTCCTATCTTGCCGAATGCTAAGCCAGCAAGGCCCTGTACAGCATCGAAATTTTGAGCGTTCTCACCCTCTTCGTAGTGAAAAACTCTGTGTTGGTGGCTCTTCGTGCCATCACACCAGTACTTGGGCATCGGATCATGATATATGCCGCTAGCGCAATCACGGTGGCATGGGGAATTACTTCAGCGTTCGCCGTGGCTTTCCAGTGCCCATCTCCGCAGAGATGGAACGTTGTTGGCCAGACATGCATCGATATTGTAAGTCAGGGCACTCAAGCAAAAATGTTCATCTCGAACTGACACTAAGTGTAGCCGGCAGTGAAGATGTACACCGCTGTAATGAATATTCTGACAGACCTTAGTCTCATTGTAGTGCCGACAGTGATAATTCTACCTGTTCACATGTCATGGGGAAAACGAGTGACTATTTTGAGCGCCTTCTGGCTTCGGATGATGTACGTGTTGTCGAAGTACTGTTTTTCTAATTAATTGTAATTGCTAACTGCTTCTCTAGTGTCGTTACAGCCTCAATCGTACACATCATTTACATAAGACGCCTAGTTATCGACAACCAGTTTCTTCACAATGTATGGCAGACTGTAGTCTGCCAAATAGTTGTCCAGAGCACGAGCATTGTGACCGCCTGTATTCCATTCTTGAAGCCTTTCCTGGTGAGCCTGGAGTCAGGCTTCCTTCGTGCCGACGATATAAATAGACGAACTGCCGCCGGGATGTATGGATCTGACCGCAATCCGAAAAGCTCTGGAGGAGCATCAAGTTACATCAAGATGAAAAACCAAAATTGGAATAGCCGAGAATTTTCGGTCAAAAATCAACAATCTGTGGCTGTAGAAGAAAACAGCAATAAATGATGCGGATATTCTGCCTTCATTATTGCGCTTCATGGTATTGTGGGTGAACGGAATTTTAGTTCTAGGTCCTTCATATTTCTTGCACGATTAGCTATAGTTTAATTAGTATCTGAACGAGTCTACGAAATGTAACAATTAGTTGCCGTGTTAACACATTGGAGTGTCGCTTTATCATTATCACGTAATTGAAAGAACAGAGTCTCTGACAGCAAGGCTGATATCCTACTTGATCATCGCTGAAAGCAACCCAGTCTCACTACTATAGGTGCAAGTTTTGGCTGAGGATATAGCTTTACACAGTGCTACTATGGACGTCTTGCCCATACTAAGCTTACGACCTTCGGACTGGGATGGTATTCATGCCTCAATTTCCAAGCAATGTGAGGGGGGTTAAAAATGTCTACTATTGGAAGGTTGGTTACTATTTGGGACGTCACATGCATTATTGGAACCATGTCTGCAGAAATTTTGCGTGGAACAATCATGCCTCTTTACCACTAATGAAGAAATAATCCGACAATTGGTTCCTTAGAGCTCAATTTTCCCGCTTCCCGAAAAATGTGAGCCCCGCCAATGATATTTCTGACCACCCACAACAAGTTCCCTGTGGCTAAAAGCCAATCATGATATCCATCAAAGATTTTCGGGACTAGCACGCTTCTCGGCAACAGCGAAATCGATACCTGCGTCCATAAGAGGTGGTTTGGAGCTGGTGCGCTTTTCAGTAACATCGAAATCGACACTCGCATCCGTAAGAGTTCGCTTGAAGTTGGCACGCCTTTGGATGGAGTCATCGTGGGCTATATGTAATTAGATCATGGGAAAACATGGAGACATTCAATTGCAAAACAAACCCAGTGGTACAGCAATTACGTTCAGTGAAGCGACCAATATGAACATGGCGCTGAGCTTCATGTTTGCAAGTGAGCTTCTGTGATTGGAATCGAGTGGTAAAGGTTGATGAAAATTTTCGTTCTAGTCCAGCTATCTGAAACCTAGAAGATGATAATGCGTAGGTGCGAAGAAAAACCTGAAGTATTTATAACTTTGAAATCTCTGTTCGACAAATCTTTTGGAGGTGGCTGACCTGCTGGGCTTCCTCCTAGGGATCAACTTTTTGAGAACCTGCATGACCCGACGGTCATCGGTGGAAAATTATCCCCATAGAAAAAAAGCTTGCATATAGAAATCTGCTAGCTTGTAATTTGTACGAAGTTTGTTCGTACAATATCCCCCTCCGATACATCAATTTGGCGTTGGCAAATTTGATGGTAATATATGACAGTTCATCTATTACCACTTTCGGAACAATGTCTAGAGGTGTGGTTACGCTCGTCTTGTTAGATATTGAGGAGGAGTATGCCTAGGGCTGGTACATATGTAGGTTTTAAATCGCAACCATGGATCAATTGTATTCTATGTTTCATCGGTGCTTACCTGCCTTCTAAGTACAGGAGAAATGTGGGCTTGGAAATGTAGCATTGAGGCACAGTTTGTTATAATTTGAGCGTGAGAGACACTAATTAAGTATTAAGAATTCTGAGATTTACTAACTATACACTAAGTGTAATCGTAAAAAAATACTTACAAAAATTATATCTTTTTATATGTTAAAAGGAATAGAAGTTTTCAACAAATTTTGAAGAAAAATTATTTTTCGAAATACACCCTTTTTATATCTCATTTGCACTAAACAAATCAGCATCAATCGAACGCAATTTTCCCCAAAGAAATTGAACCAGTGGTTGTTGTGATACTGTCGTCGACGTCCAAAACACGTGAAACCACGCTAAAACGCGTGAAATTTTCACCCCCTTCATCCCTCCATTACGAGGGAAGAGAACTCAATGACGGGGACCACCCAATCGAAATTCCCAGAAGTGATCTTAGGCACTCCATGCCAAGTGAACCACACTGAACAAACCCATGAAAGAGACAATAGCCCGCCATTCATCCTTTCCAGTCCTACCCCCTCCCAACCCTTCAACTTTCAAACACAACGCAATACCTTGAGCTCTGATGATCCATTCAAATCACCAATCAATCGCCCAACGTTCCAATTCAATAAAAAACGAAGACGACAACCCAGCCACTCAGAACCCCATATCAACTCACCAAAAGAAGCTATCCAAAAAGCTAGAAGTCTACTCATTCTAGCTGCCTCCCTGGAAGAGGATACCGAAGAACAATCGAAAGTCCTAGACTTAATCGAAATATTTCGTGAATATCTTGAAAAAGGAAAACTCACAAAAGCCTCAAATATCATCATATCACAAATCTCCCATCTAGAAAATGCCACCAAACGGATCGAAAAGCAAGCCAACCATCTTTCAAACCTTCCCAGTCATATGATCCCCCCCACAATAAACGCCCCTGGAACCAAAGCCAGCTATGCCACTATCACCAAAACCTCAGGAGAATGGAACCTAGTTACAAAGGCAAAACCCACAAAACAGAAAACTACAGAACAAAAGGAAGAAGCCCCAAGCAAACGACTAATCCTCATCAAACCTCTTATTTATCAGCCACCCTCTTTTACACCATTAAATACAAGGAATAAAGTCAACGAAGCCTTCAAGAAAGCAGGAATCAATGGACCAGTCATCTCAGCCATCACCACTACAAGGAGCGGCAATTTTATACTAACCACTAACAGCCCTTTCAATGCACAATTCCTGATGGAAAAGAAGGAAATCTGGGACAAAATCCTTGATGCCGAAAGAATACAAATCGATAAACCCTGGCATAAAGTCATCATTCACAAAATCCCAATTCAGGAATTCTCAGGTCTGAAAGGTATAGACCTAATCAAAGAGGAAGTCAATACCTTCAATCCAGGGCTCAGTATTATGGGTACTCCTTACTGGTTTACTAATGCCTCCAAGAGAGCCAAACAACAAGACGGAGCAATAGTCATTGCATTTGCTATACAAAAAGAAGCAGATATAGCTATCCAGAAAAGGCTATATATTGCAGGCATTAGTGTTAGAGTAGAAAGATTCTATCCATCTACTCCTTCATCCCAATGCAACAGATGCCAGGGATTCGGCCATAACGAATCATACTGCAAAAAACCTCCAGCTTGCGGACTTTGCAGTAATAATCATGCTACAGTCGGTCATTTCTGTATAATCTGCCAAGCAAAAGGCAAACCATGTCAACATCTAAGTGTCAAATGTGTTAATTGTAAAGGAGAACACAAAGCCAACTCGAAAGTATGCGAAGTATATCTATCAACCATCAAGAAATCCAACTAATGCTGTACAACAATACTCGCATTCTTCAAATCAATCTAAACAAGAGCCCTCAAGCAACCGAAAGTGCTCTCCAACTTGCTTTAGAACTCAAAATTGATCTCATAGTCATTCAAGAACCCTGGATCCTCTCGAATCCTGAGAAAGACTTCTCCTCAACCAGATCTATTGCCCACTCTAGCTTCTCTCAACTCCTCCCAAATAATCCTTCGAACCTGCGTCCCCGAACTATGATCTACATTTCAAAAGGATTCAAACCGCTAGTAGCCCTAGCTCCCAACTCCCCTAATGATCCAGATATTCAAATCATTGATATCACTCAAGGAAAACATACAATACAACTCATCAATATCTACAATGAAGCGGACCAAGCCAAAGAAAAAGGCCACACCATCGAAAGATGCCTTTACAATACCCCTCTTACTCATCACACCATCCTCGTAGGAGATTTCAACTCCCATCACCCTTGGTGGGACCCCTTCTCTAACAAAAGCTCAAATGCCGACCTACTCGCCGAATGGTTTGAGGATCACAATCTCATTCTATTTAACGAACCAGGCACGAGCACCTTTTATCGAACAAATATGACAAATCCAAGTGTCTTAGACCTTACTTTAGCCACAGATTCAGTATCTCCCTATATCACTGATTGGCAAGTCCTCCCGGATCTTGGATCAGATCACTTAAGCATTCTCTTTGAAGTAAAGGGCACTTTATCCCGTACAACGAATATAGCTCAGCCAGCAAGATTCAATACAAAACTTGCGGATTGGGAAAAATTCGCGAATACCCTCAAATCGAAAATATCGATATCAACCACCTTAAATTCGAGTGAATACCTTAATATCGCTACCTCAGAATCCAACTCTCTTGATTCCCTTCTCGACAAGAGCCAATACATACAAGTATTGGATGAAGCTGCAAAAGAATTCACCCGAATAATCACTTATTCGGCTGAAACCAGTATACCGAGAATCAAGTCCACAAAAAGAGCTAAACCCTGGTGGTCCCCAGAGCTGAAAGCCCTTCGAAAACGACTCTCTAATGCATTTGAGAACGCCAAGATTTACCCGGAAGACGATATGTTCAAGAAAATCTACCAGTCAGCCAGGAATCATTACTTCCAAGCTATTAAAACAGCAAAGAAAAACCATTGGAATGAGTTCCTTGAAAAAGAGGATACCCAATCCATATTCAAGGCAATGTCATACACAAAAGATATACAAACCGAACGAATCCCGAATATTCGATCCAATCCCTCTAAACTAGAAAATTCTTTCGAGGGAAAATGCTCTGCATTTAGATCGACCCTATTTCCTCCTCCTCCATTCACCCCACCGCCCAATTGGGAAAGCTATAAACAATCTAAGAAATGGGAATGGCCTGATCTCACAGAGAGCGAACTCCTAAACGCGTGCTCTGCAAAAATCAAAGGAAAGACCCCTGGCCCCGATGGGATCACTCAAGATATCATTATTCAAGCGTACAAAGCAATACCAAAAGCATTCTTCACCCTCTTCAGTCATCTTATCAACCTTGGTTACCATCCTTCTTGCTGGAAACAAGCCACTGGAGCGATACTCAAGAAACCTTCAAAACCAGACTACTCGGCCCCAAAAGCTTATAGAGTTATCGCCCTACTAAATTGCCTTGGCAAAATAAGTGAAAGAATTCTAGCTCAAAGGCTTAGCTACTTAGCGGAGACTACGCAATTACTTCATTACTCTCAAATGGGTGGAAGACAAAAGAAATCAGCCATCGATACAGCAATCTTACTCACTACCGAAATCGAAAGAAATTCAAGATCCAAGAAGAAAACCTCAACTCTCTTCCTGGATGTTAAAGGCGCCTTTGATCATGTATCTATGAACAAATTATTAGATATCTGCAAGAATCTAAACCTCCCAACCAGCCTAATCGCCTGGATCTCATCTTTTTTGAAGGAAAGGCTACTCAAGCTCTCATTCGATGGCCAAATTGAAACCTTCAAACCGATCAATACCGGGATCCCCCAAGGTAGCCCTATTTCGCCAATCCTCTTCTTAATTTATATTCGAGATCTATTCTCAGCAAATTCGATCAAATATCTCTCATATATAGATGATATAGCTTTAACAACATTTTCAACATCCTGGAAAAAGAACATCATCTCCCTCGAAAGAGCAACTAAACAGATATATGCTCTGGGCAAAGAAAATGCTATTCAATTTGATCTAGCGAAGACGGAGCTAATACACTTCTCTACATCCAAAGATACGAAGACAGCCTCAATCAAGCTTCCGAACGAGGAGATAATTCAACCCTCAACACTAGTCAGATGGCTAGGCATATGGTTCGACCCTGGCCTCAGTTTCAAACAACATGTCACAATCCGAGCTACCCAGGCTAAAACCTCATTCTACCGAATGGCTAGACTTGCTAATTCTGAAAAAGGCCTTAGTCCCAAGGCAATGAGACAGCTCTATATGGCATGCGTCACCAGCATAGCTGACTACGGTTCAATTTTATGGTGGAAAGGGCAAACCAATTCAAGAAAACCAATTCAAGAAAATCCTTCAATCCTTGCAAAACCTCGCCCTTCGAAAAATCCTAGGAGTATTCAAAACCTCACCAATAAAACCAATGGAAATAGAAGCCGCATTGTGCCCTCCAGAAGTACGGCTAAATGCTGGAATCAAACAATACGCATTTAGATTATTGAAAATCTCGCCTTCTCATCCTGTCAATTTAGTAGCTACAAAGCTGGCTACAGAAAAGGAGAATCAAGATGTAGTTGCAACCCCTCAAAGAAAGCAATTAAAACCTACTCAACTCGAAAAGATCAAAAATTCAATTCAGAAAGACTTCGATCCTCTCACTTTGGAAGGAATCCATCATTTCTACTTTCCTCCTTGGAAGAAAGAAGTTCCATATAAAGTCAATATCAGCAAATTAGGAAAAGAAGAAGCTGCGATGATTCACAATCTGGCTTTCAAATATAGGTGCAAAAATACCATTACAATATACACCGATGCCTCATCCACTTTAGAGGGAATAGGGGATTGGAATCGGGATAGCGGTTATCTTACCAAATGGCCGAATTTCTCATCAAGAGACTATCAATATAGGCGTGAATCAGCTTGTCTATAATGGGGAGCTCCTAGGAGTTACTAAAGCGATCGAATACGCAAATTCAATAGCCCAACCAGGAAACAAGTTCAAGATATACTCAGATAATCAAGCAGGATTATTCCGGTTGAAAACCCCCTCCGATTTACCTGGTCAATCATGTCAAATCAAAGCTATAAAAGCTGCGGAAGCTATTCAAAATAAAGGAGCCGAAATCTCTCTCAATTGGGTCCCTGGACATACATCTGTACAAGGAAATGAGCTAGCTGATTCTCTTGCAAAAGAGGCGACCAAAATACCATCCTCATCTCACGAAACCAGTTATGCCTCCATTGGAATGGATATAAAAAGAATGAAATCAGAGAACTGGATAACCATCCTTAACACTAACAACTTTCATCAACCATCGTCAACATATTCAAGAAACTACCCCTGGAAGATCAGCTCAAAAATCAGAATTCCAGGAAACATCAAAAGAAGCACAATCTGTGCTCTGTTCCAACTCAAAATTGGACACGGATACTTCAAATCTTATTTGAAACGATTCGGTATCTCCTCTAATGACAATTGTAGATGTGGGGGAAAGGAATCTCCTGATCATCTTCTGCTCAGTTGTCCTTTATATAAAATGGCAAGGAAAACCCTCAATAAGGATAACCCCACAGTCCGACCTACCATGAAATATCTGCTTCACACTAAAGCAGGAATCATCAAGACCCTCGAATTTATCGAGGCGACGAGAATAGCCACCAGATCATGGCATCTCAATAGAATGCATGAAGAAGAAGAGGAAGAAGGCGGAGAAGAAGGGGGTGGACCGGAAGATTGTGATTGAATTGATCAATTATGGCCAATCTGGTCAATTTAGTCAATTTGGTCAATTTGGTCAATTTGGTCATTTTGGTCAATTTGGTCAATTTGGTCAACTTGGTCAATTTGGTCAATTTGGTCAATTTGGTCAATTTGGTCAACTTGGTCAACTTGGTCAATTTGGTCAATTTGAGCAATCACCCCAATGTCAAATTTCATTACATTTCATTTGTTATTCCTCTTACTTGAATACGAGAGTATCTGTAAGGCGGGCTTGGTTCCCTAGTATTAGTTTTCACTTCCCCCATTCAAACTTTAGAAGATTGAGGCTTTCAATCTCCCCAACCTGTATTAGCTACGGTCGAATAAGGCCAGCCACCCTCCATTTACTATTGTTAGAAGCCTACAAAGCTCCTAGCCGTCTTAGATAGTCATAGACTCAGTGTAGACGTTAATTTAATCAATCAATCAATCAATCAGGAATAGAAGTTACCGGTACTAATCACGTGTCGTGATTAGTAATACGGTTACCTAAACAGGCTAGATTAGACGAACCATAAGCAGGCATATTGGTCCCCTCCGAGGATACCAAGAGGAGATTAATATGCCTACAGACGTAGTAATATAGTCAATATAGAGGCCTCTTCCACCCAATCTTTTAATATTATATAATATTAAATATTCAATAAAGATTATTTAAATTTTAAAATATAATAAAATGTTATATAATTATGTTAAAAGGAATGACCTCACACAGGGAATAGTGGGAAGCTGATAGGGCAGAACTGAGGTAATATTGGTCTAGTATATTAATGTGACGGAAAAGTCGTAAACGGAGTCAATTCAATTACTTAGAATCTAAAACTAAAGAACTAAGAAGATTCTAAGTAAGGAGGTCTTTATATACAGGGCTAGTGCACGTGAGCCACTAGTGGGATAACAACCGTCACGTAACAATTAATCTCTCTTCTAAGTTCTACGGAAGTGCGAAGCTCTCTTACAGAGAGCTTCTCAATCTAGTCCTAATAGGACTAGTGCCCTGCGCACGTGCTACGCAGGAACCATTCACTTTAACAAATTATTTTATAATACTTTTATTTAAAAATTATATTAATTTGAATTTAAGAAATTTCAAAATCTTATTTATATTTTCAATATTTCTTTCTATAAAATAAAAATATTTAAAAAAACATTCCTTAATTTTTATTAAATTTCAATTAATTATCTTTACTATTAAAAGATTGGGTGGAAGAGGCCTCTATATTGACTATATTACTACGTCTGTAGGCATATTAATCTCCTCTTGGTATCCTCGGAGGGGACCAATATGCCTGCTTATGGTTCGTCTAATCTAGCCTGTTTAGGTAACCGTATTACTAATCACGACACGTGATTAGTACCGGTAACTTCTATTCCTTTTAACATTTACAAAAATTTAAAAATTCAATAAGTTATTCTATCATTTGTGTCACACTCAAGAATACTGGGTAAAGTATCTTGTATTAGAAAATACTAAGCTAAGGAGAAAAGAAGAAGGAAAACAAGAGTAGCGAGTTTTCCTATGATTAAATACAAACGGGGCATGCCACGTGACCCAGAGGTGTGAGGCGTTGTCACACTCAAGAATACTGGGTAAAGTATCTTGTATTAGAAAATACTAAGCTAAGGAGAAAAGAAGAAGGAAAACAAGAGTAGAGAGTTTTCCTATGATTAAATACAAACGGGGCATGCCACGTGACCCGGAGGTGTGAGGCGTCACAATTTGATATATAATTATAAAGATTAAGAAGGGTGAAAAATCTTCAATTTTGATGTGTTTTCGCTCAGTGTGCGGTGAGTAGTTTCCAGAACTCTTAGAATATCATGTCATATCTTGAACGGCGTGAACTACAGTTACATTGGGATACACACCTGGTTCGGATAAGATTTTCACTTCCGTCGTGATCCTCAAATGCAAAATAGAGGCGCGCAATTCTTGGACAGAGGCGAGAGTCGCTGTTGTGAATTGAAGATCTGCACCTCCTTCTACACCAAGCCATCTATCAACTCATTCTAGCCAGTTGCAACATCTTGGGAAACTACAGGGGCTAGACCTATTGACGAACCTGGGACCCCGGGCAAAGCTCGTATTTTAATGAATTTTGCGAAGAGGGGATTTCACTAAATGTAGAAAACACAGAAGCGGAATTTCTATCCTCAAGCTTTCCATTGAAAGATTTCAAGACTCTCTCTACAGATCAATATGAAAAGTTTCGAATTAAAGTGCTCCTCGGAGTCCACAGACTCGGAAGACCATGAGACACTACTTGACGTTCATGATCCATTGTATAGAGATTCTGATACATTAACTACAAAAATTTCAGAGTGCTTTCGATTTTTGACATCATGGCGGTTGGTTTTGGCTGTTGCCTGTGCCATATATATTGTTTTTTCGGCTCCTTTGCTCATAATTATGAGCCAAGATCGTACTCTCCTAGTACCATACTGTTTGTGTCCATCGTCCCTGAGAATATACTTTTCCATTGACAACATTACAGCACCGGTCAACGGTATGATATCATATGAACGGCACCCTTTGTACTTTGGTGAAGATCCCAAGTTTGCAGGAGCACCAGAAGATGTTGATGAGGCATGGGACTACCTGCTAGAACGTATGTAAAACGATTCCCCTTCTCTAAACTTCTTCACTTTTCACACTAGTAATTGATTGCCAGCCATCAATATCCGCACGTCTAAAGAGGAATTGAAAAAGGCTCGTGCAACTTTCAGCAAGGATATAGTGCAATTAACAAATGGAGACTACGTCTCAGTTCTCTCGGTACATCATGAGCTTCATTGTCTAGTGAGTCATCTTTCGTACGAGCAGAACTTGCGTGCCTGTTCTGTTGTAGCTAGACTTTGCCGCACGTCTAACTGCGCCGCAGAACGCATTGCGAATGAACATCTTCCATGATTATTACTTTCCAAATGCAACAGCAGAAGAAGAGGAGTATAACATATTACACATGAGTGAGTGATTTCAGTGTCTTTCCTTTGTGAATCGTTGGCTGACAGCTTAACAGCCCATTGTGTCGATACTATCCGCCGTAGCCTGATGTGTAAAGCAGATGTCGGCCTATATACGGCATATTGGATCGGAGACCATAATGCTTTCCCCAACAAAGAGCTCCGGTCAGAATCAGAGACGGTGTGTGTAAATTGGGAAGCAATTGATGCATGGTCAAGAAAGAGATTGCTTCCAAAGTACAAGTATAAAACTCGGCCGGGGCCATTTGAGATATATCCTCCGACGGCGTAGCAGCTTACGAGCGAAGATTGAGAGAATGTTGGAAAGATCTCGCGAGTATCGAAAGAATGGTAACCAATAGGAGAAGGTCAATATGTGTGTGGGGACACAGAAATGAAATGGGAACTGTCCTGTTTCTAGTCATTTAGTACCGTAGCCACCGAATATAGTTTGTGCATGCAGATATTGTAGCAAAAACACCGACTAAATCTTCCACGTAAGATCTTACATTCTATGCTCAAATCAAAACATTCGCTTCATGCAGTGAAATCTAATCACTTGGAATATGATCTGCCACTTATACAAAATTGTTAGTAACGTACGATCACTGGAAAATTTCCGGTGGGCTGCATTAGGATACGGGGTGAGACGACGTTGTCATCAATAACGAGAACGGAGGGGGCGAGGGAGGGGCTAGAAAAATATTATCTGCATCAACCACCGAGCTTCTTACTGGCTCTTAGCTTTCTGTTTTTTTTTGGTTTTTTTTTTTCAAAACACCTTGTTTACCCCAATTGTAAGCTCAGCCTTTAATCTCTAGACGAGCACATGCTTGTGCATGGTTCCGTCATTGACACGGCTTAACGCATGGTCGTATTGCTTACTGTAAGAAGCGAGACTTTCGGCCGGCACAGTTTCCTTCTTTCAAATGGTTTGTGGAATGATCGCTTGCATTGCCTGATATATTATAGTATAGATTTATCAAAAATGAAATAGAAATTGAAGCAAAATCTTAAATGAGAGGATTTCTTCCAATCAGGTATTCTATCTCATGGGTTAAGATGATTCCCAATTAGTGATAGCCTACCCAGTTCACCGAGTCCAGATGGCACAGCCTGTTATGGAGGACAGCATGCTCAGTTATTGAGAGCGTCTGAAATGATATCAAAATGCCGAGGCCCTTACTCAATCAAGAGGCATTCAATATTCTGATATTATACTCTTATAATTCAGAACTTGAACTTTTGATTTTTCTTTTTTTAATTGTTACGTGACGGTTGTTACCCACTAGTGGCTCACGCGCACTAGCCCTGTATATAAAGACCTTCTTACTTAGAATCTTCTTAGTTCTTTAGTTTTAGATTCTAAGTGATTGAATTGACTCCGTTTACGACTTTTCCGTCACATTAATATTATATTAAGATTACAAGAAGCTTTCAACCCGTGTAATTTGAGTCTTGATTTCTTGTCTGATTAATAATAAATTAAAAGAGATTAAGAAAAATAAAAAGATTAAAAAAGAAATAAAATTGATTAATAATTATATATCAAATATATATATTCTAAAATAAAATTAAATCAGTAAAAGAATTAAAACAATTTAAAAAGTTAAATAAATTTATTTTTAAAAAAATTTAAAAAATATAATATATATTATTACCAAATTATATAAAATAAAAAATTGATTCAAAATTTAAATTTCAATATAAATTAATTTTTTATAATTTTCAATAAATTCTTTTTAAAAATAATATAATTTATTATAATAATATTTAAACCTTTTAATAATATAATAATATCTAATTAAAAAATATATTAAAAAAATATTAATTATATAAGTATAAAAACTATATGTAAGTATATAGGCTAACCAGAACGGGTTATGAACCTGTGACACCAAGTATTTAAAAAAGATAATTATTCCTATAGATTAAACCTCATCCTATAGAATAACTAAAGTGAATTCTACTTTCAGGATATCAATCACATGGTATTTTCACTAGTATTGATGCCAGTACCTCGGCAACCGTATCATATAGTTCGATAATCTCATACTTTCAGTTCTCTAGGCAAAAAAATACGAATATTATTGATATATCTTACTGAAGTTTCACTTACACATATAACTTTTTATCGACAACTACCTTCCCTTCCACGGCATAAATTTTTTTTCCGAGCACACAGTGTTTCTTAAAGTGCTTCGCACGTCAGTTATTGTCACCACACGTCCTTTGAGAGTCTTCTCTTGCAAATAAAGGCTCTTCCAAGTTTCATCTAGCTCAGGGAGACACAACAATTTTTTTTGGATCAAATATGACCGAGGGTACTGCAGAGTTCATAGTTTCAGGCCTTTCCGAGCCTTGCCAGACTTGGTACAAAATTGTCGGTGACCTCAATACATCTAAAATACCATTAATTGTAGTCCACGGAGGACCAGGAGCATGCCATGAGTATCTGCTTCCATTGGAAGACCTCGCAAAATATATTCCTATCATCTTTTACGACCAAATCGGCAATGGGCTATCGACTCATCTACCAGACAAAGCTGGAGATGAAGTATTCTGGAGCGTCGCACTATTCCAAAATGAACTCGATAATCTCATAAATCATCTAGGATTAAAGGATCGACCGATTGATGTCTGCGGACACTCATGGGGTGGAATGCTCGCAGCCGTATGGGCATCTGACCCAGCGAGATCAAGAAACCTCCGACGCTTGATTATCTCAAGCAGTCTGGCTAGTATGGAGGTATGGAAGATTGGTCTCAATACACTCAGGAAAAAACTTCCGTTAGAAATTCAAAAGGTGTTGGATCATGGAGATGAAAGCAAGGATTACGAGAGCCCGGAGTATCAAGCTGCCATGGAAGTCTTTTACCAGCGCCATCTCAGTCTTGCTAGACCATGGCCAGCACCCGAAGTTCAAGCTGTGCTGAACTGGTTCGCAAGGGATGCGACTACGTATGGTACTATGTAAGGCTGTCAGTTCTCTGCTCCATGTACATTCGCTAACAATAGTCTAAGGTATGGCCCTTGTGAGCTTGTCCCCAATGGAAATCTTCGCAACTGGACGTCGATTCCGAATTTGGGCAAAATCAAGGCTCCGACGCTTTTGATCAATGGAACTGAGGATGAAGCACAGGGTGTGGCAATGCAACCATTTTTCGAGCATATTGGGAAGGTTAAGTGGATCGTTTTGGACAACGCCGCACATTTTTGCCACGTTGATCAACGAGAAAGGTTCATGAAACATTTGAAATCATTCCTAGTAGACGCTTAAAAGCAAGCACATTAGGAACTTTGTTTAATTGGTGGTAGTAGATATGACCGGAGGAGACCGGTGTTTTCACAACATAATTTTATCCCACATGCATACAGTGCATCTAAATTTCACCACCCCTTTATTTCATGCATTAAATGGATTTACTATGTGATATTCCTGTAGAGAATAGTTTTCACAAGCATAATATTGAAATTTTTGATGAAAGCCATTTCACGGAGAATCTGCATGGCAATATCACTTCCTAATTGCGTAAATATTCAATACAGTGGCATCAAACACCTATACGTTTCTACAGTAATCATATTAGGAGAATTCCTTCAGCAAACAACCCCATTAAAAGATTCTGAGTCATAATCCCGCCGAGTACAAACAACGACCGACAAGTAGGTGCAGGCATTTGTATTAATCAACGTACATCCGTCAACAGATAGTAAAATTGTGTGATGCTACACTTGATATGCTACAAGTTAGCAGCGACATTTGCACAGGATTCGACTGTCGTCTGCCTCTGCGGCACAGCACCCAAAGACAAATTATCGGGGTTCCCTACGTCCCCCAACTTTCTTCCAAGAATTCTTATTCTTTTCTCGAATCGTGAATTACAGTCATGGAAAATCAGAGCCGAGAATCTCTCCCATGGAATGCCACCGAAGAAGAAACTGAATGTCTCATTCATGAGATTGATGGGATTCCTATTACTGCTTGGCTTCTGACATTCACGGGTACTATAGCACAGCTCAGAGGCTTCGAAACTACAATAGCATAGCGTAAGACTCGATATCCACAAAAGGTCACGTTCTAATGAATAAAACAAAAATATCTTCAAAATTCATTTGGGAATAAACTACTTCTTAGCGCCTTATGATTAAGAAATTGCACAACAAAGATGATTGATAATGCGTTCTTATTCTTCTAATACCTTAATCCAATGCCATTTGCATTACTCTTGGATGCGCGCGTTGGCCTATACAAAACGATGCTCCTAAATTTTGCGGAAGTAACCCATATCTCCCATGCGTATCGACAACAATTAAAGAATATATGAGTAGTCATACTTGCTGAGTACACAGTATTGTTTGTGACGGCTATTCTAAGATCACTAAATCATGGAGCTGGTCCTGAAGATCTTATTACCACAATGGTTTTGACTGAATTGGCCCAGGGAAGCCTGTCTACGGCTATATATCACTTCATTAGGATGACTATTCATGCTTCTACTCCATTTTTACCATCTTTGCATCTGCTTCTCCCTGGAAGCAGCATATGTTAAACTAAGATATTATTCTATTGTAAATTTACTACTTATTGCAAGTATTCTTCATTTCGTTTGCGAATCAAGACCATTTTATGCCTTGCATTTTTCATGTTTCTTCTTCAGCTTCTGTATTTGAATTCCTCTCCGGGATTGAGACTCAATGTATTGACTATTCATATTTCATTCTGATAGTTTGTTTCATTTGCCACAGTTTCAAGACTTGCAGATAGGTTTTTGCGAAAATATTATACCAGTGCTTAGGAAACGGAAGTATTAAATAATTAGTCTAATATCATTTGGCTCGATGAAATATTTCGTATCGCATCATCTCTGTTTTCGCTTAGGACATTACCCCTCATGCACACTTCTCTAAATATCTACTTCGCAAATTATGAATCGGGACAAGCCCTGAAAGGCCAATTTGAGCACTAGAAGATGAGAAGAAAATAAAGCTACAGAGCAAATCAATCGCAAACGCGCAATGGCAAGAAGTCATACGCACAGAAACTTCAAACATATATTTATCTTACTCATATACCAACCAATCAACACACACTCACAATTTGCTCCCACCCACGAGCTAAACCCTTTATTAACACCCCATTATATCATTAACCTCTGTTTCCTACTTCACAACAGCGTAATAGGCATTAAAAAGTATCAAGCCCCATCTCTATCCCTCCTTATCCGATCGCCTCCTGAACTTACCACCATCCCTACAAGATAACAATTCACTAAGGCATGTACAACCAGGTGCGCCAGAAACCTTAACCCACTCATTACGCAAAAGCACTCCCGTTTCCAGAGCATCAGTATCCAAGTCCAACACAAAAGTAAAATCAACCAAATGATGCTGTAATATTAATTTTCTCAATCTGAAAGTTGTCTCCCGATTTCCTCCTCACGCGCGATAACTAGCTTATTAACACCCTTCTCTATTGCTCGAAAACATTTCTTAAATCCAAGATCGTTGCAATATTTTTCGTGAAATGAGGTATAGCTTAAACAACAGGATTCGCAATCTTCATCTTTGATGGGTCATCATTTCTGTAATTGCTATTTGCTGATTATGCCACATCATGAATGGATGCGCATCATCATTTTTACAAAAAGCAAAAGCAAAACCTGTCCCATTGTATCTAAAAGCATCCTAAGCTCCTCACCATCTAAAAATGAATAATTTCGCAATTATTTCTAAAATCGCTCCGCGCAGGAGAAAGAAATATTGTCTGATCAGAAAAACAGTATAAATATATATACTATCTTTTATAATCTTATCTTCGTCATTGGTATGTGCGAGGAGGAGATTTTATAAGAGATCTATTAAGCGCAATTGGAGATTATAGGCTGAAATGATAAGTGAACCGTGGTATTTGTACCTTTGAGCTGCTGCGTCACGCTTTTGGTGAATTCTATGTAATTGGATAGCCAGCTTGCGTAGTTCTGAGATAAGAGAACGAAATATTGAGAGAAGAACGATGGTAATTGAGAGGATATTAATCATTGTGATATATTTTGATGTTGGTTGTGTTGCAAATTTCTTCTGTTTACTCGCACGGAGGAGGCCCGGGGTGTTGCGGTACATGTTTCTTCTTTCTAGTGATCGATATTTGTCTTATTTAAGCGTTAAATGGACCTTTTAGTTGATATAAGATGGTATTTGAAGAATTTAAGTCACGAAAATTACAGAAAAACTTTGAGTTATGGACTTTATACTAGATATTGTGTACCTTCTATACCGTGACATCGTGACTGTAAACGCTCAGCTCCCACTAAGCGGCCAGGCCAATGTACTGCTAATACGATATTTTGCGTCTCATATTGATTCATAATTTTCAATTACAATTTTCCTATCTGCGAAGAGCAAAGCCGCGCATCCGTAATTTTGTGAGAAAAAAAAACTTCAAATTTGCAGTTAGCCGCCAGCATTGGCGCCAACTAAGGCGCTTCATTGTATGGAACCTTTGTTGGCATATTCTCATATTTCACCATGGAGCAACAAAATTTCTGGATTCGATAGTATTGCCAAAATAAATGTAATCCGATCTAGCTTAGCTATTTTCCAAAGTTCAAAGATATAAAAACTAAGTTAAAAAGAAGTATAAAATACAAATAAATATATCATTAAAAAAGAAATTAATCAGATCTCATTTATAAACTCAGAATAATTATTTCTAAGAAAATTATAAAACAGAGAATTTTACCATCAATATCCAAAGGGGAATTAAATTAATCAATCTCAGGAGGATGGATGCTAGGGTTTAAGCTCTAATTTGTTTTATAAATTAATTTTACAATCTAAATATTCATTTTTTTTTTTTTAAATGAGATTTTCTTTTGTAGTGAATATTCTTCATCTTGATTGTGTAAAACATTTTATCTTACATCCAAATCCAAATCCAAATCCAAATTCGAATGTCGAATGTCGAATCTTCATGAAAAGAATTTGGGGAATAAGAGGTGGGAAGACAATTATTGAGAAAAATTAAAAAAAAAGTATTACTGATTAGGTATTTAACGAAGAAAGTAAACGATGTATATTTATTTTTATTTCTACGTTCATCTGTATCTCGCATCTTCCATCCTTCATTTCCAGTCTCCCATCCACACTGTACGCAGAATATGAATAATAAAAAACAAATTAAAAAAGAATCATCTAACCACCCATCTCCCTTTAGCTAGAAATATGTATGAATAACCACGCAAATAAGTAACCATATGAATAACCATTCCCCCACAGCAAACCCCAAACCCCCATTAAAAAATCAAAAAAATGTTTCCTCCCCGTACCCTCCACTAGATCTGGCTATAGTAAATATAATCTTAAGCAATCATGCAATCATCGGGTATTTTTGTAATCTTATCTGTATGTATCAGATAATTAGGAGATAAACTCCTCACTGATCTCTTCTGATGTATAGTGCATACCAAGCTACCACTCTTTAGCTCGTTTCTCATCGCTCATCGCAAAATAATTCGCTACCCCAACCCCACGGCAGCCGCAACGGAGTCAACTTCTTTCAACTAGAAATATTTCGCTTAAACCCCTGTGATGAGACTTTTGTCACGGTTGTTTGTCTCCGCCAGCGGTAACTTTCTCATCTCCATTTTTTGACAAAGGATCTGTGGGTGTGAGTTAATGACCACCAGAACCCTTAGTATTACCTGAAATCTTCTCCGCATTCAAATGATCTGTAGTCTTACCCATCAACTCCTTTTGAAAAAGTCCTTCATTCTCACTTTCATCCCCATCCGCATCCCCATCAGATTCAAACCCAAGATCAATTTCATCAGGATTAATCTTATTCTTCATCTTCATCTTCTCATTCTCCTCCATCTTCCCACTCCCCTCCATATCTCTCTTCTCTTCAATTCCACCTTCCTCCCCTCCACAAAAACCCTCACAAACACCCCTCGGAACTTTCCCTAAACCCTCATTCTTCTCATGATCATGATCAAGATCAAGATCACAATTACCACCTCTCTGACTACTAACCTCGCTATCCAAAATAGCTTTCTCGGTATCTGCACCCGGAACAAAATATACATTCGTATCCGCATTTCCGATTGCCAAATTATTTCTGAAGATTCCAAGGGTTTGGATCGCAGAATTCGACGCATTTGAATGAATAGATTGTGTAGACTGAGTCGCAGAAACAAGCGGTCCTCCAAAATTAGCCGCGACATTTTTTGTAGGTTTCATTTGAACCGGAGCTGGGGCTGGAGCTGGGACTTGAGCTTGGCTCTTGGGAGGAAAAGATCCAGGCAGATCATCCCCATCCCCATCATCATCATCATCGACAGAAACAGCAGAAGAAGCAAAAGAATGAATGCTATATTCTGCGGAACTGGGATCTGGGGATTTAGATTTATTTGTGTTTATGGGGGGGAGTGATGTGGTTGAGATGGTAAGACGGGGTCTGGGGGTGGAGTTGCTGGAGGTGGGTGTGTCGGGTATGAGTGCCGTGGCGTTTGGTATTGTAGATTTGGATGTGGATGTGGGTTGAGATGCATGTGCAAATGCTTTTGCGGAGGCAGTTTCGAGAAGCCATTGCTTTCCGGTGATGATTTGAGGTCCGCGTTTTGGGGTGACGAAATTGGGGTCTTCATCTTTTTCAGGGGCATCGGATGGTGTTTCGATGCATATAGATGTGGACTCTGTGCTTGAACCTTTGTGTTGTGCCTCAAGTTCGGAAGTTTCAATCTCTTCGGGACATTTGCTGTTATTCAACTTCGTAGCCTCTTCAGTGCGGCAACCAAATTTTCCGACCGGCCTATTATCTCCCAATCCATCAACTCCATCACTTACAAATCTCCCACCTCTAGCCCCAAATTCCGTCCTCGGAAACATAGGTTTTCTCTTCTCAGGCTCTTTCTCCAATTCCTCCAACTCCCCTTCACAGCTATCTCGCTCAAATTGCAACATCAATCTGAAATCCTTATAACCCCTTGAACTAGAAAACAGTCCAAACGCACTACCTGCCTCATCCATACTTGCAAATTCCATTCGGAGAGTTCCCTCTTCATCAATATACCATTCCAACAAACTATTCGACTTAAACGCATTTCTGCCAGCTAAGTCGCTCTCGAGACCTCGAAGCGAGATATTTTGAGGGAAATTGCGGATTGTGAGGATACGGGTACGATTGAACTCAAAAATTGCCTTGATTTTTGCAGGACAGAAGGGGAATGTAGGGGTATGGAGATGAGTGATAATTGCCTTGGCTACATTTTCCTCCTCACAGTCCGATGTACCGAAAGTGATAGGATGAGCATTGGCATATTCGACATAAGCCTCCGCATCCGCCTGATTAATAAACGTGATGAGCGCAGAGTTACTCCCCAAAATATTCATCGTGTCCAGTAAAACCGATGAATAAATTCTCCCACCTCGAACACGAGCAAGTACATCTCTCAAATCGATATCCTTTGGGAGTCCACCAATATGTACCCCACGCAAGGTATCATGATCATCTGCCTTGGGAACATAAACCACTCCATATCTGAAATAATCAGGGAATTTGTGTTCTCTCGAATCAGAAGCTCGCATGTGAGTGTTAATTTCATCATCTCTCTGTTGTGGTGTAGCCCAGATACTCGTACCTTCGCTCATATCTGGGGGAAACTCGGAAGATCTTGGTCCATTGGGTGCATTGCGATTGTTGAAACGTGCATAATAGTTATCACGATTAGTATATCCACGATTAGCATAATTATCACCACGAACAGCTTTCTCAGGAGAGAATTCAAATCCAGATTTGAGAATTGCGGGAGTGGGAATGTTGATGAAGTTAGCGTCGGCACGTTCTTGATAGAGAATTTGATCTTCGATTTTGACTGGTTCTTCTTCTTCGTCGGAGCTGAGGACATCATCAAGAGTATTGAAATTCTTGATGTTTCGTTTTTTGGGAGTTGAGGGGAAGGTCGGATATCCTCCTGGGACGGTTAAGCTACCGTCTTCAAGTCGACCCAAAAGCACCACATTCTCCTTTCTCAATTTCTTCACCTCTATCCGTAGCTCTTCCAATTCCCCAGTATCAGGATCCCTTAAATTCTTTGCAATTAGCTCCGAATTATTGGAAACATTACCCAAGGCTCTAGCAATAATCACTGAGCTCTTGATAGCTTCATCCTTGTCTTTTGTAGCATGAGCGAGATCGTTCTCCAAAACCGCTATGCGAACCTTGAGGCTTGTGATGAAGTCAACCTGAGAGTTTGAAAAAGTTTGACCATTACCATAGTGCATGGAGTTAGGAGTCGATGAGGAAGTGAGATTTGGGACATAGTTGCGGCTTTTGTCAAGGTTAGAAGACGCAACACCATTCTGGAGAGATGAAGTAATGTCCATGTTTCCGTAGTCTTGATAGATCTAAGGGATCATGTGTATAAGTTTCACAACAGGGAAATTGTCTTCTGCGAGACTGCAAGTCGAGAAGACTCCTGGATGATGGAGTTTTCTAGATTCTGTCTTAAAGATAAAATGTAAGTGATGCAAAATGGAAAGCAAAGTAGGAATACTGGCGAAACAAGTGTGAAAGTATGTTAAAGAGTAAGTAAGTATTTGTAGATAGTAGAGGTAAACAAGGTTGCGTGTTGTAGAGGAGAAGAAGAATGGAGTAAGAAGAAGAAGAAGAAGAAGAAGAAGAAGAAGAAGAAGAAGAAGAAGGTTCCTTGAAAAGATTAGTAGTGGTTGAAAAGATAGAGAGGATTAGAAGAGGAGAAGAGGGGTTTGTGGATATAGTGAATCAGTCGCTCATCTATGCATGCTCGAACTCCTCCAAGAGGAAAGAAGAGGAGCAGGAAAGTGAATTTGGAAATTCCAAGAGCTATAGCTATTCTGAGACTGCATTTCAAGATGGACTTGTAGTAAAAATGTAAGATCAAGATACTCTCGAGGAAGCGCGTCTTGAGAATCTGCCCTAGGTCAATCACAACACCGATACCATTCATTCCATCCAATTACAAGTATTAATACATCATAGAAACTGAAACAATAGACAATATCATATACAGCTAACAATCAGCCCTACAGAAGCATAAAATCAGTGAATAACTATTCTTATGGTTTGCGTAGCACTAACATGGTAGAATTTACATCTTAAAATATCTTTGTAAATTTCAATTTATATACCATTTCAATAATCATTAAATTCCCTGAAAACAAGAACCTTTGGGTGTTACTAACTATATACGTTTTGCATCAATCCTAAAAGGTCTCTGCTGTATTGACAATTAGAGATGAGAAAAATTCCTCGAAAAAATGAAGGTAGATGAGAACTACTAGGAAACCTTCCCACTTCACTGCCCAAAGCGAGATATTTCCACTAGATTCACTTGCACTGGACAAGAGATGAATATGGAAACTTCATTAAAATACCAGTATCTGATACCTCCTCAAAAATATGCTCAATAAGACTCAAAGGAGTCACTCCCTTATGTGCTGCATAACCATCCAGTTGCGGGTATCAACAAAGCTCCATCCATTATATATCTTCAATACAGACCATATGTCTTAGACTTTTCCCGAAAAAGTATATTCCCAAACCTAACGCCTCAATCATGAATTCCATCATGACTTCAATCATATGCTACAAGATCCAATATTTCAAGTTCGTTGCTTTTTTTGAAGACCTCTGCTTTCCCTTTTACCCCTTGTTGCTTCTGCCGGTGTAGATGTCACAGTCGTCCGAGCTGCTTCTTTATGATGTCCTCCTTCAGCAGCATTCATAGCCCCGTCTCCGTATCCGTATCCTCCTGTTGTACTTTGTAGTTGATGTGGTCCTAAGGCAATTGGAGGTCTCATTTCGATCTCCCTCTCCCTCTTCCTTAGATATCGTCTTCTAAAATAAAATGCTAGTAACCATATACCAGATATTCCGACAACAAGGACAATAAGCATTGCGACCCATTTCACATGGCTAGATAACCTTTGAAGGAATTAGCTGTTTGTAATAATTTCTTTTGTGTCAGGATTGCATACCAAGTTGGATTTGAATTATTAGAACTTGAGGAAGAAGTTGCTGAACTTCCACCACTCGATGCAGTAGTTGATGCCGATGGCGTGTTACAATATTGCTCGTACCAAGTTTCAATTGCTTGTAAATCTGCAGTCGACGTACAACTCGCGGCACCGCACACAGAAGAAACTCCGGTTGTTCCTGTGAGGAAAGGTTTTAATCTGGCATCGGCGCAAAAGCAAGAACTAGAGACATCGGCGGTTTGGGGAGGAACGCAAGCTCCTTGAACATCAGAAAGAGGTCCACATTGTGATGCGCAGGAGGGAAGGTCGGATGAAAACGGAACGATTGCGCCATCTGACAATTGTTGGGCACCAACAATAGCAGGTAGAATTGTCGAAGCAAATAAGAGGATGGGTCGATACATTGTTTAAGTTGTCGCCAATGGTCTTCGCGATTGCGATGGTAATCTGCTGATAGCTTCCAACTTTCAACTCTCTTCCCACCAATTTCGTATCGCTCGAGAATCTCTATTATCGTCCGGTGTCTATCGCAAGAGGCTATCGTAGAATACGGGTAGAAAGTATCTTCAAAGGGACCTAAAATAGGTTGAAACCTAGCGTTCGAGTCTGTTGATGGATGGATAGATGGGTAGATGGATGAATGATGGATTTGACGCAACACGATTTATCGTGATGGTGAGTTCGTAGTCCAGGGATACCTGTACTACCTTATTCTTATTCGCACCAAGTAATTTCGGTAGTTAGTATTCTTGGGAGGATATGCCAAGGTCTTGTTCAAAATGGATGGATGGATTTACATATAAATAACGACAATGAAAGAGAGTGAAGAGTGAAGATACTGGATTATATGAACGAATGTGATACACAGTTGGTTTGGGGGTTTGAGGGTTTGAAGGATTTGGAGGAGTAGTTGTTGTTGATGTTGTAAAAGGGTAAAGGTAGAGGAAAAGGGCCAGTGAATGGTGAATGTGGAGAGAGAATTAAAAAGCTGAATGCAGCTTTTTTGCGGGGCTGTTGATGGGTGAATTCTAGAAGCATGCCATACTCCATGAACCCCCTGTGACATTGAAATGTTCCCATCATAAAAATACGAGACATTCACTATCGCTGTGCACGAAATAGGTATTTACAGTCGAGTATATCTTCTATGTACAGTACATTGGTTACATTGACATTGTACTGAATATATGTGTATAACCTTATATCCTATTCATTTTCCACCACTCTATTCCAGATGCATCCATTCATCGGAAATTTGAAGTTTCCATTTTGTTTCTTCTTCCCCCACAACTTTTCGTATTAAAGTGGGTGAAGCAAAGCTGCATGGTCTACTCCGTGATTCGCCCTTTGGAAGAGTCATAGTGGACATGCTAGGTAGTTTTGAATCAGAAATAAAGTAATCGAGGCTTACTAATTATTTGTCGCTTCATAGTTACTATTTCAGCTCAGATCTTCTATCTTGTATTCGATACCACTCAACGTTTCACAGACCAAATCATAGCCGACAATATCCGACTTCTCACTCTAAACGTTACGGATTACATAGAATCTCCCATAGCGTTGAGCGTACGGGGCTCGGATGTCGGGTTTTACTTCTACAGTGGGTGTGTGATTGAATCGGGGCCGAATTCCTTAAGATCACAACTCAACAAGCGAGGATAAATAAATACAAGTCAAGACGTTAGTGCGCAAATCTGACAAGTTGAGAAAGCCGTTGATAATTGGTATTTGTGCAGGTTGATTTGAGAATTTGATAATGATATTGTGGTTTCTGCTATTCCATAACTAAATGATGGTGGGAATTTCTAACGGGGAAAAAGGGGGGATACTCATGACATCATGTAGTTGTGATTTCTGAAGTATCAAGTCGCCATGAAAAGCTTGTATCGTGGACTAGTTGTCGCGGAGGGCAAACTGTACAAAATGTAAGTCTTAAATTATCTTCATATATGGATATTTCTGTTTCAAATGACTCTATTACACTATACAACAATGATTTGAACGAATGTATGTTTCAAACATTGGACGAGTGGCCGTTCTCAGTAGAAAGAATAGCCACCATTGAAAGATAAAGTGATCGATTGAGAAGACTTTACACGCAAGGCAGCCCTATCAGTAATAAAGACGTTTCATCATTCTGCGGGGGAGAAGTAAGAACATACATTTTTCCAATTCCGCTCACCTATTAAGGAATATTACATCCATCCACCGCCTGGCAGAATCTCAAAAGTTTTGTTGCATATCTGCTACAGGGCATTGAAGCCTAGAGATTCCTATAAGCCTCCATAAACCCTAGTCCAACTCTTCCATTTAATGCTTGTCTATTCTATCATTGACACACCTCTTTGCTTTATCAAAAATGTTAGTCGGCCTTTCGTCTCGGCTGTCTGATCTCGCATCCATCCACATAAGTGATCTATCACACATTTCCATTTTCAACTCAAAGCTATTTACCATTTCACTACCCAATAAGCCCTAGCAGTACTCTACCCAGGGCAAAAAAAAAAGCTACAATCCAAATCACCATTCTGGAATCCATCTGCCCCATGACCGCAGGAATTAGACAAACCGACTAACATACAGCTAGCACCTAAATCAACACATATCAAGATCTTGAAATCGCGAGAAATAGCTGATAAATTCTTTGGCTAATCATGCAAAAGAGGAGACGGAGAGTATTCACTTCCGGAGTTGATGTGCTTTTGTATGTAAATACGTCATATATTTTGATAAATTATCAGATTTTGGATGGAGCTAACTAACCAATTGACTCTATGACTGATTAAATAGTGGACTATACGCATAGAACGATGATTACGGGAACTAAAGCGGGAAAGGTATACATACGTACTTAGATGAATGCTGTTAGACTCAATAATATAGCAGGTACGAATATATCGTTTCACTCGTACGATAATGATAAGTCAACCCTTCTTCATACTTACAAGTATTATAAACCTTTCAATGCCGGTACTTGTAATCATGTTTCTGGGGGAGGTAAGATTAGATATATCAGTATTGGATATATAGAGCATGAATAAGATAAGATAGATAGGTGGAAAGGAAGGGTATGTTCCTCATATATGACTCCAAGTGTTAATGTAAATGTAAATGTAAATGATTCGGTAGTAGAACAGACCGCGAGTTTGCCAAGTAAGTATATTCTTCTTCTTCTTCTGCTCAAAAGTTTTAAGCTTATAATCGAAATCCCAATCCCGGGCGTTCTGGTCGAGGATTCTAGCTCCTGTCCATCAGTAGTAGCTATTGTCAAAATTTCTAGTGCCCAGAGCTCTTTCATGGAAGAAAGAAGTTAATAACCTTATATTATGAATCCTATCATCCTAGAATACCCAACAGGGGCAAGAATAGAAATAGGAGAAGAAATAGAAATAGAAATGTATTAGGAAAACAGAAATACTAAATATACATCATGTCATAATCGAACGCAGAGAGAGCAAGTAAAACTCCACTCTTTTAAAAGTACAAGAAAAATTGAAGAAAAAAATGATAAAACATCAAACCTGCGTCCCGCTCCTCGCAACCCCAAATTTTGTCCCCCAACCCCTAGCCTTCCGATCCATATCCGCCCTAACAAACACCATAACAATCCCCATCAGACCCGCTAACAACCAATCCAGAATCACTCTCACAAAACCCCCCCTCACACTCCCCCCAAGCATACTCCCCCTCACCAAACCCGTCAGCAAATCCGTCGTAATAAGTTCCCTTCCAGCTTCTAAACCCTGAATACTCCTCTGAGCTACCATCTGCGGCGTCTGTCCCTCATCGCCATCTTCAAGTTGTTTCGTAAGACCATGTTTGATGCGATTTTCAGCCTCGTATGATTCGGTTAATATCGTAGCGGGGAATATCGTGTGGAGATGAACACGAGGCGCGCTAGGAAATGCAGAGGCATAGAGATTCATTTCTTGAGATAGAGTATCGGAAAGAGAGCGCAGCGCCGCTTTGGCGGGACTATAAGCTCCGTAGCCTGCGAAACTGAAGAAAGCGAGGAAGGAAGCGGTGAAGATGAGATGGCGAGCTGGAGGAGGAGTATTTTTGGTATGGCTAGTATTATCGTGCATTTTATCTTCGATACGAGCTTTTCTTTCCTCGAGTGGTTTGAGCCAGCTTCTTAAGGTCGCGTGCGCCATGTATGCGCTCGTGAGATAATTATTATTTATCTGAGACTGTAGCTGGGATACGGGAGTATCGATGAAGAGGGTAGGGTAGGAACTACCTGCACAACACCACACGGTATCTGGAGGAATTCCGCGATTCCATTCCACGACGTCGTCAATAACACGAACGCATTCATCTGGGGAGCTCAAATCGGCGCTTATATGATGGAAACGCTGGGTTTGGGGATTGATAGCGCCTTCTTTGATGTATTCGATAGCTTGGAGCAACTTTTCCACATCTCGCGCGATGATTACTATGTTGGCGCCTTTTTCGGAAAGTTGCCGTCCAACCTCTTGGCCCATTCCTCTTGAGCCACCGGTGATGACTACTGTCTGTTGATGGAATTAATTTTCTTTACGATGGAATAGGAATGATATATATAACTCACCTTTCCATCTACCGGAAACTCATTCTTAGACGAGATATTGCCCATAGCTTCTTGTACTGAGATGTGTTACTTATTGATGGCTGTAACCTAGGAGTCGCTCGTATTGAATCAATAAAGGAGAAAATGACCAGATATGTAGTTGAAATAGAGTGAAGATGATCGAGGTTAAAAGGAGTGAAGCTTCCGAAGCTATTTAATAAAACCGGTGCTAATTTAATTTCGTATCGACTGTGCCTCTTATACGCAGATGGGGTATCACTACCTTATCAGCCTATTTTCATGGGACAACCAGGGATCGTGACCAAATAGTAGCTACCCCAATGTCATTCAGCCCCGTGGTTGTGGAAGAATTATACAATCAGCGTAGAGGAAATCTATTGCTCAATTGGTCATACTGGAATATATTATCAGCTTCTTATCAGAGTAATCGTGTATGGTGCGATAAGAAAATATACGACAGGTAAAAAGCCCGAATAGCCAATATTGAGTTGATTTTGAAGTCAGCAGCTCAATACTTACGAAGCGAATACAACAAGTCCTACGGTAGCTCACTGGATTGAACAATAGAATTATATCCAGAGTATGGTTGCCATAAGCGGACAAGGTGGACAGGTGGACAGGCTACGAAGCAAAAATAATCAATTAATAGCAAATTCCCAGTCCTTTCTATTGACATATTTTACATGAATCTCTTTTGGATGGAATCGTACCTCCGGGTTTTTATGTATAAACCAACAGCCCCAATCTGTTGACGACATGAGCACTAGCGGCATACATAACGAGAACAACGTCGCTAGTACTAGCGACACAACAGTAACCACAGCTGTGGGGGCCCTGGTTATTGTTCTAGCAATAATCTCCGTGTCCTTGCGATTCTACACACGTTATTTCACGAGAGCTGGATTCGGATGGGATGACTGGCTGATTTTGCTTGCGCTGATAGCCACAATTTTGACAGACGTGTTGGTATTATGGTGTTTGTATCCATTTGCTTGGGTTGGCTTGATGATAAAATGTAAATCATTCCCTGACAAAATAATTATCAGCAACCAGTGTCAACCCCAACGGCCCCTCTGTGGCTTCCGATACAGACCCTAAATATATATATACAGATGCCGACGTGTTCTATACTAAACTGAATTTTGTAGCCACGGTACTCTATTTCAGTATAACCTCTGCGACAAAAATGTCAATTTTGTTCATGTATAATCGAATTTTCTCGGTCTCAAGGGCTTTTCGCTTTCAAGTCTTGAGTGTTGGAGCAATGGTCATGGTTTTCTGGATTGGCTGTACTGTGGCCAATCTATTAAACTGTCGTCCTTTGAAATGGACCTGGCTTAATAGCCTTGATGATCCACGATATTGCTTCAATTATAACATATTCTGGATGGCTAGCGGCTGTGTCGAGGCTTTCATTGATGTATTAATCATCACGATCCCTATCAGAATGACGCTTGGCTTGCATTTGAATAAGGCTAAAAAGTTTGCCTTGACGGCTGTTTTCTTGATAGGAATATTGTAAGTGTTGTGCAGAAGATTATTTGTGTCGAAGATACTGACTGTGACCGAATGAAAGCGTTATCATCACGGGCGTGGTCAAAGTAGCGCTCAGTTACGCACCTGGTAGCCGCGAGCCATCATTCAATCAAACCGAAGTTTGGGCGACGGTACATTGTGGGATTGGAATGGTTTGTGCATGTCTGCCAGTATGCTGGCCACTCATTTTACGTGTTACGAGGTTTCGATCTGCTTTTGTGCAAAGACACTGGCACAAATTCAGTATAAGTTCTCTGAAAGAAAAATTCAAGAACAGGAGAAACACAACCACGCAGCTTGAAAGAACTGCGACGCCTAATACTGGAGACCACTTATTCTTGGATAGCGTGTGAGATCAGTAAAATTGTTGTCGCTCTCAATAAATCAGAGGAAGTTCCAAAGAGATCAGTAAGTCTTCGACCACGAATGATTGTCGACTTTTGCGAGGCACTGATTACTACGGAGCATTTTCGGAGTCGAATATAAAGCTCAGCATGTACTTGTGCAAAGCCGATTATTCTGTCACCCGCGATGGACTTCAAGCAGTTTCGCCTGTTGAGTATTTTCTTTCGCCGGGGTTGGCAAGCAATTGTTGCGATTGAGGAAGCGCATTTGATCAACTTCAGTCGGCTACAAGCAGATTAACTTGCGATACGCATCTCATTTCGACAAAGACGATATCACGGTATTAGGTATCAGACATTCTTTTGCACTGATCGAAATATTCCATGTCCAGAACGTATCCATGCTAATCTTACATATGCTTGGAGACGAAGGCAGAACTTGTCATGGAGGAAAAACACAAAATGAATTTATATCAGATTTGTGGGACTACTACAGAAATCTGCGAGGTATGATGATATTATATTTTAAAAAATTACAGGTGCGAAGGAGGTTGCTAGAATATACGTTGGGACGATGTACATGTGACAACGAGCAGTAAATATTTACATGGAGTAACCTTATATGGAGAGTTTCTTTATGATAGACTCTAGCCATCAAGAACTTCAGGAATTATAATCAGCAGAATTTTGTTGACTGATTGCTGGTATTCAATTAGGTACCAAGAACATATCAATTCCGAGTGATTCTGCGTCGTGATCAATTACCTTGTTCTAGACTTTCTCTTTAAATTTGCAAAGTTCGGGGTAGATGAAGGGCAGATTGAGATAAATGCAAAGTTCAGATGTTGTCACCTGTGCTAGGGATTTCCTGGATGCTTCAGAATAGAGCATAAGTGACACTGAAATTACCAAAGAAAAAAATACATCTCAAGCATTGGCAAAAGAAAACTATCTCTATGCAAAATCAATTCTGAGTCGTATTTTGTACTAACAGCCATTGAAATTTACTGAATAAAATAAATCAAGGACTTGGCTTTCGGGTCTTCCGTTCGACATCTTGAGGAAATGCTTTGTCATGTTTGTTACCTAATCTTACAACCAATTAAAGATAAAAATAGAAGATATGTAGCATCACGTGATCTTACCAAATTCCTGGTGCATCGCCACGTTGCGATCCTTACGAACCGTTCCCATGGTACAAAGACGTACCGCGCGCGTGGGCTATCACTAACTAGAATGCTTACTAGGTAGTATGTATGATCGTTATCTGCAGAAAGTGTACTCGGCGATAGAGAACGGGTCGTGATAAATTTGTACGTCTACGCATCGTTACGACGCAGGTACGTAATCTGTGCTTCAATAAAATGTGTTCGCCTTGCAGATATTCTCATGTTCATTCGTATTGGCAGAAAAGGGCCCCTTTTGCTTTTTCCAAGTCGGTTGACGGACGAATGAGAGATGATTAGAAGATGTGTTTTAATAAGGTTGTTCGTTGTTCCTGGCTAAAGAATCGGAACCTGCTTTTCTGCTCTTTTTCATGCATCCGAATTATCCAACCTAATCTTGTGGAACTCACACACCTGAAGGACGGATGCTCGGAAAAGATCTGGACAAAGGAGATGGGGGATGTCCGTGGAATACGATGCGTAATAATGCTCTGTAAAATAAGACAGAACGATAAAGGTAATCGATGCCGAGAATTCGATGAAAGGTGTTGGAAATTGATAGTTTGTTCTCTTTCATGGTGGTCCTGATTTGATAAAAGCTAACGGCATGGACATGGGTGAACAAAACGTTTATTCAGGAATCCACTTTAGAGTGAAAGAATCCGGTCGGTGAATAATATTATAAGATCTTACATTAATTAGCTTCAATTGCTGGCTTCGTACCGTCTCCTCGCGAGATGATAGGCTATTCCCGTTGCATTAGCACAGTCACCATCAGTTAGGTGAGCTACCTATCAAGGAATTTGATGAACGCAAAAATGTTCACAGGCACTAAACCCAGCCTCAAATCTCCTCTTAGATACTAGAATCTTATCGCTATGGCGGATACTTTGATGGTACCTGCGCCTCTATCGAGGCCGTGCAGTTCCTACTGTACTCCGTACGCACTGCACTGTGTCAAAGAAAATCCTATGATTGTGATTAATTAACTATGATGCATGCAGAAATCCGGAACATCAAATCATTGATTCGATTAGATTTGATTTGAAATTTGAATGTGTTAGGTATTGGGTATTGGGTATTGGGATTGGGTAATGGTTCAGAAAACAAAGCATTACGACTTTCAACCATCATACTCCGTACCTGCTCACGAATACACTTGTGAGGTATACAGTACAAGCTTTCGCCCATGTCATCTAATAACCTTATTGTGGTTGTGCAAATTTCTCCAAATATCATGTCTTTCTTCCTTTCCCCCCCCGTGTTCATTATTAGGTCAGTCCACCACCGCATGGAGCTATCTAATCGGAAAACTACTAGGTCTTCTACTCAGGTACAGAGTGGATGTCTAATTCCGCGTCTAAATCATCCAACCTTTGGTACTCGTAAATTGTATCCTACCAACCTCGTAAAATCATATGACAATCGAATGAGAAGTTTTACTACAAAAATGAATGGTTTAGGCTAAGGAAGGAAGCCAAACTTTGCACAAACACAATAATCTCGTAGACCTTACATTCCATCGAGCGAACCTGGAAATTCTCATACGCGACAACTTTCATGCTTGTTTCACCACTGCGCGCTTCCTCTCAAGCTCCCGGCAATCTCTTCATCTCAGCATTTATTTTTCTGCCTACCCGTTTTCTAATCCTACAGAGTAATAAATGTCTGTCGGCGGTGGATCAAACAAGGATTAGCGATCACTCAAACAAGCAAGCATCCCATTAATGTAGGGGTTTTCCATCAAACCATCCGAACGAATTTGCTTCGAAAGTGCGAAAGGCCGAAAGAGGGACAATCACTCGTTACCTAATCCATATGCTTCCAGAAAGAGTCTTGTTTGACCGGAAACACTGAGCAAACCCAGGACAGCCAACATTGCGCGAATCACATCGGCACGCCCTATTCGCGCAGTAGACGGTAAAAGGTGGACGGAGTATATATTTTTTATTTAGGATTTGTGATACAGTGTGAAGGTACCTGAAGGCTGTGCAGTGCATACGCTGCATACGAGGCAATTTGGCAGAACCCTGGGCTATTGGGGCTCCCAAAAGAGGTCGTCGGCGGATAACAGGGGGAAGATGGCAAAAAAATCTAGCCTACAGCCGCTGATGCTGGATCCCAATACAGGAAGTAGAGGAAATGGTACAGAACTTAACATTGAACAAAGTCCAAGATCTCCTTTGAGTGCAAAGTCCCCGAAATCACCGAGGTCCCCCTTCAAATTCAATACAAAGAAATCGCAATTACTACATCAGGCTCAAGCTCAGGCTCAGGCTCAAGAGCAACAGCAACAGCAGCAGCAGCAGCAGCGGCAGCAGCAACAGCAACAAGGAGAACAGGAACAAGAACAATCTCAAAGAAACGAAACTTCCTCTATGCAAGAAGGCGACCTGCAGATATCCAGAAAAGATTTATCAGTTACCAGTGGGAGTGGCAGTGGAAGTGGAATACCAATATCACAAACTCTTCCTTCTCTTTCCTCAATTCAATCTTCAAGGGCTTCAGATAAGGTCGGCGTAATAGAAAGACCTTCTCGAACGGGATTCTTCTCAAATTATAAAGCAACAAAAAGTGCAAGTAAACTTCAATCATCATCCACCTCACCATCAGATATATCACGCCAAGTGAATGTTGTCGAGGACAATAATATGTCTAGAGACACAGACCGCCCTACGATGAGCGTAGAGGTTTCATCACAGGACACTAAAAGAAGTGGTACGACCCATTTTGTTTCGTCCCTTCCTCTTCAGACAATAATGCCGTTGAATAATTTATCCATATTGAGTGATTCACATAAACTAATACCATTCCAAAATAGATTCAGGTACTACTAGATCATTAGTTAGTAAACCGGTCGGGGTATCGTCAAGATCTGACGCCTCGCTGGCATCATCAACGAACGAATCCCCACAACAGAATTCGGATTCAAATTCCATCAATAATCGAAAGAATAAATCAAAGCAATTCAGTCTCCTCGGCAGAACCAGATCACTGCGAGATGATCAAAGCCCCGCCGAGCCATCTCCGCCAAAAAATAATTATTTGGATCCCGACTCATCCACACATCAACACACAAGTTCCTCAGGTTCTATAAAGACGACGACACCGGCTCGAGGCGACGACGATATGAATTTCAGGGAGATGTCGACTCCAACCAATATTCGACAACGATCGCAAGACCGCCAACATAGTCGCTCTCGAGATAACCGCGGGAAGGAATCCACAAAGGAACACACGAAGGACGGTGGCAGAAATCAATCATCCTTCTCCTCGACATTTAAAGAGGCTGGCGGACATGCATTCTTCAATAATATCAGATCACAAGCAACAAAGGGAGCTGGGGTGATACACAAGAATTTGTTTGGAAAGGGAGGACGAATTAGCAGCTTTGCACAGAAGGAACCTTTGATCGACGACGAGCATTACGTTCTAAAAGTTATCAACAAACCTCTTATCGAACAAACACGACTCACCAGAATATCAAAAAGACTGGAAGATTCAAGGGACAAGACGGAGTTTTGGATGCCATCCTTCCCGTGGAGAGCAATTGATTATCTTAATTACAAAGGGAGCGATGTTGAGGGACTTTACAGAGTACCTGGAAGTGGGCCGCAAGTTAAAAAATGGCAGAGAAGATTTGATGAAGGTTTATAAAACCTTATCCTTAGGCACTTTTGAGAATATACTGACATACCGCCAGAAATGGATATCGATCTCTTCGAATGTGACGATTTGTACGATATAAATATCATCGGCTCAATGCTGAAAGCATGGCTTCGCGAACTCCCCGACGAACTTCTTCCCAGAGCTGCACAAGATCGAATTGCCAGAGAGTGTGCGGGTTCTCAGAAGGTTCCTCAACAACTTGTCGACGAGTTATCTAACCTTTCACCATTCAATTACTACCTTCTCTTCGCCATCACTTGCCATTTGTCTCTTCTACTCGCCCACTCCGAAAAGAATAAGATGGACTTTAGGAATCTGTGTATATGTTTTCAGCCTTGCATGAAGATGGACGCATTTTGTTTCAAATTTCTTGTTTGCGACTGGAGGGATTGTTGGAAGGGTTGTAAGACAGAAGCGGTATATATCGAACAGGAGTATATGCTCTTTGACCAGATGCCACCGGGAAGTGCTGGAGGATGTAGCAGCATCGCTGTTGAGAGTCATGATGAGAGGAATGTTAGCAGCTCGGACAGCAGCAAGCCATCGAGTGTCAGCCTCGAGCATCAGGGTCGAAAACATAGCAATGAGAAGGGTCGGAAAACCAGTGGGGAGAAGAACCAACGTCGCAGCCCGGATATTGAGAAGAACCAACGCAGAGTCCCGGACATCGAAAAGAATCAACGCCGAAGCCCGGATATTGAGAAGAACCAACGCAGAGTCCCAGACATCGAAAAGAATCAACGCCGAAGCCCGGATATTGAGAAGAGCCAACGCAGAGTCCCAGAGATCGAGAAGAATCAACGCAGAGTTCCGGAGATTGAAATAAACCAACGCAGAAGTCCGGATATTGAGAAGAATCAACGTAGAGGCCCAGACGTCGAGAAGAATCAACGTAGAGGTCCAGAGATCGACAAGAATCAACGCAGAAGCCCAGACAGCGAGAGAAACCAAAGGGAGGTTGCAATGAGTCAAAGTAGTAGTATGAACAGTATCGATACTGTCAGCACCACTTTGACCGTTGTGCAACCAAATAAGCCTCGAAATGGTGATCTCAGACCATTGAGTCCTATCAAGCCACTCTCTCCTATCGGGTTTTGAATTTCGTCTGCGTAGCATCACAACAGCAATAATACAACACATACTAGGTAGGCTTCCAGGAGTCACGCCAAAATATCGCATATCATTACGGTTCCACCCTAAGTATTGGAGCACTACGGTTCCCCTAGAAAATGGTACGAACAAATATACCGGAAGATATTGCATTTTCCTCGGTCGAAATTTCATTGCTTACGGACTTTGGGAAATGGAATGGACTGGACGCATTCGACGAATTTCCTTTATACAGTCACGCACAAACGTCGACGAGATCTATATCTACACAGTTCTTGACGTTCGTTTTGTCCGTTCACGCGACACAAGTTTTTCCTTTCCATATTAATGGTTTTACAAAATTTTCATGCTTGTTTTGTTGAATACCCTCCAGCGCAGCATGTTTGAATCTTGACAGCAAAGCATATCAGCACAGAAGGCGGGTTTAATAGGGATGGGTCTGGCAATTGGAAATGGATAGTGGCACATGGAGCGGATCGTTATTTGAATTTTTTTATTTTTTTATTTTATTTTTTTGAGGAATTATAACCATGGGGCGTGATGGAGACGGATGGATTGGGGGGCGGGGGGGGCTATGGATGATCTGTTAGGAAGCTTAGAGATGAGGTCCCATTCATCGCTTCATGTCGGTTGAAGCATTTTCGCTATTAGGCACAAGGTAGATGGGGCGAGGAAGGACCTGTTTGTACGATAGTCAGAGAGTATGTTACGCTTGGAGCCTAGGAGGCCAGGGACCACAAATTAGGGTCAGGAGCATTGAAAGATATTGAGAACAACTTGGAGATCATATCGACTTGGCAAAATCTAATCATCGATTTGCCGTTCATATCTTCCTATGAGCATTGAATTGAAATCAATGCTATGTACTATTATGATTTTTGGGTTCATACTTGCTTGTTACTGTGATTTATTGTGATCCAATATAGCGCAACACTTTTCTTTTCCCTTTCCACGTGCAATGATTTTCCTCATAACGCCAATGATAACCCATGCCAACGCCATACAATGAAGTCCACCATCATTCCGTCTTCTATCATACCATCCACTTTCCCCCTCCTTCCTCTCATCATGTCAATATTCCACCTCGACTATTTAATCCCTCTTCCCTCCATGATTCTTCCTATCACTCCTTTCATTCTTTCTCTGCATTCTCTCATTCCTCCTAACCTTCTCCTTTCTCTCTCGTCTTCCATCGTTCTGTCTCTCAGTTCCTTCCTTTCTCTCGCGCTCCTGCTTCTCATTCACCTCCACAATCCAATCGTCTTCTCCCTTTTTATTTATTCCCTTATATCCCCATTTAGGAACCCATTCACCAGTGGATTCATCATATACAAGCTTCTTTTTGGCCTCGGCAGTCTTGGGTTTAATGCCTTTCTTAGCGGCAAATTTCTGCCAGGTGGTTTGGCCAACTGGTGGGGGAAGAGGCTAGAGAAGCGTTAGTTAGCTTGATCAAATACATATAGATGAGATCCCAGTGCAAGAAATGCAATTGCAAGAAAAAATCGCATACCTTTTCTCTAGGCAACTTGGTAGCGATTGCAGGCAAACTCAATAAAACTCCATTGGGCGTTGATGCAATGGGACAAGTGCTCAATAACTGGTTCAACAATGCTTGCGCGCCATCTCGCGCAGTAGCGGCGAGATCAGCTTCGAGGTTTTCGGATGTGGTGAGGAGGAGCGGGTTTGGATCCTCGGCGAGGAGGAGACCGAGGTCAAAGGTGTATGGAGTGGGTTTATTGACAATGACGGGGAGCTTAGATGGTTTTTGGGGAGCGTCTTCGGACATTTTGACTGTGAGGTTGTTGAATTAATTGAATGGGTGAAGATTCGATTTGATTTTGATGGAGGAGAATTGAGATTTAGATAGAGGAAATAAATTTTGGAATGCTGCTTTTGCGGGACATCCCTGCGCGGCCGCAATTTAGCGCGGGATGGAATGATCCTAGTCGAGAAAGATTTCTGGAGCGAGAGGGACGACACGTCGAGCGGGATTGGGAATTCAAAACTCACTGAACCTACCGCAGATATGGCATCCTCAGGATGTTGGAAATGTCTCGCCAGACCGAATACTTCGCAATTGATCCAAGCTAATCATGCTACCTTGCGACTTCCGGTTACGGTTGCAGCTACCGCGGGATTTTCTACAAGTGCGGTGGTGTATAAGAATCCGTTGGGGCTTAAACCAAAGGGGCCAGGGGCCTTTTCGCAAAACCAGGCTAGGGGTGGGAAGACATTGAAGATTAAGAAGAAGCCGCCGCCTGTTAGGACGGGAAAACCTCCCGCGGAGGGAGAGAGAAAGGCGATGAGGAAGAGGATCGTGCTCAGCAATACGAATGCGTTGGAGGTAGAGCTGGAGGATTTAGGCTTGGAAAATGTTGGAAGTGAGAAATTGCTGACAAAGGTTGTGGGATTAAGTGGAAGTACGGTGGATAGTTTGAGGGCGAGTGAAGCATTTAAGGTTACACAGGGATGGAATTTATTCAGGAGGCCTGCGTTGTTGGTTAGAGAGGAGAGTTTGATGTGTGTAAAGCTGTTAGAGGAGGCGGAAGCGGAAAAGAAGACAGAAAAGTTGGTGGTTGATGGGGGGAGGGTATCAGGGAAGAGTCTGATGCTTTTACATGCTATGGCTTCAGCTTTTGTCAAGGGCTGGATTGTCTTGCATATCGCCGACAGTATGTCGTTATTTGTTTTGCACAGATTGAATTATGCTAATAACATTTACAGCCCAAGAACTTGTCAACGCTTGCACCGAATATGCTCCCATACCAGATAAAACACCAACTCTCTTTTCTCAAAACGCATACACTGCAGCGTGGCTAGAACGTATTGGCAAAGCCAACGAAGCAATTCTTGATAAACTCTCATTATCTCAAAAGCATAGCCTTCCTATTCCTGTTCAAGAGAATATATCACTACTACGACTTTGCGAGCTTGGAGCTCGCGAGCCTGATTACTCCTGGCCGATTTTCCAAGCATTCTGGACAGAAATTACAGCCGCAGGCCGACCTCCAGTGCTCATGTCTTTGGATGGACTTCAATGGATCATGCAGAACAGTCTTTACCGAAACGCAGATTTTGAATTGATTCATGCTCATGATCTAGCTGTTATCAACCATTTTGTGCAATATCTTTCAGGCGAGAAATCCCTACCTAACGGAGGTGCTGTACTTGCAGCCACATCGCGTAGTCACGCACCAATATCCCGATCCATGGATCTAGCCATCGTGCAACAAATGGACCGACAATCAGAACAAGAACTCACAGAACGCGATCCCTTTGAGAAGAAATACGACGAGAGAGCAGATAAAGCATTACAGAAAATTCAAGTCATGTGGTTAAATGGATTAAGCAAGAGGGAATCAAGATGTATCATGGAATACTGGGCGCAGAGTGGTGTATTGAGACAGAGAGTTGATGAGAAGACGGTGACGGAAAAATGGGCCCTGGCTGGAAATGGAATTGTAGGAGAATTAGAGCGTGGTGCTTTGAAGATGAGAATGTAGGTTTTTACAGAATGAATCAATATTATCTGTATATGTATGTGTACAGTTTATGAGACTGGTGTGAATGTGATGGATCATTATTGGTACCGAACCTACTTTCAGTAGAATTGTATACTTTCGCTCTAGAGAGTGTTTGAGTGGTTCTCTGTATCTCTAGATCTAAGACAGTCGTGGGATGTTTCCATATACTAAAGGGGTGTAAATTACCCCCCTTTCGATATGAGAGGACAGCTGATTGGGGATAAATTTTGAAGAGAAAAGGCTTGGGTTCTTGAGGTCTTGAGGTATATATAGATTTCTAGATTTTTAGGTATCCGATGAGAATTATGTTGTGCAATAGTAGCCTATGTCACACTTTTGGGTTGAAGCTGGAAGGAAGTATCGTTGGTTGATGTCATGGATTCAAAAATTAGGGTGTTTGCTTGTAAGATCTTATTTTGGGATGGTTTTGGAAGGTTGAGGTTGTGAATTTATAGTCCATTTATGGCGCATTATTACTTGTTATCGAAGAACAGTCACTTAGAAGATCGCCTTTTCAGCTATATTTCCAACCTCATTATAAATTCTACATCTCTGCTTGTTCGCTTCAGATTTATTTTTTATCTCGACGGGATCACTGCACGACATGATCTCCTCGGATTTCTAGAAGCTAGTCGCTTTAAAGTCGCTGCTGAGAATAACCCAGCGGAATCTTGAAACCGATCACGATGAGGTTGCATTTTTGTTGTTGAGGGGATTATTTTTGAGCTATGTTACCTGTATCAAAGGTTTGGTTTGTCTCTGATAGTTTTGGGTGCATGCTTAGCGAAATTTACAGGAGGTTTGTTGTAGCCATTTTGGGATAGTGATTGGTATTTTCCTTAGAATATCTTCATTCTACTACTGACTACATGTATAAACAATATCATCTGCACAGTATTTACAATCAACTTGATCCACATATTTCTTCCTCCGATATCCCAGACTTTTGTCCAATTCATGCATTGCGGCATTAATTCTCACAAGCATTGAGAATAATAGACATTCGAAGCAGTGCCTTGATTTATGTTAGCTTGCTTTTCCTACGAGTAGGAAACGAAGAATGCTTACAAGTCGTTCCACTCACACAACAAGTCGCCCCCGTATATCCAATCCCACCACATTGAGCCCAACGAGGCTGACAATTAGCCGTGGGTACCGGAACACTAATCGAAGTCGTCGTAGCCACACCAGAAGTCGTTGTCGTGGGCGCAGAAACAGCCGTCGTACTCGTACTACTCGTAACCGGTTGTCCAGACCCGGCACTCAAAACCGGCACATTCCCCTTCCAAGGAATCCACTGATTCTCATTAAACGCCAAATTACCCGTACTACGAAAAATCTCCGTATTACCCGTCCCATTTTTCAAAAATCGATTCACAAATGCATCTAAATCACCTTGCTGAGAACTCGGAAATACACAATGACTATGACCGCCCACTTGCGAAAAACCAAAATTCGCAGATGCGCCTACAGCTTGATAAATATACTTTGCCGCCGTCATGGCTCCATATGATGAAAGAGGTCCCAGCCATACGTAATCGGTATTTTCGATAGCGAGCAATGGACGCGGTGAGACGAGAGCTGCTAATTCGTGGTGATCGAATGGGAGGGTAGGAATGCGGTTCGTCCAGGTATTAAAAGAGGTGCTGAACCAGACATTTTCGCCTACGATTTCAGACGCCGTTTGAGTACTCGAGCCTATGCTGTCTGAAATGCGCCAGCTGGCGTCTCCGCCGGAACCGGATTCTTGCGGTATGGTAAGCGCGATGCGGGGACAGAAGGCTCCGGCTATTAGGGCTCCTTTGCCGTTGCGTGAACATCCTGTTACGCCTACGCTTGCGGGGTTCATTTTGGCGTTGGGGGTTTGTTCTAGTGCGTCCAGGATGCGGTCGACGCCCCAGGCCCAGGCTACCATTGCGCCTGCTGAATGGGTGGAGCCGTAGAGATTGTAAAAGAGTCCTTTACCGCGACTTGATTGGTCATTTTGCTGTGCGATTTGATCATTGTTATAGTTAATGATAGCGACGCCCGCAGGAGCAGGTATACTACCACCTCCATAAGCGATGATAGCTGGATAGGGAGCAGTGCCAGTAGAAGGATAGGTAATGGACACGCTAAAAGAGATTGATTTCCCGGAATCGGAACAAGTTATTGAGAGGGTGTTGCCAGAGAAAGAGGAAGTTACGGATGAGGGTTTGGGGGGAAGGATTCCTAGTTCGAGGTTTTGGAAGAGCAGACTGAGTTCGTTTTTGCGGCAGGTCCATTGATCTGTGGTGGTGATGCGTTGGCCCGCGAGGTTTGTGAAGGGGTCTGGAAGGTAGGATATTGAGGGGGTGGGGATGGGGGATGGAAGTGTACCACAGGCGGCTTGTCGGGGGATTGCGGTAGGTGTTCCGGTTTGGAGGAGAGATGTTGTGAGGAAGAGGAGGGTGAGTTTTATGGAGGATGTAGGGAGCATCTTGAACACTGGGGGTCTTCTGATTTTTTGGATATCTAGGTATTTCCGAGGATAGAAACGGAGGACATCATCGTCCCTTTTAACCTCACATTGTGCGGGGAAGGAAAAACTCAGTCTTTCTTTCATTTAACCTCATATATATTAATATAGACTTTATACATCTCGTTTCTGCTAAAAAGGAAAACATGAGGTAATATCTATTCAACTCAACGTATATTAATTTAGAATTTATATACGTAGTACATCACACTTTTTTATCACCGGTTATGAACCCAATGCTATAAAGTGAGTCGTTATATACCAAAAGACATTGAACCGGAAGACTGTAGTAGGGTTCTAGCCCATTCAACAAGACCAATATTATCTTCATCCACAAATATAGGCCAGATTGGGATTGAAGAAGCCATCCGTGATGCAAACATGGAAATCCGAATTTTGCCTAAAGATTTAGTGTTCCTAATCTGGTGAATACGCTAACTCTAGTTTTGATCGCACTTTCGAACGTATAGAGTAGATGCAATTTATTCGTAGATTATCACGTTTCAATTGATGATTTTACCTGGCGGCAGTCGGCTGAAAAGGGACAAGAGGAACGGGTGTAATAAATTGGAAGATTTGGTGAAGCTACTATCCATCTCAGCTCTTTCTTCAAACCCACGTGAATGCTCATGTTCATGTGTATACGTAGAAATTCCTAAGCGACACCTAGCGAAGTGAGCATGATTGAGTTTTTCAGGTTCTTTATTCACTCTCATGGTAGAAGCAGTTTAAAGTTCTGGTCTTACGCAGTATACCTCCTGCAATGAGTGAAGCAGGGCAGGTGATGCACGAGTAGCCACTACTCGAGCATCATTATGCTCAGGAATCAATAGAAGCCAAGACTTTCCAGGCCCACAAACCACTATTGTGATGAACGAGACATGAAAATGCACATCTGCAATGAACATTGACTAAAATATCGCATAGGGCTCAGTGACAGCTCCATATTACCGGGTTTATAATTTATAGCATTGTGGTGAACTATCAGACAATTGACAACACCACTCGTAGTGTAGCACCGATATCATAACAAGTAAAATATACAGCCCATAAATATATGCGGGGAAACGCGAACTTACTCTCCCATCAGCGTCCAGCATGAACATACGCATTAACCCTTACTAAGCCATCTACTTTGTCGCCAGTGTCCCAGACAGACATCAGTCGAGAAAAGATATCAATCATGGCATACGACCCAGCTATGCCATGGATCTTGTGGAAATCTTGGCGTAAGTTTGCATTCTATCGTGTGTATATAGGCTGAAAGAAATGTGCCGGATTATCCGTGTCGTGGAGGATTGTTTGGTTGACAGGAGGAGCTGAGAAATTATCACGTGCCTCCGCGGCGAAGAAAAATATGAAGATTTGTTGCTTATTGCGATCACGTGTCGTGGTTGTGTGGTCTATTGATGATTATTAGCTGCAAACTTAGCCATGCAGTAAGTGGGCTTAGGTTCCCCGCGAGTTCCAATAAGATTATAACCCCGCCAAGCAGCTTACTGCATCCTTCAGAGTGATACAGAAACTTTAACGGATGGTGCGATATCCAGCAAATCAGATTGTTTGTGTGCTGCGCCGTAACCAGAAACTTCAATAGGCAGGTGGGCAAAGGTAAAACTGTAAAGCACTCGCAATATCTGACAATTCAGATGTGTTGTCACAGTATCAATCAGCCCCTTCGAATGATACTATTAGGGGTGGATATAATCGGCAAGCATCGTATGGAACACCGGATAACCAAAGTGTACGGATTGAAATGGTCTGAGCCAAAAAGATGTCAATGCACGAAGACTATAGCAAACAATATTCATTCACACAGCCAAGGCAGCAGTTCATCAAATAGGGAGTCATGATGCTTGCAAGGACATTTTTATTCTTTAGACTGCACTAGCTAAAGTATATAACATTTAAACTAATCAGGTGTTAGCAATCTGGGTCTGAAATAATCCAAGGAGATACATACTGTATTCAAATCTTCCGTCGTTGTTTCCAATACGCTCAGCAAGGTTGACATCACGGCTGAACGCCTCACCATCCCTGCTGCGGAGATGGGTGCGGAGAACTGGGACTTGTGCACCACCTTCAATGTGGAATGTGACGTCCTCAGCACTGAGGGAGAAGTCTATTTGAGAGGTTAGATATTGCTTGAAGGACCAGAGGTTGTTGTGTATTAAATACGTACTTTGACCATCCCAGTGGATCATACCATTTTCGTTTCCAATGTACTCGTTGAGATCCATCTCAGCATCCACCCATTCGCCGTCCTCCTTTCTGAGGCGGGCCCTGAGGATGTGGTTGTCCTCGACGCGGATATCTTCGGCAGAGAGATGGAAAGACATTTTGAGGTGTGGTTTGATTTGTGTTGTGAAGTGTGTGTGAGAAGTGATTGAGTGTTGAGTGATATGGAGAAGGAAGGAAAAGGGGAGGATAGGATAGATATATGTGTCTTTTGTAGTCTGATGTTCAAGTTTGGTAACGCCTCAGGGTCTACCCCTCCTTGCATGTTTACAGCACCGCAGGGCTATCATCAGCCACTCGTGGATTCATTGATGGGAGTCCCCGCTGACATGAATGATCCATTTTTACACGCAAGAAAGTAAATCACGGACTTGGCACCTCCTTGGCTCACACGTTGTCCAAAAACATTGGACTAAAGAAGATTCACCGTGTTTAGAACGACCCACTATGACCCACTACCAGTGGGGTCGGGGTTTTGAATTGTCGCTACTGCGCCAGATTGGGTGGCTATGAGTGATATGCATCACAGGATTATCTGGCATGATGATTGAATGATTTAATGGTCGGAGAGCTGACTGACCCACACAAGCTTGTAGCTACCCCTGGTTACATTCGTACCTGGATAGCAAAGCAGTTTTTGAGTAAGACCAAGAACGATTTATCCAGGCAATAGAAGCTCCTGGAAGTTGCTAGTATTGACTGACGACTGAAACAAAAGTACTCGTATAGCGTCAAACTGTCACACGGAGTAACCCACACTCACTCGTGTTACTATTGATGCTCGCACTCCGATACATGACACGTGTAGCAAAGTAGCGTCTATCAATCCCCAGGAATTTCAGATACTGCAAAGGAAGTGGCACAGTTAACGCACGAACTGCTCCATAAACCAATCCAATGTCACATACCACAGTACCTGTGGCCTATTGATATTCCTCACTTGAGCTGTCAAACTGAGTTCGTAAGCTCCAAATCAATAAGAACCCGCAGTTTAAAGTAACCAACCATAACAACGCATCGATGCTGAGCATGAGCTTTTGAACTTTCTTTTCATAGGTACAATTCCACATATCTGAGTCTCTCGACACCGCTATTGCCAGTCGCTGTATGATATCACAATTGTCTCATAACTCTACCGGTATATACTGTTGATCGTTTCGGAGAGGGGCGTATCCTCATTTGGGGATGGATCATGGATGCTGGCGGCGTTGAGTGATTTTGGTGAGCCCCGCTACTCGTAACCTTAGAACTACCTAAGCCACTTCGCTGACTAAGCGAGCTACTTTCTTCATTTCCCTCAAACGTCCAGTCAATACGCATTGATGCAACCATCAAGCAGAAAAGACTCCAGATATCAACGTTAAAGGGTTATAGTCAGAGCAGACTTGCGCCGTGGTGCAAAAATTATTTTCAACGTCCATGCGAAGACAGCAACGATATGTTTGTGATGAGCCACAAATATCGAACAACTTCTCAATTCTTACCATAGCGCGAAGGCCGGGAGTAGGAATGAAGTCATTGATAGCTGATTTTCCATTGTAGCTTGCAGGAACAAGTTTATTCACCGACGCTGTGGATCATCAGGCTATATTTTTATATAGTCGTGGTAGTGCCAGTGTGCCGATACTCCAGAGTGCAGCCCAAGAAGGAGGGATTGTTGGTTGAACACTGAAAGTTTTTGAAAGTTGGAATCGAGTTGACTATTGAATCTATCGGAACAATGGATTTATCCGAATGATTAGAACATTTTCCAACACTCAATGCATGAAGCATGCCAAACCGTGTTGCAACTATTTGAGCACACTTGATCGTGCCTACCATATTAAGTTAATACTAAACATCGGCAAGAGCATTCGATGTAATGGATTTCGTTGCATCTGTACTAAGTTTGGAGAATTACATACTAGGTCTTATCTACTACCCGTTTGTCAGTTCTCTAAGTATCATCTGATAATTTTTGGGAAACGCGCCATGATGACAACGGGACAAGGGAAATGAACCTGATACTAGGAGCAGAAGGACCAGTAACAAACCAGATTGCCTCTTTCCTCTCGTACTCGGCAAATAATATTCTGAATGCAACTAAATCTGATGCCCCTCCAAGTTCTTCACCGGAGGCTCCCGCTTGCAAGTTTGACTATACAGATACAACAACTTATGAGGATCCTTTTATACATTCTTCGAACACACGAAACCTGGGTATACCAATCAAAATCTAGACCACTTTTCGAATTATCGAAATCTGATGGAAATTCGAGAATTGAATAAAATTTACTCGGCAACTGGTAAATGCAAATTCCCATTTCTATCCGCATATGATGTCGCGGCTGTAGGTTTCCACGTCTTGACTAGTCAAAACTTCCCAATGAGAGATCTTGTCCTTTTAGGTCCGCAACTTCTGTCATATGAGGATGTATGAATATGGCGAGAATATCCTCCGTTTCATTTGCTGAGTCGTTGCTACAGGTGGCGAATATTATCAGTAAAGTAGTAGGCAGAACGACCATGCATGTCGTTCTATCACCACAACAGCTACACAATCAGATGATACCGGATGGGCTCCCTAGGGTGTGGGTAGTGACAGCATCAGAGATACAGCAGTCAACTAGTAAAGAGTCTGAAGAGAATGTGAACAATGTTATATGCAAGTCACAGGGAAGCATCCAAAAAGATTTGTTGATTTTGGAAAAGAAGTCAAGTTTGTATGGTCGTTTGTATGGGCGAATGAACTTCAATGAAGAATTGGAAAAACAGTTGTTGATGTAATGCAAATGAGGATGTCTGGGAGTCTCCCAGTTACATTTGAAGATGGTGAAGATGGATAGGATGGTATGGATGAGTTCAAAGAGGTTAGATGCATTGTTAAGCTGAAGTTCAGCCTCTAAAGAGTAATACGATTTTGATGATTGGGCACGAGCGATAGACTTCAAGGGTTTTCATTTACATCTGAACAGTGATCCTAGAAGCCTTGCATCAAACAGCATGATATTACAACATAGCTACTGCTGGTCGCTTCAGTGTCCAAGGAGGTCAGAAATAGTTGTCTACTCTAAGGTCACAGTCTCAGATGAGAGACTCGCGAGACCTGTATGGGATTTATCCTTTTCACACAAAAATGGAAGGGAATCATTGCATGATAGTCAAAATGCAATAATTGGTGCTCTAAAATATCAAGTGAACTAGCCAAAAAGATGCACAGATGAACCATAAACTCACAAACACCGACTTTTATCATATTCTTTCATACATAATGATGATTGAATACAGGTAATAATCGTTGAAATTCTGGCTTTTGTTCCAATATAAACCAAAATGATATCATAAGATGGGAGTCAGATTCAGGCAAGCTCCGAGCTGTATCAAGTAATACCATCTCATATCATATTTACCAAGCAGACTCTTTCTTAAACAACACTAACATTATGCAAGACTAGATTGACTATAAGGTTATTTTGGTCATTAATGTCCAGACTTATATTACTTACAATGTGGTATTATTTGGATGAAATTACGTATTCACAGTTGAATTTATTGAACTGTACCGACTATTGATTGATGCAGTCGACTCAATAGTAGTCTAAATCATAAATGTCCTGGGATCCTTATAATATTTCACAAGCAGAGAAGAGCAATTCATCTGAGTATTGGACTCGAGATTCAAACTCAACTTTTCACTTTATCCACACTTTATCTGCATATACCAAATCCAGATAAGAATCAAATCAGTATCACTCCCTCCGGTATCACTCCCCCCGGTCCTAAATCAAGTGTCTTTGAAAGAAGGACCTGAAGTGCATGCACGTGATAAATGGCACTAACACCTCGAGTTCCTTCCTCTTCCAGTGTGGGAGCTTAACGGCGCGGGATAGTGTACTTCTTCCTTGACTTCAAAAAACTACTCATCTCTAACACTCATCCATTCACCAACTCAAAAAAGTATCGTGAGAGTTCTTTTCTAAGTTGCGCATCTATTCATCTCTTATTGTCTCTCATTAACTCTACGAATTACCATTTATCAGTCTTTCCTTACTTTCCTTACTTTCCTTCAGCTTTCGAGGTAAGCCTTTTCATCATTTTCTATTTGGAGGTTGGAAGTTGAAAGTGGAGCCAAATGAGCCAGCTCAATTCAAGAAACTCACTTTACTGTTCGAAGCGAAAAAAATCCTCGATGCTGCCTCGAATAAATAGATCTTATCAACTGGATGCTCTATTCATTCACAATCCATCACAAGCTTGACAATCCCCACCTCTTTTGTTTATTTACTGATTCTATTTGAAAGTGAGCTTTAACAGTCTCTCCACGTCTTTTGTGACTACTTGGGCATCTGCTAGTGCTTCTCTTCTCAGCAGCCATCTTCGCGTAGCCCAAAACCTGCCAATTTGTCATTGTATCGAGGTCGACGCCGGCTATCTATGAAAGCGTGTATTTTTAGTTATTCCATATCACCACTCCATTGTCTCACGACTGCTCGCAGCTAAGGACTCGACCAATTAAACAATTCAATCATATATCAAACAGCTCCAGCAGGATAGATAGGAGCATTGTCTTCCTGAGGTTCCTTAATAGCCGTAAAGGTACCCACCCATACTTGGATTGAAAACGTGCCATCACTCAAACTTGACACTAAATATATCGAAGATGCCTCCAGGTCGCAGATCAAAGAAAGCCTCGCAGGACTCATCTCTTGATACATGCGTGGCAAACTTTTGCCGGGAACTGAACATAAATTCAGAGACGAACGGCAGAGAAAAGTGAGTTATGCTAGTGGTCTGTATACAACTGCAGCATGCTGACAGTGAACAGGATCGACGAAAATACAGTGGAATCGCTGTGCGAGGCTCTGCGCACGCCAAAGGAGAAGGTTACCATAACCGCGGCGGCCGTCAGTAATCTTCTCTCGGCCTTGGAGAATCAAGACGGGGATTTCTGCTGTTCTCTTGATATCAAAACTTTCTGTGCTGTTTTGAATATTATTCTTCGCAGCGAGGGTTGTCGAGAAGGGGAGCGTATCCTCGCTCTACTTGCCGTAGGTGCTAGACTAGTGACTTCATGATTTTTGAGATATTGGCTAAGTCTTATAGAATGAACTCCACCAGAAATTCTTACCTCAAGGCGCAGAGATCTCGGAAAGTGTGTTGATCGATATCGCGAGGGCATTGGACGTTGGTCACCTCATAGAATATTTTGTCGATGATTCAAAACCAAACGGCACTAGAAGATGGGTAAACTACCATCGCCTGTCCCTGATATGTAATTGGGCTAACACGTTGGTAAGGTTGGTATCATCATGCAACAGCTGTTGAGAGGCCCAGAGGCAGTTTCTGAGCAATTTCAACACACACCGGAAGACATTAGGTGAGGATTTCTCCACTTTTATTTTACGGCCGAGCTGATGTATTCCTAAAAGACGGAGCATTGGTCCCTTGATTCTCAATGAAGAAAACGAAATCCATAGGTTGATTTGTGGCCAGGTTTTGGCGGCACTACTGAACTCTGATATCCTTCCTGAAGAACTCTGGCCTGTAGGGACCGACAAGAAAGACTACGACGATTTCCCGACTGAACTGGAAAATCCATCGGAATGGAAATCGCAATTTCAGCTGTGGGTAGACGATAAGTGGCCTGATAGTCCAAGTCAGACGTAGGTATGCCAAAGATCTACAATGCCAAAGAGCTAACAACTACTTAGGCCACCACAAATGCTTTATTATAGTCACAGTGTTGTGACTATACCACCATTTAGACTCGGAACGTATGGCGAAAACATCGAACTAGTTTTGGAAGACGGCTATATCCTCTTTTTTAAGACCTCTACTGAACAGGAACTAGATCAAATACTGCAAGTACCATGCAATTCCATCTCTCGAATTTCTGTCATCGGTAGCTCGACTGTAGTCAATGAAAAAGAAGTTTATGATATTGTTTTTGAAATCAAGGACAACCAGAAGGTATCCTGTTATCTAGACTCCAGACCTACCAACTTTCAACAAATATGTCTGACCATAGGCCCAGACATGGAGGAGCTGATGGTAGATCTTCAGAATGAGTGTACCGAAGCCAAGTTCTCACGGGAGAGGATTAAATGCTCTCAAGCTGAGGATGGCATACATATTCAAGGGGAGTCAAGCTCTCCAGAGGCCAAGGGTGACAGGCTGTCTAGAGAAAATGAGCATCCACAACCAACAACGTCTAGTCCGTTATCATTCGAAAGTCACGCGTCGAACACCAATGTTGGTTTCAAGAGTGGGACTCGGCCCGACCTTGTTCGAAGTGAAGCAGATGATAATATATCATCTAACGTGGTTGGTAAATTTGAGCAGTCCCAGCATGACCCTAACGGGAAGCATGCAGCAAGCAATACCAACTTACCTGAAAATGCTGATATTGCAAACCTTAGTGACTCACCTAGAGTTCATACCAATCGAGAAATTCTGCCAACATCTGGCGAGGCTGTAGAACCAAATGATGGAGCTTTGAAAACTAATGGCCGGGCGCTTCTCTTGAGGCAAAAAGGCAAAACTCGCCCTCAGATTTCTCGTCCCCTGCCAATGGTTGAAAGCCTTTCAGGCAAGAGTGCAACTAATGCTGCCAAAGCCGCCACGATAGAAGAAAACTTATCTGCAAGTCTGCCAAGTGGAAGAAAGGCTCCTATCCCAGATACGCAACCAAGCCCTGTTCCGAACCTGAACCCCAGCCTGAATATGAGTAAGGTACCTAAAACGTACTCTATAAAACCAAAACCACCGATCGCGGCTTCGAAGTGCAAGGCAGAATCCTCTCGACAGACTGAACCGGCGAGCATAACTACGGTCCTCAAAAACAAGGCGGTATCCGATGAAGCGAAGGCGCCAATAGAGACAAGTGTTTACGATTTTCCTGTGAACGTTGATGATGAGACAACGACCAAGACCAACCGTCAGTCTAAAAAGGAAACAAAAAAAAAAGTTGGTGTATCACAACAAAAAGGACAACAAAAAGGAAAGGCAAGTGGCAAAGGCAGGGGAAAGAATGCAAAAAACCACCAGAAACCCGAGTCAATTTCAATGAAAACTGGCGAAACTGTAGTCACCAAGCGGACTAGCCAGAGAGCTGCTGCGAATCAAGCCAAGCTTAGCATGAGCAAAATTAATGACGAAATGGAACACATCGAAGACGACTTCCCCGACCTAAGAAGCAGTGGACCAGCGCAGCCCAACGTCTCGCGAAAGCGTAGGATGATGGAGGCATCAGTAGAGCCAGCTGTAGCAGAAGCTAATTCCACCCCTTTACTAGAGCTGGCCTTGGGGAGAAATGAGGAAGCATTGGTTCTTCAGCAGCAAGATGCTCAGGAATTAGGTCTGCTTGACAGCAATTTTCAGCCAGAGGATCCTTTCGAAATTGGGGATCTATACTCTGCCAGTCCACCAGCATCAAAGAATCCGCAGAGTTACAGTCAAGAAACACCTGGGCCTTCACGAAAGACTGCAGCCATAAACTTCGCCAATCAATTGGATGGTCTCCTAAGTGATGATGCGGGAGGAGATGACAAGAAAAGCCTTACTAATACTTCCAGAAAAGGTCTATTTAAGAAGAGGGTACCTCAGATTGCATTGCCATTAAAGCGCGAAACGCCCGAACAGAGCATACCAGAGAAGAAGTCGACAGTCATCGAAAAGATCGTCCCGGAAGCCATGATTCAGGAAGCCAAAACTCATGATAGCAACCAAGGCCAAGATGAAGATTTCCCGGGCCCACAATTACAGGAAGAAGATTTCACTGTGCCAGAGGCTCTAACTAATGAAAAAGTGGTACCCGTTTTATCATGCGAGACGGGCGTCGATAAGAATCAGAAGTCCGGAAGGACAGATGATGCTGAAGGGGAACCAAACATGAAGCTAATTGTCAGCACAGCTGAGAAAGAGACAGAGCATGCACTCATCACAAATATTTCCGATCCGGTCCTGGAAATCCCAAGCCATCCTTTGAGCAGATTTGCGAACAGCTCCAAGCAGGAAATCGTCCACAAACCGGTTGTCTCCAAGGCAATAGCTCCTAGTCTCAACCAGCCCCGTCTAGAAAGCTCTCCCCCAAAATTACTACCCGATGTAGCTTTGATCGAGGAGAAAAAGCGAAAAGTCGAAGCAGAGGTTGCTGTGCCATCCAAGCGTCGTCGACCAGTTACGACAGACAATTCAGAATGTCCACCAACCTCGACATCCGGTCCTCTCACACAAACAAAAGCATATCTCGATACCTCATCTAGTAAGAATAAAGCTTTGCTAGATGATCGAATCATCCGAAAACCAAACCTGATACATTTCGGGGTTAAAGGTGCACAAAATCAAGGTTCTTCCAGTACACCGAAACCTGTCATCGAACGAAACACTGAGGTACTCACCACTATATCAGATATGGCAAGGGATAAATCTCAAGAGACAGTGCATAATAAACGAAGATATGACGATGAGGAAGACGAAGGAAGTTTGTTTGTATCTCAAAGCCCACCTAGAAAACGTCAAAGTGTTAGTCCACCGGCCGTAACTTTGCTGACGATCGCGCCAACATCGACGGAAACAGACAGCAGCCCCCTCATTCCTGCGGCTCTCAAAGCCAGCTCACAAGGATCCCGGGTAGACGCATTTGGTAGTCCACTGGCTCAACACGGTATGCCTTCCATGGGCCAAATTCTCAAAGTCCAGCAAAGAGCACCGGCACCAGAATTTGGCGAGCGTGCATCTCGCAAAATAGACTTTCAGCGGGATGTATCTACGATTGCCGTACCATCTCCAGATTCCGAAGTCAAAGACACTCCCGATATTTTTGGTCCTCGTGTCAAAGTTGTGAGCATCGCAAAAGCTCGACCTGCCCCACCTGGAGAGTTGCCTGTTCGATATGTTCCGCATACAAAAACTCAACATGGTACTTATGAAGGCATTTTAACAATGGAGAACATACAAGAAGAAAAGGTCCTGCCGGATCCCTTTATTGAGGATGTCCATCACAAATCGAGCGGGTTTACCGAACGATTACGTGCACGGAAAACTATAACCAGCAAAGCCGATGAAGGTTTGAATGTTCGTTTCAGCGATCCTGACAAAACTCTTGTGGAGATTGAGATGCAAAGCTCTACTAGAGATTTGTCTTCACCAAGTGAGTCGACTAGTAATTCATCTTTTCGATCAGAAGATTTTTCAAATACTCCAACGCAAGAATTATCCCCCAACAGTCAGTGGTCATTGGCTGTTCAACCACACTATAAAGGATATGCAGATACCGTTCATAAGATTGCCAGTGTAAGTCACCGCGTGGTTCAATGTCAGTGTGCTAGATAGCTAACACTTGAGTTAAGGAGATGGTGATTAGATTGGCTAAGGAAGAAGATGCTTCTAAGCTGGTCGTTCGTCAATACAACGAGAACGCCACCGGTATGCTTGAAGGTTTGACTAGCAAGCGAGATGTGGAGAAGGTGAACATACGCCAACAGATCGAAAATAAGAAGGAAGAATTGATTCGAATGTACTCAGAAGCTAGAAATACCATGACGCAAACTGAGAAGGATATAAGAGCTGCGCCTGTAGCTGATCTCAACGGAAAATGGCAGGAGAGACAAGAGTTTATCCTCAGAGAAATGAAGTGAAAGAAGTGAGAGACATACATGAAAGTGGTAGTCCGGTGAGACATTGCTTCGCTTGCTTGCGTAATCTATATTTAAGAGCGACGAGGAGCGGCGAGCGAATGCTATGTCAGGCTTCGATTGCTTTAGATTAGAAGTCCACGAGCTGGAAGACGTAAGGTTTGAGTATCTTACCACGTCATTCATAATGTAGCATAAATGTTTAGGCAGCTTGACAAGATTTGTATTTTCGTGTATATAATTGCTATAAGAGAATCGAATGATTCTAATAATTTGCTGTCTAGCTGGTAGTCTCGCACTACTTGTGCCGGTATTCAGTATTACCTAGTCATCGGCAGTGCATTGATGGTGCCAACATTGGAAAATGATGATGTCGGTCGCTAAGGCTAACTTCACCAATTCTAAAAACAATGTGACAAGGGATGACAGTCGCCCGACAACCCCACTTCAACCGCAGCAGCCCACCAGCCCAGATTCCAGAACATTTCCTTCGAGACTTATTACGACAACAACCCCAATTTTCTCTGCGTCGCAAATCTGATCCAGGAATCACCGAGTCAAGCTTTTCTCTCTTTTATTTAGTCCACTGTTCTCCTCATATTTGTTACCTACTCAGTACATATCTATCAACCTCCTAAAAGATATCCTCGAAAGAAAGTCTCGAAAGAGTTCGATTTCCCCGCGTTCCGAAGTCCAAAACTTCTGCCACATCCTACGATAATCGGCAACCCATACGGCCAACTGCATTTGAAGTAGAAAATAAGAATAGAAACATCCACATTAGAAACAGAGAAAGAAATGCCACAAGGAAGCGGTTTCCACCCATTTGGTGGCAGGGTATCCAAGCATTTCGGCGATACGGTACGTATCAAAGCCTTGTGAAATTTGTTTGTCTATTGGTGACACCAGCGGAACGCATTCGTAGGGCTGCGCAACTCGAGACTGACGAGAAGAATTATTGTAGCTTTCTCCTGAAGATCCATATCTGAGTTGTGAGTTTTTCCTCCTCGTAAATGCTTTTGCATCTCTGCGGGGTCGTTCCGGCATGTTGCTAATTACTCACAATCTAGATTACGATGTAAGATGTAGGTTTACTCGACCGTTTTGAGGAGTTATATGTGAGCTGGCAGACTAAATTTTGGCGACAATAGTGACAAGGGAAGATGTTGATACGCTGAAGAATGACTGGCTCACGGATAATGTATACTACCCATTTATTCCCCTTCAAAATACTTATTGACCGTTCTCTGCAACAGATGATAGCCTTTTGGCAAGAGTACGTAATTCCTGAATCACTCGCAGAGAGCTTTTTCCACAGGAGCCAGCACTAAACAATTTCCCCAATCCCAGATATCTCGAGAACGAATATCTTAAAAAATACCCGTCCTCGAATATCGTCCTCCTCCGACCCTCCATGTCCTTTATGCTAAGAATGCAACCCGACCCCGCTGCGCTCCGTTCTGCTCTTCCAAATTTCGCACGCACAACACACATCTTCCTGCCCATAAACGACAACCGCAACGTCTCGCAGGCAGAAGGCGGATCTCACTGGTCACTCCTCCTCGTCTCGGTTATCGACGGCGTAGCCTTCCACTATGATTCGCTCTCAGCATCGAATTTCGAAGAAGCGCGCATGACGACACATAAGATGGCTCAACTGCTAGGTCGACCGTTGAGTTTTCTCAATCTGCAAGATTCGCCGCAGCAGCAGAATGGTAGCGATTGTGGGGTTTACGTGTGTATCATCATGCGCCATTTGTTGTTAAAACGATTGTTGGCCGCGAATGCGAAGGAAAAGGTCAGTATGAGTATGGGGGGAAAATTGGTGGATGCGAATGGGGCACGGAAGGAAATGTTGAAGATTATCGAGGGGTATAGGAAAGAGGGAGAGAGAAGGAGATCGTGAGTTTTCTCTATTTTCTTTCCTTTTTCCTTCTGCTGCGCAAGTTCTTACTCGACATAAATTTCTTCTAATATCCAAACTTGCACAGACACGATGAAAGTCGCAGTTCCTCCCCCTACCAAAAGAATAATCGAAGTCCTCCAAGAATCGACTCATAAGACTCCACAAGCATGCATGCATGAGCATGACTATAAGAATTCAATAGGCGTTACAGGTTCATGGCGGTACAGCGTTGGGATTCGAGCGCATGAACGAACGACACGAGCACAAAGAGAAATGATTTGCATGTTACTCCCATTCTATAACTTTTTCTTTTACTTTACTCTATGACACATTTTGCATTTTGGCAAAAAGACCATGTGCTTTGGGAACTGGTTGGTTGATTGCGTGCGAGCATCAAGAGCGATGATATGAGATTTGCGTGCGCGTTGTCGTAATGTTGGCATGACATGGGATGCTACGGCTTGTATAAAGGGCTCGCGAGACTTTTTGCTATTATAATGGGTTATGATTGCTTCTTTCTGCTGTGGAAGAAGAGAGATAGAGCTCAGGTTTATTAATGAATTAAATTTGAATATATATCGTACCTCAAAGCGTGGTCGGTGGTTGATGTTTTCGATTTCAATATTAAAGTGTGGTTCTTCTCACTATACACTTCAACATGCAATTTCTCATCAACCCGAAACCTTCTATACTAACGCAGACGTGTTCCCACATTCCTCCAATAACTTCCTATGTCCCTCCATAGCACCCTTACAAAATGCCTCTAAATCCATATTCTCCACCCCCTTCCACTTTCCATCCGGTCCACCATCAAAAACCTCCATGCTAAACCAACCTCTAAATCCCGTTCCTAGCACTGCTCTCGCAACTTCTACAATGGGTAGGTAACCCCCATTAAATGGATATGGTCTAAAATCATGGGACCATTTGCCCCTCGCTCTCAATTCCTCCTTTTCTTTTTCCCGTGGGGTTTCGGGGATGGGAACTGGTTGCTTATAAGCATCTGAGATTTGGAGGAGGTATATTTTTTCTGGGGGGATGGTGGTAGTGAGTGAGTGGAGGGATTGAGTAAAGTTCGTGTGTAGTTCTTCCTGGGTTCCTAGATGGGATATGAGGCCTGTGGGTGTGGATGGGTCGCCGTATTCGCCGCCGGCGGTTTGGAATGTGTCGAGACAGAGACCGATGTTGGGACGGTCGACGAGTTGGACTATTTGCCAGACTTCGCACCAAGTTGGGGCGTGCGTCGCCCAGCACCTATAAGGACGGGGTGTTAGGATTGAGTTTATGAAGAATGGTGAAGGGAGGGTAAAGGACTACATGGAAAGGGGGTGGGAGGGTCAAATTACCAATTCTCATAAGCAAGACGATAATTATGTTCCGCAAGCATATCAGCCAATTCCCTCAAATCCGCCGCCAAAACATTGAAATCCGACGATATGTCCGGTGAATCCGAACTTCCCACTTGCAACATATCCGTACCCACAGCTTCCATGATTCGAATCCAGCCCTTTGCCTTTTCGAAAGCATCTTTCCTCTCATCTGAGCCCTTCGGCCAACCCTCAAAATTCGAAAATGGTTGTAGCATCAATATTTCCAATTTGTTTTTCTCGCATAGCTTTTTGACTTCTGTTCCAGCTGAACATAATGAATCGTAGTCATTTTCTTTTATTTCTCTTTTGTGAAAGATAGATGCAAAAGAGAGTAGATCGGGAAACCCGAGTTCAATGGCTGTGAAGCCTGCTGAGGATATGGCGGATAGTTTGGAGGAGAGAGGGGTGGAAGATGTGCCAACTGAGACAGTTGCGAATGAAGCTGGTATTTGAGCGAGAGGTTCCGGAGATGTTGTCATGGTGCGAATTGAATTATTTCAAAAGTTGTGAGTCCTATTGACCACAGGAACATGAAGGACGTAGCACTTAATATGATATTGTATATAGGAGGTGACGTCAGGAGGCTGGCGGGGAAGTTGTTTCACGTGATTACCCATCATAGGGAGCTGAGCGGGTTTCCCGGCGGCTTCTGGTAGACACTGTTGCTTCTCTTTGTCAGAAGAGGTTTGAGTATCTAGTTTTCGTGGTGCTATTGAGGAAAATAGTGTGTTTCCAATGTTTTGCAGCAGCATCGGCAGTGTCATCATTTGAATCTGCATAATACGCCATTCTTGATACCGGACCTTTTCACCCACTCGAATGCTACATATTACTTTGCCAAGCTGCATGAAACGTATCCATGGCCCTTCTTATGTGGAAATAACTGTACTCCGTAGATTGGTAAAGGTTAAAAAACAATAAGACGTACCATATCGTGGCAATTGGGTATCTTAAAACAGAAAAACATGTTCTTGTCGCTGTCGTGAAAAGTCTTTTAAGCCTTTTTGAACTCCTCTTTCTGCTCCATGGTTTGCGAAATAAACCCTCTCAACGCAGCCCATCTACTCGCAGTTCCTGAGACAGCTGGCACTGCTTGACCATCCACGGCACTGCCATCCTTAGGCTTCTCCTCCGCAACTCCAACCAATTGTGCCATATTCTTTCCAAATCTCTCCCTCTCCATGGCCTCCAACTTCTCTCTCTTCTTCGTTGCTCCAGGTCGACTTTTCAAACTCTTTTGCTTTATCTTTCCACTCTCTCCCCTACTGATCTTCTCCAGACCCTCGCCTTCAAAATCAGGCAATGCATCTGCGAGACTCTCTAATGTGGTAACCAATTTCTTGTTTGGGCGTCTGCGCTTGAGGGGTTTGGAATTGGCTTTTTCAATACGATTAACGAAGGCAGAATGTTTAATTGTTCGTTTATCTTTTTTGGACTCGATGAATGAATCAGATATGATGGCGCCCTCACGATGCTGAGGAGGAACGTAGACACTTGAGCCTGCTTGGGAAGCTTTTGCGCGCATAGAATTTCGCTTTTTGGGTGCGGTGGGCGCCTGGAAAAATAGTTAGTTTTGTAATACGAAAAGGGAGGATCAATCCTTCGCCGTACCATGATTACTACGTCTTTCAATGTGAGTATATGTTAGATATTTCAGATATTGAAGAACGTAATAGATTTAAAATTATGGAGGATGTAAAAACTTTAGAGGTAAAAAAGTTCACAGGCGCAATTGAAAGCTCAAAGGTCTAACTTAGCGAATAAAAAAGTTGTCCTAGAACTAAGGTATTAACCTACCTAGTATTTTTATGCGACTTCCATAACCTTAAAACATTGAAATTCACAACCACCAAAATAAAATGGACTGCGCAGAAGAAAAAGCGAAGTCTTTACGACGTCAAATAGCTGATACCGAGGCTGAGCTTGCCCAACTAAAACTTCAACTTTTGAGTCTCGAAGAAAAAGATACCAACTCAAAAAATCTTGAAGCTAAAACCTCGGCATCAGAAAAAGATGATCCCGTGACTCATATTGAGAATAAATGGCCTATGAGTTTGGAGGAATACAAACGATATGGAAGACAGATGATTGTGCCTGATATTGGCATTAAGGGTTAGTGTTTATCTTTTCGAAAATATATTTTTATCTTGTGAATACTTTGCTGAATATGATTTAGGACAATTACGACTTAAATCCGCTTCTATTCTCCTAGTTGGAGCCGGAGGTTTGGGATGCCCGGCTGCTGCATATATTGCCGGCGCAGGAGTTGGTACTATTGGAATTGTCGATGGAGATATTGTAGAAGAATCCAATTTACATCGTCAGATATTACATAGCACAGATCGAGTGGGTGTTAATAAGGCTGTTAGTATTGCTAAATACATATCTGGGTATGGATGGATACACCTTTGAACATATTTATGGGCGTCCATGTTGACAATTTTCTAGACTCAATCCAAACATAAAGACGAATATCTATCCAGTGCATCTCACGCCTCAAAATGCACAGGGTATAGTCAAAGATTATGACATAGTTCTCGACTGTACAGATCATCCAACATCCCGGTATCTCATCTCAGATATCTGTGTTCTCCTCCAAAAGCCCCTCGTTTCCGCCTCCGCACTCCGAACAGATGGACAGCTAATTGTCTTGAATAATCCTGCTTTACCTCCCGGTGACCTCTCAGGTGGTTCATGTTACCGCTGTGTTTTTCCCAAGCCGCCTCCACCAGAGGCCGTAACAAGCTGTGGCGATGGAGGAATCATCGGACCTGTGGTAGGCGTAATGGGAGTTCTACAAGCTTTGGAAGCTATCAAACTTATTGCGTCTGGAAAATTGGCCGCTGTTGGGGAAAATGACAATACAAGTCCTACTCCCAAAATGAATCCTACCACAATGTTATTGTTCTCCACAAATGGATCTACACCATTCAGAAATGTTCGACTGAAAGGTAGAAGATCAAACTGTTTCGCTTGTGGAGAGGAGGCCCAGTTGGCTCTCGAGCAAATGAGCTCGGGTTCTATGGATTATGTCCTATTCTGTGGTATGACGCATCCCGTCAAGTTATTGAGTGATGAAGAGAGGATAGAAGCGAGAGATTACGATTCAATAAGGAAGGAGAAAGAACACTTGTTGATTGATGTTCGGGAGAAGGTGCAGTTTGATATCTGCAACATTGAGGGGTCATACAATATACCTTTCTCGTCATTTCAAGGAAGCAAAGGGAGTAGCGATCACCCACTATCAACACTCACCGAAAATCTGAATCCGAAAACTCCTATATACGTCGTTTGTAGACTTGGCAATGACTCTCAAATAGTAACGAAGAAGATGAAGGATTTGGGCTTGGATCAAAAAGGCGATAGATACATTGGAGATATCAAGGGAGGCCTACGATCTTGGAAAGAACAAGTAGATGGTTCTTGGCCGGAATACTAATCTGGAAATAGTAGAACCAAGATTATGAATTTTGGAAAAGAGATTTTGGTATCGGTATTGTGTGCGAAAAGTGCATAATGTGATACACTACAACGAGTGGCTCGATGAACGCCAAAATCGTACAACTGCCTGCTAATTTTATGACCTTGCTTGCCATAGGAAAATGATATCAATTACAACCTGCCATTCCTTCACCATTTTCCTATCCGACCCTAGTTGAATTGAATTTTTACACATATGTTTGTCGTTTCCTGTTGAATGCTCTCTGGTCCTTCAACCATTGCCTATATCCAGCCACACTCGAGATTTTCTCACCGTAGTAATCTAATAAAACAATTAGCTCATATCCTAAAAACGTTCGCCTGTCCTTCACATAAACCACGATTCCAACTTACCGGGCACCGGATTCGCCATCGAACTCGCACTAGGATCCACTCTATACTTCTTAACTCTCGCATAAAACTCCTTCTCCTTAACATCCATCTGCTGTCTAAACTTCCTATTCTTAAGATTGAATGCCGCAGTCCCCAAAATTGGTCCTGTTAACCATCCCGCTCCACCACACGCAAACGTCACTAATCCCAATGTAATAAACGGATCCAAAGGAATTTGCCCCACCAGCGCATCCATATCCGTATGTGTGAGAATCTGCGCTCCGATTGCGAAACCACCGAATCCAGTTCCAATGGAAGAACCGAGCTGGAACCAGCGACGAGTGCGGCGGAGTTTGAAAAATGTATTCCAGTTTAGAACTTCGGTTTGCGCGGGGCTAGATGTTTGTGAGGATTTGGATGGTGAGGTAGATGTGCTAGCTGTGGATGCTGAGCGCGAGGTAGGTTTGAATGTAACATTGCGTTTATAGGAAGGAACCTGCACTCGACGTCGCGAGCTTGGGTTTTGATTATCTGGAGCGCGAAGAGGGGTAGATGATGCGGCCGTTTGATATGTGCATGATGTGAATGCTGATGGTTGTATGCGGCAGCTAGCTGCTGCTGATCTTAATGTTGGTGCTGAATACAGCATTTTAATTGAGAGGGAGCTGGGGTTGCGGGCTCTGGGGATTCTTTGATGTGATGACGAAAAAAGAGCTTGTTAATCCTGGTATTTGACATCGATGGTTGGGTTCCAACCGGTTATTGTTTTTCTTAGGGCGGCGAGACTTTACGAGTTTTTGACTTAGCGTTCAGAGCTTGGCATTCTGAGGATCCATCTTAATTAAAACATTTTCTAAAGAACGAACTAATATAATTAGTAAACAAAATAACAAACCGAGGTCGATTTATCTGGAACTTCAGAAGCGTTATTTTTTTAAAAAAAAACAAAACAAACTTGAAAAGATTTGATTTATTTATTTATTTTTTCTCAATATAAAATTAAAATAGTATTTGATTTAAAAGAAAATATAAATATTATAAATTTAATATTTGGAACCTAACAATTGATATTTATTTAAGAATATAATAATTTAATTAATAGTTTTAAAAGATATTCAATTAATAAATAAACAATAAATATTACTTTCAAAATTAAATATTAATTAAATATATTTAAATAACTTTTTTAACTTTATTTAGATTGTTATTAGATTTAAACTAATTAATATTGTTTTATTGATTAATTAATTATTTCTTTCAAGAATGTTTTTTTATTTTTTTAAGAAAAAATCTCTTTTAGTCTTTGATTTTTCCTTTAAGATAAAATCATTTTAAAATCGTTTTTATATCTTCTTTTAATACTTTTAAACTATTAATTATTAAATTTTGAAGATAATGTTAAGATGTTCTTTTAATTCTATATTTGAACTATTGAAGTTCATTAAACAACTCCAAGCGGAAGAAAATATATTATTATTTTCGTTAATTCGAGATTTAGATTAATCTCAGTTCTAAAACATTCTCAACTTCAAATTTATTCAACACGATTTCATTTTATTTATCAGAATCGGTTTTCCTTCTAGAAAGAGCAGAGTCCCATTTAAAGAATTAACTTTGATCTGTTCTTGAACTTTCCGATGTCTTCAGAAAATAATTCAGACTTCACCGGAGAAGATAGGGACTTTCCAAAATCAAAATTGGCCTTTGACTTCAAAGTATACGAAAGACCGATCTATAAACCAAATAGCGGTCCGCCTCTTCAGCCAATTTCTCTCATTCCTCCTCACGATTTAAAGGGAATTATTCTCGATTGTTTTCCATACCCAAAACCAAAGGACCCTAGCCACTTCTTGGTGGGTTACGAAAAGGAGCCACATAATCAGCTTATTGTACATCCAGATAATATTCGCGATTATGTATCAGAATATACTCTGGAAAATTGGGAGCATGAACGAAGTACGGCGGAAGAAAATCGTGCCATCGAGGAACTCCAGCCGCGTTTGATAGCTGCAGAGAGGGCAAGAGTGTTGCGAGAATTAAAAAAGGCCGGGTTGTCACGTGATGTTATCAAAGGGGAGGATGCTGAGCAGCATCAGGCAATTGGGATGCCGAGGAAAAGAGGAAGGCCTCCTAAATCTATGGCGAGTGTATTTAAACCTATGCCTAAGCCAGCACCCCAGGTAATAGGCGAGAAGCGCCGACCAGGACGACCTAGAAAAGTAGTGGAAGTTCATGTCAATTCGCCTACTAACTCGCACCATCGCCAACCATCTTTGTCTCAACCATCCTTATCCCAGCCATCTCTGTCACAGCCTTTTTCTACAGCATCAAGAGCAATGTTGGAGCATGTATTTTCCAATTCAGGAAGTGAAGAGGAAGAAGATGATACGAATCTTGCGTTGGATCAACAACTTAGCGAAGAGGCAAACCAGGAATCTACCTCCGTTATGAATTCCTCCCCTGCAGCTTCGAGTCCTGTCATGAAAGCTTCAGGTCATGGAAAAATGAACAAGACGCCTATTCAGTCACCTCAAAAGAACAAATCTTTTCAAAAGTCTCCCCACAATCGTTCCCAACGAGCTCCAATTCTTCCGGGCATGAGTGTCAACGCATATCCGTACAAGGATTCGAAAATTGGTGCTTACGACGAGAACAATAGCATAGGGGTCGAAGGAACTCTAATCATGCAGAATCAATCTCCTTCAAGCCTTCAGCACTTACCTATTCTATCGGCGGAAAATGGCAAACAGCCCATTTACCGTACATCTCAACGTACAAGTCAGAGAGCCCAATCGAAAATCGTCGATTACTTTGACGATTCTGACGCCCAAATCCACACTCCAAAGAAGGTGGAAGCGAACCAATACCACAAACCAGCATCCAGTCTCAAGCGCAAATCTTCGCCATCCTTGGAACAAGAAAGAGGGTCAAGTGGAAAATCTCGAATTAAAAGTAGAAGACTTCACAAAGGTGCCGATGACTACTTGGATGCCGATTACAAAGAGCCTTCGAAGAAAGGGGTCCAACTAGCCATGAATTACCGTGCCTCAAGCTCCGACCCTAGCCCAAGTGCACGACGTGGAAGCAATAGCTTCAATCTGCGTAGCTCCAGAAGCAGAAGTAGAAGACTCGAATCTTCCCCAGAAGCTGAACCAAATGCAGAAGATAAAGGTGGGAGTGAAAATAAAAGCAAAGAGAGGGGCTCGGAAAAAGCTTTTAAAGACGAACCGCCGGTGTGGTCTGTGAAATCTATCCTGGATCACAAGTATGAATGGAATGAAAACCATGATAAGCAGGAACTATGGTATTTTGTCGACTGGGAAGAAGATTGGGATCCATCATGGGAGCCTGCCAAACTCGTTTCAGATGGGCCCATTGATGATTACATCGCTTCGAGACGAGCTAATGGACTTGGTGATCTTTCTATTTCCATCGAAGCGATAGATATTGGAAGAAATAACGATGAGGTATCACAGGGAAATCATCTTGAACATAGTATCGAAAATGATATATAATTGTAGTTATTGATGGTGTAGAGAAATTAGGAGGCTCGAGTTTAAAAGGAAAAAAACGAGAAAAGGAGAGGGCGAAGCAGACACTACTCAACGGTCAAAGGGTTCGGGGTATGAACTCTAGCATGTGGGTGAATTCTAATGGGATGATGGACCATCGATGGAATCATGATAGGGGCGTTCTAAGCGGCATTTTGTGGTATTATGTATTATTTGGTACATGGCTGGTGTGATATATTTCGGCATTGTTTGGAACATTCAAAGTCTTAACTAGACGACGAGAAAGGTGGTTTTAAGAGCACTGAGTAAACCAAATAGCATAACGCTTACATTAGCTGGCTTTCAGCATTCCACCGGTGATGTTGGTACTCGGCGCATTATTGGATGTACTTCATGCATAAAATGCCAGAAATAGCAAGTGCTACTGGGATATGTGGCAAGCGATCGCTAATGTGGGATATACCCCGCGCCTGACCCCCACGTCTAGCTGTTTTTCTAGAAGTCAAGATATGGATCATTGGGAGATTTATACACACATTCATAGTTACATGTGTTCTAACTACCTCATCTTTGGATTGTCGCACGGTACTTTAATATACAATTGCTACACATTCATATTCACCCACCTTATTTGGGCATCACCCTGCGATTTCATCTAAACCAACAAACACAGCTTGACTTCCATCTTCTCATGTCAGCCCAAAAATGGCATCAGTAAAAATTGATATTACATCTCCCGAACCATACATCACTCCCGCTGAAATCTATAGTGGCTCCGATTTCAATGTTAATCCACCATTCACTCCACCCATAGCCCTCCGTATTGCAACCGGAGGTGCCGGTCAATCAGGACTTCTCCGCTCACTCGCCAACGCATTTATAGAGTTTGAGATGAGGATGACCGGCTGTCCACGATTTAGTGTAGCATGGTTATTATCTGATACATCAGCAAGCTTTAACTATTTGGGAAGTAGAGCTGCGGATTGTAGTATTACTTATCATAAAGTCGCCGAGGAAATGGCCATGAAGCAAGGAATTGCGGAAAGGAGAGAGTATGCTTGGAGGGATCATTGGTTGCTCGTTGGTAGGTCATATGAAAATGACGATATGCGACTTTGTTTTTGTTTTTCTCTTCCCATCTGATAGTTTGCAGGCCCTAAGGAAAATCCTGCTGGTCTTCCTCTTGATGGTACGCACAACTCGACAATCTATGAGCTCTTCTCTCTATTATTCATGGCTTGCATTGAGAATCCAAATATTAGATTCTTATCCCGATACGACAAGTCAGCCAATAATATTAAAGAATCTGCTATTTGGACAGCTATTGGTCAAACTCCATGGGCACATCCTTATTCAAGTTGGTACCATCGATATGTAGAGTTTCCCTTTGCTGCATTGAAGGCTGCTTGTGTTTTAGGCGAGTATACACTCACGGATAAAGGAACATGGTTGAGTATTGATGGAGAGATTAGAGAGAAAATGAGTATTTTTGTATGTTACTATTTCAATAATCTTCAATATGTGAAATGTGTTGAGCTAAGTGGTGCATAGAAAGCAAGTACAGATGCTCTAGATGATCCTTTATTGAATTCAGCGCATATCTTAGTAGGTGCAAGAGGAAAGAATATATCCATTGCCCACAAATTCGCGGATTGGATGATAGCAAGGGATGGTGGGCAAAAAGTTGTGGAAGAATTTGCGGTAAATGGTGCTATATTGTACAGTGTTGCTCCGGATGCTTAGGAAGTGCCTGCATTTTATCGTCCTGTTATTGTTACAATAATTTCAATTTTATGGGATATATAGTAGCATTTTCTGTGTTTTTAGACAAGATTTTGTATACATTGTTTTACCATATTTCATATTACCCGAGTGACATTCTTTAAGGATGATAATATCACCGTTAATTTCGTAGCTATAGCACTTTCAGAGGAAGGAACAGTAAAATAAATTAGAAAAAACAGTTCAATGTTTCCATAAAATACTGAGGATGTGATTTGAAGTTATCATAACTGCACAATATTAAAAGTTGAATCATTATAAAAACGAGACGACGCACAAATTTTGAACTCTTCAAACTATCAAAGGCTTCCTTCATCGAAGAATGAGAAAACAGACAGAGTGTGGGTTTGAAATTAATTCATTGTCATTTTGCATAACGTGATTCCTCCATAGAACTTAGACCACGAAGCTTTCACATGAAATTTAGAGATACATCGAAAGGTCAGGCGATTATCCACTTGAACAACTATGCATAATAAAAGAGAAACCGCACAAGTCCAGCCACTTCGAAATCTCAAAATTGCCATCAAGTAATCAATACTTCAAAGGCGATTGTCTGCTAGGACCTTCATGCTTTTCTACCCGACTCAACACAAATGTGCCAGAGTCGAGGGGCTATTTATACAAATTTACTATTGCTAAGAGATGAATCCGGACGGTTAATTACGATTTCATACTATATATTGAGTATGTCTTGGACAGGAAAAGCAAATTAGGTAATATATTGATGAGGTGGTGTATAAAACATCAGATTCCCGCCCCTTTCCTGACTACTTTTGAATAAACCAGGATCCTACACCTGAGCTCTTTGCCAGCCACCATCCCATCGATCTTATTCTGCTCCCACTCAGTCCAGAAATTAAAGTCATCTTATCTGCTCTTCTTTGTCATCAAAGCTCCGCACCTTGATTACCAATAGCCACGAGACTTTTTCATTCCCCTTTCCATTTCCCAAAATGACTCAAAGATTTGGAAGTTATGTTGAAGAATTCTAACGGACTAGAAGACTGCTCTGTTTAGCTCACCATTTAACTGGTTGATCTGGAGAAACTGTTTTATGTGATGCATATAATAAAATGTCTACTTTAGCTATTTAAGTAGCTACTAGAAGCACTAATCCAACGAAATTTGGCCTGAAGGAGGATGTTATCTACGTGCGACGTCCAAATCATCACTACACTACTCGTAATGATTTTTGTGCTAAGTAGGTAGATTCTTCAGTCCATCTTCGCGAATCATCAGAATAGGGTTAATAAATTCACAACTCTGTCTTTTTCCAGGCTGTTGTTTGCACTTGCACTTGCAACTGCACCTCGTATCTTCACATCCTCATCTATTTATATCAATACTATACAGTGCTCAACCCTACACCAAAGAACCACGAAATATGAGGTCGCAATGAATCTAAGAACTGTATACACAGCAAACTTGATAAAATTAAATATATTAATCTCCTCTACAGTACTAAATTACTACGAAGAAAAGACAAAGAAGAATGTTATTTCTCCTCATTCCTCTTCCACTTCTACCATATCCTCCCTACATTAAACTCGATCTACCACCAACTTCCGTTCCTCCCTGTCCATTAGGCATATCTCCACTCCTTCCCACCACAAACTCCCTATAGATTCCCTGCAATCGTCTTCTCTCATCTGCACTAATACTTGGTCTTGTACCTTCCAAGCTCTTTACTAGATGCTTCCAAAGAATAGTGACTTCTTGTTGACTCTTCACTTCTTTTTGTTCTCCTTTATCCTCATTTGGATCAATACCTTTTGCTCTTAATTTCTCCCTCTTCTTTGCCTTTTTAATCTCCTCCAACTTGGCGGTGATGGCAGCTTTCTCAGCAAGCTGTTTGGAGCGGTTATTACCAGCCTTTGCTCGTGTCTCGGCTTCCGCCCGATCTTCATCTTCACCGTAGCGAAACTGTACAAAACTCCTAGGTCCACTAGATGCCTCATTTGTTTTAGCAGCGTTGCGTTTTCCACCAACTTCTATTTCTTCGTGATCACCAAGTACATCGTGGATGGCTTCAAGTTGTGCGTTGGATATCAAAGCCTGGAGATCTGCGCCGGAATAGCCCTCAGTCCTACAAGCGATCTCAAAGAGACCCCCTTCGGGGCTGTCTCGGACTTCTTCAGATAATTTCAGTTTCTTGCCTAGTGCTTTGAGAATATCAAAACGATCATCAACATTCGGAAGGTCGCATATAAGGGACTTGTCCAAACGACCTGGACGAAGCAATGCAGGGTCGATTAGATCTGGTCTTGAAGTAGCTGCAAGAACATACACTCCAGACAAACCTTCAGCACCGTCCATTTGTGTTAACAATTGATTGACAACTCGATCGGTAACACCAGTGGAGTCATGACCACGCTTGGGAGCTATGGAATCGAACTCATCAAAGAACAGTACACAAGGTCTAGCAGCTTCGGCTCGCTCAAAGAGATCACGAACAGACTTTTCAGATGCACCAATGTATTTGTTGAGAATTTCAGGTCCTTTGACACTAATGAAGTTCAGACCGCACTCTCCTGCAACTGCACTTGCAAGGAGAGTTTTACCACAACCTGGGAACCCATACAAGAGGAGTCCCGATCGTAATCGTAGTGGGCACTGTGCAAAAATTGGCGCATAAGTAGTAGGGTATTGTAATGTTTCAAGTAGGATCTTCCGGGTCTCTTGCAATCCTCCAATCGAGTCAAAGGTTGTAGTGGAAGTTTGTAAGGTGACATTTCGAAGGGACGCTGGTGTAAATCCTTTTAGAGCACTGTCAAAGTCTTCTCTACTGAGTCGAATAGAACCACTGTCAGCGTTTTTCAACGAGCTCGAGACTGTCCGAATCATTGCTTCACTCCTGGCTCGTGCGACCAGGAGGACGAGGTCTCCAGGCATGTAACCATCGGTTTCGCCAGCTAGATCTAGGAAATCAAGATCTTGATCAATGATATAACCATCGCCTTCCAGTTTGCTTGAACCTTCCATATTTGGGCCGTCCATCCAATCGCTCTCACTATCTCTTTGACTATTATTTGCTGTGCTTGGACGGCTGCTAGATACCACTGGTTTCTTGATAATCTCCGTGATCGCATTCTGCATTGCAACTTTTTCCATAACTCTCCTCCGCCCTTCTTTGTTCGGAGCTTTTAGTGCGACAATTTCTCGCACAACATGACAACCGATTATAACATTGTGGACTGACTCTTTTGCCTGGGCGGTTGCAAGTAGAACAACGCCACTATCCCATTTCAAGTATTCTCTGGCAATTGAAACCAAACCCTCACTAATTAGCCTACTTCGAGCATTATCGTTGCCTACTTCAAGCTCTGTCTCCGCAGGACACAACTTGTCAAGATCATCCAATATCACAATGGACTTTCCACCAATCCTTGCACCCCACGAGGCTCCCATAAAAATTCGATTAAATGTTTCACGTATGGTTGAGACACGTGCCTCATCCGTAACAAGTTTCCGACATGAAAAATACGTTGTATGAAACATGCGATCTTGCCGTAAGCGATGTGCTAGGAGACGCGCCACTGACGTCTTGCCGGCTCCCAATGCACCAGTGAGTAGTACCGAAGACATGTGTGAAAGATGTGATTGTAGTTGTTCTATGAGGTTATCGATACCTACAAGAACAGGAGCTTCTGCATCAATACCTTCAATCGCATTTGTTGCCAGGGCTAAGGGTCTTGGGATAGCGGCTTGAACCTCGAGACTGAATTTTCGTTCAGAACCAAGGAACCAATTGCAAGGTTGCTTTCCAGACTCCGGTTGTGCTTGTTCTAGACGAAGCATTCCACCTTCCCAGCTTGACGGGCACTCAGAACCTAATGGCTTGCCGAGTACCAAGCCGTCAGTCAATGGCCCCTCAAAAATGCCATCATTAGAGCCATTTTTACTGTACATTTTCATGATCGCTTTTGCAGCTTCTTCACGTTCGGCTTTTGATTCACCGCCAAATTTAAGACCTTCGCTCGCCTTTCCCGTAGTAGATGTATAAGGAAATATCTTGATGTACGGGATACCGGATTTAGACGATGGTTGAGAAGTTGGTTTCGAAGCTTGGGGTGGAGCGGGTTCAAGTCTTACCACACCCCCCACCATGTTTTCACACGCCATTGCGGCACAAAGTGAACTGGATAGAGCCACATGGTTACCATCTGGTGGATCATCCCATGCCATTAACCTAGCTACCACCTTCGATGCAGACTTTCCGGCTACACCGGTATTCTCGTTTTCTTGTTGTTGTCGTTGAGGGTCAACCGGTTCTTGTAAAGTGGCAGGCTTGATAACAGTGACGCAGACCCAAGTAATCCCCTTTAAAGACTTGGAAAGAAGTACATCTCCATCAACCCAAATTTTCAATCTTCCATCGTCCAAATCTTTCTCTTCCTCGAACCACTCCCCGCAAAGTGCTCTGTCGATTCCTCTGTAAAACATAGCCGGTCTCGGTTCTTCACTTCGTCCACTCTTTCGGCGTACTGTACTAGAAGCGCTCCGACCGCCAACACTCTTTCTTGATGACACACTCCTATTTTCGCCAGAAGATCGTGATGGCCTGGACCTTGTTTTTGGGGCCACAATAACCTCAGCGTCGGGTGCTAATTTCGCGAAGGCAACGTTTGAAGGCGGAGAAGGAAGGAGAGAGGTGACTATAATATTTGCTGTGGAAGTTGGCGAAAGGTGCAAAGTCAGAGGATGGGAAGATGGCTGGGGTCCATTGGGCGCGGTGAAGCTTGGATTGGGTAATGCGCGGATTTGATTTATGAAATTGAGCTCGAGGAAAGTAGCATGCAATTCTATAATTTCCCAATCTTCTGGCGTCAAAGGTTCAATATTAATAGTATGGGCGACAGGGGGATCAACATGTATGCTTGCTGTAACTTTTTGTCCATCTGATATTCCCAATGTTCGCGCAAAGGTTGCATCTATCTCCACAACCTGAACTTCTTGCTCTCTGCCAGATCCTCTACCGCCACTTATACCGTCTCTCCCTACGATAGGTGCAAGCTTGCGCTTGCTTTGCATACCTGTCCATCCCACGAAGATGGATCGTTGAATAGGAGCGCCATTCGTTTGATTTGGGCCTTGCGGCGGTGGGAGTCGGTAGTTTAATTCTACAATTACATTTTGTGCAAGCTAGCAAATGTAAGCAATTATTATTTATCGAGGAAATATTGGTTTGTAACGTACAGCATTGATGTTAACCAGTAATGAAGATAATGATGAAGGTAAGTTAACCAAGCAATTCTTTAGATGAATTAATGATATTTCTGCGGGTGTAGCTTGACTACCACGTCCTTTTAGATTTGAAGCCATAATTAAAGATATAATGTATGTAAATCCCTAAACCAAATGCGCGACCAAAAGACAGGAGGCAGGAAGTTTTTAATAGCTGGAATCCGGCAAGAATTCGACTGACCGTCACAAGTTCAAGTTCACCTCGGTATCTGAAATTGGACTGGATTACATGGGCCAGAGCTATAAGCCACAGTTCAGGAGCCACAGGGAGCTACAAGGAGCCACAGACAAAGCCACAGACACGAAAATTCGCGAGTCGTTGACAAGGGGATTGAGCTTTACTACACCAGCGCGTAAAGTTCAATTTAGAGATTTGATTTGAGGTCCAAGTTCTAAGTTCCTCAATTCAACCTCGTAAATCTTTGCGCCGCAACCCCTCCATAATAACTCCTCCATTACTGGCTTTCTGTCCTGTCTCTCTTTCCCGGTTGAAGTTTCTTTCGACTGAAGAAAATATTTGCGCAACATTTTCCACATTCTTTACAAATTCTTTAGTATTAACAAGAGGTTCTGCGCAAGATGGCGCTTCTTCAATACAAGGCTCCTGTCAACTATGAAGCTCATCAAGGTGGGAACATACTGACTATAGGAATCTGTATGTTGCTAACCTAATTTCTAGAGGCTTTTGAGGACTTTTTATCCACTTTCAAAACTTCTCCGACTACGAACATTACCCATGCTTTGGGCGGCATGAATATTGATGAGGATGATTTCAGTGACGAATACGATATGATGGATGATGAAGATGACCAGAACTTAAGGAGACAAAATAGAGCTCAAGCAAAGGTGCCCAAACTCAAATACATGGACCTGCTGCAAAAGGTCGCAGATAGATACGAGGATGAAATCACAATTGAGCTTGATGATCTAGCCAAAGTACATTGACCGTTTCTCCACCTCCGTAATATACTAACAATTGCAGTATGATGATTTATTGGATGAAGCTGGAACTCCTCTGAATCTAGTCAATTCGATCGAAACTAATGCGAAGCATTATTTGGATATCTTGTCTAGGGCGGTTGATGCAGTGATGCCACAACCCACAAGAGAAATCAAGTAAGGTGAGATTCAATCCTGCAGTGGTTTATCTGCTAATTGAATTTTAGTTACAAGGATGATGTACTTGATGTTCTCATGTCACAGCGAACAGCTCGAAACAATGCTTTACGCCGTGCTGCTGCCGAGCAAAGCGATATAACTGTTGAGCCAGAACTTTTTCCCGCCGAACTTACAAGAAGATATACCCTGAATTTCAAGCCATTGACCGCTTCTGGAGATATTTCAAAAAAGGCTTTGGCAGTGCGACAAGTACGTGGTGAACATCTTGGTTGTCTTATTACAGTTAGAGGTATTACTACAAGAGTTTCGGATGTCAAACCAACTGTGGAAGTCAACGCATATACTTGTGATAGATGCGGTTGTGAGATATTTCAGCCCGTTGGATCCAAGACCTTTGGACCATTAGTTGAATGCCCTTCCCCTGATTGTACTACCAACCAAACTAAAGGACAACTCCATCATTCCACCCGAGCCTCAAAATTCCAGCCATTTCAAGAGATTAAAATTCAGGAAATGGCTGAACAAGTCCCAGTTGGTCATATTCCTCGAATGCTAACTGTTCTTTGCCATGGAGCTCTAGTGCGACGTATAAATCCTGGAGACGTTGTTGATATCGCAGGAATTTTCCTACCTACTCCATATACTGGTTTCAAAGCTATCAGAGCTGGTCTTCTCACCGATACGTATCTTGAGGCACAACACGTCACTCAACACAAAAAGGCTTACGAAGATTTAACGATCGATAGCCGAGTATTCAAGCGAATTGAGCAATACAGAGCCTCTGGTCACGTTTACGAATACCTTGCAAAATCTATCGCGCCTGAAATTTACGGACACTTGGATGTAAAGAAGGCATTACTTTTGTTATTGGTCGGTGGAGTTACTAAAACTATGGGTGATGGAATGCGAATTAGAGGTGATATCAATATCTGTTTGATGGGTGACCCGGGAGTGGCCAAATCTCAACTACTCAAGTACATCACTAAAGTGGCACCAAGAGGAGTTTACACCACCGGTCGAGGAAGCAGTGGTGTCGGTCTTACTGCTGCTGTAATGAAGGATCCAGTAACTGATGAAATGATTTTGGAAGGTGGTGCATTGGTACTTGCTGATAATGGTATCTGCTGTATTGATGAATTTGACAAGATGGATGACACCGATCGAACAGCAATCCACGAAGTTATGGAACAACAAACAATTTCTATTTCCAAGGCTGGAATTTCCACGACACTGAATGCTAGAACTTCCATTTTAGCAGCAGCTAATCCTCTGTATGGCCGATACAATCCCAGGATATCTCCGGTCGAGAACATCAACCTTCCAGCAGCTTTACTTTCTCGTTTTGATGTACTATTTCTCATACTTGATACTCCTACCAGAGATAATGATGCCCTCCTTGCTCGCCACGTCACTTACGTTCACATGAACAACAAACATCCTGATACTGACGGTGTTGTTTTCTCGCCACAAGAAGTCCGTCAATACGTTGCTCAAGCTAGATCCTATCGTCCAACCGTCCCAACGAGCGTCTCTGAGTATATGGTAAAAGCTTACGTCAGAATGCGCGACCAACAATCTCGTGACGAGAAAAACAAGAAACAATTTGCTCATACATCTCCTCGTACCCTTCTTGGTGTCCTCCGTCTATCACAAGCTCTTGCTCGATTACGTTTCAGTGAAGAAGTCGTTCAGGATGATGTTGATGAAGCGCTTAGACTTGTCGAGGCATCGAAGGAGAGCTTGTATGCTGATCAAGATGGATATAGAAAGGATTCAAGTCCAAGTAGTAGAATTTACAACATGGTTAGAGCTTTGGCTGAAGCTGGTCAATGCCGACCGGAAGAGGCGGATGATGAAGATGACGAAGAGACTTTGGGAATGGAGTTGAGTATGAAGAAGGTCAAGGAGAGAGTTATTGCCAAGGGATTCACGGAGGATCAATGGAGAAATGCTGTATTGGAATACACTGATCTTGATGTAAGTTCTGGCTTTCTATATATTTATTTTGCTGAACTTTTACTGACTATTGTTAGATTTGGCAAACTGCTGGTAACGGAACGAGATTATTATTCGTCATGTCAGAGGCAGCACACATGGCGAGAGATGAAGAATATGAAATGGAGTAATTTTATCAAATGAGATGAGACAAGATCTAAATATGTGCATGCATGTAGTCGAGGCGTTTATTGGGTTAGGGATATTGATATGGCGTTTATTTTATGTGCTGTATGAGATACCGCTATAAGAGGGCATTAGTTGACTACCTAGATAGCTGTTAAAAATCCACCAAATGTATCCAATGGTCTGGACAGTAATCCGATCACAATTTATGAATTTTTGAATTTTTGAAATCACGGTTGATCATTCTGATGGAAATATTACATGGAATGAATTGATTACGAGGTAGGTAGTTGCAGATATTCTCAATAATTACCTATTCAAAAATCTTTCATTGCTACTCTACAGTCTAGACTATCAAATATCCATCTACCTAATCTTACATCTTCCCGCTTACTGACTCTCATCTAGTATTTTTGCTTTACTAATGAATCGAATCAATCCTATAAGTATCCTATAGTGTGGAAACAAGCAGAAAGGATTTTTCTCCTTGCTTGCTTGCTTGTTTGCTGTATTATTATTACTTAAAAACATAATGGAGAATGGAGAATGGAGAAACAAGGAATATTCTTATGGAATTTATGGTTATAGGTATAGGTATAGGTATTTAGTAGTCACATCAGGTTATCCAGAAAAAGAATAAGCTAGAGATAACTCGGAGTAAAATGAGATCTTAATCTTATAATCCTTTGCTTTTTATTCTGGTACAGCTGAGGAATAGATTTTATGTCATGATTACTTATCCGCTATGGTGGTGGGATAGATGGGGATATTTTGAATATGGGATGTTTTTATTTGTTGGATATAGCTAGTTTTTAGAGAAGCTTTTGAAGTAATTTCTTATAACCTCATCCTTCACATCATCGCAGTCCTTACTCAACAATTCTATTTGAAAGACGCAACTTGTTTGACAGGTTCGCCTCGTTCGAGGAATCCAATTCATTTGAGAGATTCACTTTGTTTGGAGGATTCGTCTCATTTGAAAGGTTGAATTTATTTAGAAAGATTAAAACTATTGGGATATTGAAAGTTATCACAAACACCAAGCCACGATTTGTGTAAGAGAAAGCTCCCAAAATTTACTCAATCTAGACTCCTCTTCATGTTTTGTATAAACTCGGTTAATCCCGAGTGGGATACTAGGTGGGAGAGGCAGCCAACGGAGTTTCATTTCCTTCGGGCGGACTCTGGGCCGGCTCCTCCTCTTACTCGTTGGAGGGAGCTTGGGTGGCGAGTGCATTGGCACACTCAATCTCCAGTTCCTCAGCCCAGATCAGAGCCTCGTCTTCCTGAGCAGTAAGGGTGTTGGCGGCGAATTGCGGAGGTATTCATCATTTGCCATAATAGGCAGATTGAAGCATGGTGTCCACCAAAGTAAACTACTTTGTATGCTCTTGAAGACAAAATCGATGTGATGCATCGAAGTGACCTTCCTAGCATTGTATTTGGGAACGTTCACAAAGAAGTCTCATTTCAGGAGTCTTATTGTATTGGGTTTCTTGAGACCAGAAAGAGCATCAGATTGAATTGATTGATTCTCTAGCTAAGCAGTTAAGCTGCGAGTATATATTCAAAAAATGAAGGAATCAGGTTAGGTATTCAGCCTTCGGAATTAAAGTGCTTTGAAATCAAAATATTGAAAGCAAACAAACAGTATACCAAAAAGGAAAGAATGAATTAAAATTTGAGTTTTGTTTGCTCCTTATATGCATCATGCAATATATATGCATATGCTGCCAAGATCCCAGGAGGTCAACATATTGCCTTAAGAACTAATGGCACTAATCGTTTATCCTCAAGCCCATCGTTGACCATCTCTGTTGTAGCGCGGTGCAGGACTCTTGGGCGGATAGTCGGGCAGCTATTGCTGCTGGAGAAGCTACTACAGAGAGACTGTCTAAAAAATAGAAAGTTAATACTATAATTCATACGGAAGGAAGTGTATTACCATCTGGGCGGATTTGGCCGGATCTGAGCTTGCACAAAAGCATGAATGCCACACCCCGAATCGAAAACGAGAAAGACTGGGCGGAAGTGTGTCGGCCTAACGGTTGACGGCCTTCGGAAACCAGATTAAACGAAGAAAATGAAGATACAATATGAATTTTACCTGGGCATCAGGCGGATCTGTGGCTAGCGTTGCCATGATTCCAGCACTTGAATGCTATATGATATAAGTATATAAATCATATTGTTTGATGATTCTAATTTATATCTGCGGAGATTTCTATATAAAGTTAATATTAAGATCAATAAAAGTAAATGGAAAGCGAATCAAAGGATTATAAGAAAGATGATAGCAGAAGGAAAAAAAGAGCAGAGTATTGAACGGTAATTACAGAGGGGAAATAGAATGAGATCAGAAATCAGGAAAGGAATCATATAACTAACCTACAATAGGGAAAAAATTGTTGTTGCTTTTGTAGCTTGTATTTGCTGGCTGGACAGATCGAACCTTTGAGGTAATTGTCAGTATGAGGCTATGGGCAAACATGCTGATGTGCGATTGAGAAACATACGATTTGAGCGACAGTAAAGCCCTAAAATCTTTTGAGGAAGAGGAAAACGTTTGTGGTAGTTGATGTTGTTGAAGAAGGAGAAGTTGTTGTTATTGTTGTTGGTGAAATAATGGGAAGTGAAAAAGGAGAACTAAGAAAGAAGTAAGAGAAAATACTTGAGTCTACTAGGCAGCCAATTGTTTACATTACTTACAGCGAAGTTGGAGAGAGCGACGAGATCAAAAATTGAGAGAGTTTCACGTGATAGCCTCGTACATATGCTATTTTTCAACTAAAGCCTCGACGCTGAGATGTAGTATTTGGTAAGAAAAAGCAACGCGGATGAAAGGGATCCGAGGGATTCAAGGGATTCGATCCATCATCCTCTAGGACAGAAATTCAGATTACTAGTAATCTGTGGTCGGATGATGGCTGAGACTCTAACGTGCACGCGATGGATGAATTCAATCGCACGACAAAGTGATATATACCTACTAGGTAGGCCTAATATGACCATTCAGTATTACAACTCAGGTTTGAAAATCAGATGATCTCTGCTGAGATTTGGTGGCTAAAGTCCGAAGAGTATGTTTGGGTGTGCGATTTGTTCGTCCATCGGGTGACTCTTTTGGTACAAGTCCGCGATCAGGCTAAGAAGATATCCATGATGTCCATCTTCATATGCTACATGAAGATTATTCTGAATTTGAAAAAGTAGTAGCTGCAAAGTGCTTACTGGTGCGTGGATATACGGCCTATGCTGCTATGCATCTTAAGATGAAATTAATATTGCCTTCGAAGACTAGAATATAATCCGGGAGAACTCTTGGACTCATGTATTTATTGAACTGTGAACCTCCTACTTCAGCACTTTATATCAAATACATTCAAAGAGTTTAGGATCCTGACTTTGTGTGATACATTCGATCTACTTGAATATTAGACTATACTCGGAAATTTACCCCTTTGTGAACCTTGGAGGCTGGTAACTCTAGATTGTTATTTAGACCATATAAGTCATGCGTCATAGAAATTTAATCTACGAGCATCTTAAAGTTTCAGACGGACTTGATGATATAGTAGTAACTCATCAGGACAAGTCTGCGTATGAAAGTGCTTCACCTCCATGAGACTTGTGCAATACAGCTCGATGAGAGATAAATCGATGTTTGAAAAGCTTGCCTGTGAGGTTGAAAGTCTTTGGCTATCCTTGATCCCATTACTCTTTCGATAAATTATATTTGCCATGATATGTAATGATCTAAAATAAGACTACTTGAGCCTTTGGTTGAGACATAGATACAACGCTTAGCCTTGGAGCGAGTGCATGGAGAAATCATCAGAATATTCAAGAATAATAAATGTATGAAAGTAAATGGGATATGATATGCTTGTGAGAAAGTGTTTCCTGAGCAAAGACTTATTATTCACAGTTGGGCTTTCTCAGGTGTAGAGCTGTCTATAATGTTTTTGATTGAACATTGGTGGTTGGCCCTTTTACTACAACCCTCCATCCCCAGCCAATTCGAGGTTAGGCTGGGGAACTCGTTCATAGCATTCTCAAGCCTTGATCCGAAAATGCTTCTGGAAGGGAAGTATGGGAAAGAAAGGAAAGAGTGAGTGAGTGAATGATAGTGGAGATGTCGGAAGCGAGACGAATGACCAATTTTGGAGCAAAAACACAAAACTTTAACGAGTAGAAATGGTTCACCATACCACTACAACAAAGCTAAAAGGACGCTTTACTATTCAAGGCCAAGTTTGCCGTATTTGCACCAACCGGCCCTTTTCTAGCTAGCACGTTCCGCGTCTCATTGTCTATATAAGAAACCGATTTCTCCATCCGCTTCTCTTCTTTTCCTTTTTTCCTCATACTTACCTTCTAGAAGCATTTTCGGATCAAGAATCGAGAATGCTATGATACGAGTCCTCCATTGCACATCGGGGAGACAAGAATCATTGGGTATCCTCCGGGGTCCCCATCTGGGGAATTTTTGATTGCTTCCTTCCGGATATCTTTTTTTCATTGTGATTGCGGTCTTGTACTGTATCATGAAGAAGAATCATACTTTCGACTTCAACCTGCTTGGGAAAATGTGAAATGGTGATCCTTGATGATATTAGGTTGACGGCGATATGAGATGGAGATCAAGCAATAAGGTAGCAGGACTGGATTTTGAATAGATCGTTATGGGAAAGACATGGTAGACACTCGGGAGATTGTATATTGCACTTTGTGGTGATTTTATCTCGGAGTATGAACAAGCAGTAGACCTCGTATTGGTATCTCTTTTCAAATAATTACCGGAATACCTTCATATTTAGATGTTATCTTACAATCGATCTGGATATCCCAGAAAATTCTAAAACACCTGTTCTGCGTTATCCACAGACAATTTACATGTCTAGGGTGATGGTGTTTTGGTCGCAGAACCATGCCATGCCACATCAATGCAACAGAAGGGAAGATGTTTAACATCAACTTTTTCTATAGAATAAACTAAACAACATTATATCCATCCTCAAGGTAGAATAATCAAAATTTAAACTTCATCAAAATCTTCTTTTCTCCATACAAAAGCGAAACCTTGTCGCAGATCATCAATTTAATCTCTCCTTGCTGCTCTACGCCGAGGTACTCCGTAAACATTCACATGTTGATTAAGGAGCTTCGTGAGCTTCAAAGAATCCCTACAACAATCCGCCGAACAACACCACTCATGCGACGACCATAATCAAGACCATGGATCCAGCACCCAGTGGTGCTCATGAAGCTCCCAAACAGCCTCGCGATCGAATTTCAGCCAAATCAACTGCCGATCCTATCCTCCGAAACGCCCTTCGGTATACTATTTCCGCGAAAGAATATGAAACACTACATAAATATATAATATCACGGTCGAAAGTTCTAAAGAGAAATGCACCCACAGTTACAAAGGTAGAGAAATTGGTAGAAAGACCCGGTCGCGATGATTATAATGCTGCGGCTGTGAGGGGTAGTTTGAGGTTATTCCTTGCTACAAATGCAGGATTGAAGATATGGAGTTTATTTACAGAAAAGTTCATGGGAGCTGGGAAAGCTGGGTATGTTTTTTCTATTCGTATTCTTGAAGGGAGAAGATGAGTTGAGTCAAAGCTAAACGATATTATAGAGGAAAGAAGATCTCATTATGGAAGTCACCAAACTTCCGCCTCTCGCTTTCCCTTTCCAGTATCCTCCTTTTCCATAGAATCCTTTTCCGATTCTTCACTCGACTTCGCGCACATCTTCTTACACCCGATGCTCAACCTTTCAGACAACGAAATCCGAAAACGAGTAAAACTCTCACATCGAGTTTGGCACCAGCAGTTGGAGCAAGTTTGGCCGGGTTTATGTTGGCAGTTTATCCAAGTGATCAGCTGAGACTTACAATTGCGATATATGCTTTGAGTAGAGCAGCAGAAATATCATATAATTTGGCAGAAGACGAGGGATGGATTTGGGGAAAAGAGGGTAGTAGATGGGAGAGACCTTGGTGGTGGGGAAGTTGGTTACTTTTTCCATTGACTTGTGGACAATTGCTTCATGCTTTTGTTTTTGATAGGGATTGCTTTCCACAGGTATGGATTTCAGTTAGTTGTGCAGGGAATGATGCTAATTATGTGAAGCAATATGGAGATTTCATTCTCAAACACTCTCCTCAGTACATGCAACCACGACCGGCAGATCGCCCTGCCAAATTACCATGGCCAAGTACTTACGACATCGTTGACAATCTTGCCGAGATGGCACGTCTAAACTACCCGTAAGTTATTATCCATTCACAATTTCACACGCAGCCAGCTAACTTCCATTCCAGGCCATTCGTATCTCCCATCCTCTTTCCCAACAGCCCTACTCTTCCCCAATCCCTCAGCGCCATTTCCCCCATAACCTCTCCAGCCCATCCATTAATAACGTCACTCACATGCGCTACTCTCCACCCTTCCGACCCTTCCTGTCTCCGCACATACCTTACCTACTGGATTCAAGTCTTCCCCCGTCTCGCCCGAGTCTTCACTATAATCCTCTCCCTCTTCTCTCTCCCCTCCTACCGTAAATTCTACAATTCCCCCATTTCCTCCCTCAACGCCCTCGCTATCCGTATCCTTAAATCTACCCTCTACATCTCTGGCGCCATCGGTACCAGCTGGGCTAGTATCTGCGCTTTCCAATCAGTTCTCCCAAGAGACGTTCTACCCACTCAAAGATTCTTCCTAGGTGGTGCATTAGGTGGTCTTTGGGGATTTGTCGTTAGAAAAGATGCAAGAAGCGAATTCCTATACAGTGCAAGAGCATCAATGGATTCACTCTGGAAAGTTGGCAAAAAAAGAGGCTGGTGGAAGGGAATTAAAGGTGGTGATGTAGGAATTTTTGTTATTAGTTTGATGGCTATTGAGATGGCCTATGAAAGGGATGGAAGATCATTGAGAAGTGGAGCGTTGAGGAAGCTAGTCAGTGGAATGAGAGGAGAGGGATGGAGAGATTATGTAGGTGAGGAGGAGAAGAGACTCCTAGAGGAGAAGGAGTTGTAGTAGAGATTTAGGCGTGATACAAGGAGGATATTGATGAGTGTGAATTTTTGCATTTTACAAGTCAAGATCTTACTTGCTAGATCATCAGCACAGTGAGGATAACCTCACCTCGCATTCCTCATGTTTATGTTTCTGAAAGAGAACTGCTTGTTATATATCAAGGCCAGTTGCCTAAAGAGTCGTTTTCTATTATTACCTAGGTAGTCAATCTTACAACATTTTTTTTAATTGAATGTTTTCTCTAAAGATATAATACTCTCCTTTCATATATGACCCCGAGATCCCCAAATATATTAATCACCAACATAAATGTTCACAGCAGCGCTATTGGTATATCTATTCTATAAGTAAAGTAAATGTTCACATTCGACTTCAAGTCATATAAGGTTAATGTAAATACTGTACTGTACTGTATATAGTAGCCTCGATAATATAAGTCCTAAGAATTAATATTGTAAATAGCAAACTGTATCTTTCATCTTACAGTCTTCCATCCACAATCAAAAACCCCCCAACTAGCTACTAGGTAAGGTTATTTAATCTAACCTACCTACTTATGGAGTACTAGGTAGTCTATCTATCTATCTATCTATCTATAGGTAGATAGGTATTGGATATATTTTCGAAATTAGTAGACTGGATTTTATAGAAATGAGAATATGTACTGTATGTATGTATGCAGGTGGGTGGATACATATAATTATACTTTAGTTTGCCCCCAGATCCGAGGTTATGTTGCTACCACTCACTCACTACGTAGTATCTTATGATCTGCACTGGTGCAGGTTCTCCTCGATTCCTTCATCCTCCTCGGTCACTATACTAATCTTACTGTCGTCGCCATCACGAGTTTGTATGTATTTATTTCGCTAAGATCTGATTTATTTTTTAGCAATAATTCAAATTCTGATTAGTTTCTCTTTCGTACCTTCTAAAGTTTGATTAATTTCAGTTACGCATAAGCAAGTATATGTACAGCACAGAAGTCCACAAGGGGAGGAATCAATTAAATAAACTATGCTAGGGTGCTCCAACCATATCATGAAATTCTCCTTCATTTCCATTCTCATAAACACCCTGTTTACCTTTCATAGGTGTACCCACCACTTGATCCCCCTCAACTGTAACCTCTTTATCCCGGAATTGTCGCATAAGTTGAAGAAACTGACTGTTCTGAAACTTATCGCTTTGATTATCACTAACACTCGATAGGAGTTCACCTGCTGTGCGTGATAGGGCGTCTGTCGCATGTGTGTTCTCTTCGATTGTTGCGACTGCGGGATCCTGAATGGTGTCTGCGCCGACCGGAGCTTGATTGAGAAGATCGTTTTCCGCTCTGTCGAGGTCAAACTCTGCTTTTTGATCGGCATTTGCTTGTTCCGAAACTATCGCGGCCTCCTGTTGAGCTCTGGTTATTTCCAATTCTTGCTCCTGTTCTCGCGCTCTCTCCATCTCCGCATTAGCTGCTTCGTCAAAAGCTCTAGCAAATGCCGCATCATCAAAAGCTTCATTGTTTTCCACCGATGATTGTCTTGTGGATATAAGTTGATTTTGTTGCATAAGAACTCTCGGCATTGGATTGTATCCATGATTCATCATAGAAGGACCATTCAGACCATTCATTGACATAACAGGTTGTTTCCCTTGCGCGATTGATCCCGAACCTCCATAACTTTGCGCAAACTCCTGATGCCATCCACCGCCCATTTGCGATTGATTCGTTTGATGTAATTCTTGTTGTTGAAATTGCGCCTGAGGACCGGATATGCTCATATTTTGAAAATCGGTAGCCCATCCTTGACCTGCGGCGAATTGTGATGGTGCATTTTGAAAGGATTGAGGAGACGGAGTTTGAAAGTGTCGAGGAGAAAAGTTTTGGATCGATGGAGAAGGACTAAATGTTTGGTGACCAGCTTGAAAAGCTGCGAATTCAGCATCTAGCTGACCTGCATTTGGACCTAAAGAATTTCGGAACCCCTGTTAGTGTTGTTAGTAAATGTGATAGGTGACATTGTTATGCGATTAGAATTATGGGAATATTGTATGACATACTTGCGAAGGCGATGCTCGCCCAACTAATCGATCTTGTTGTAAGGTGCGGTCAACATTCGAATGCTTTTGGAAATTCTGCAAAGCATTGGATGGACCACAAAGGTTGTCTGCCATTGTTTGAAGTTATTCAAAAGATTGTGTTGCTTTGATGATTTAATTGTAATCAAAGATTACAAAATCCAATATGACGATTCGGGAATGTGAGGGTAATTGTCGAACCGAGGCCCATGAAATGAATCTGTGAAAGTGCAAAAGGGATAAGAAGAATAAATCTATTAGAGAATTAATTATCAAATGACTACGGGGTATATAGAGGATGTAGAGTATATAGAGAAGAGTCTATCTCATTAATCAATGATCCAAAAAGAAATAATGAGATGAGAAAGAAAGGAGAGAAAGTATGAGAGAAGAGAAGATTCAAAGATGTCATAGATAAAGGCTAGGGACTAGTATATGAACTTGGGATTTTGCCTCTCGCGGCACTCTAAATGGTAAGCGGTAAGGATAACGATTACCTTATCACAAACTCACATGCTTTCAATGTGATCGGTAAAACGTTTCACCGATGCACACTAAAGCGGTAAGTGCCGCTTAGATACGATCTGGCAGCATCAGTCAGTCGGGAGCTTCGAGAATCTGGGAGGTTTTTTGAAATACATAGTAGCATACAATCATTTAATACTTTTTCAAATTGAGTCAATATGGCGCAAGTAATAACCAATGCAGGCCATGATGATATGATTGTGAGTATCATAAGTCCTCTCTTCTATATACCGCAGGAACCTTCATGCAATATACATGAAGCGCTCACTCTAATGTCAATAAACTAATTGGTTGCTATATAGCATGATGCAGCTTTAGATTATTATGGTCGCAGACTCGCAACATGTTCATCGGATCGCACCGTTAAGATTTTTGAAATCGAAGGAGAAACACATCGCCTTACAGAAACACTGAAAGGGTATGTTGTTCTTGTGAATTCCTTCAAACACTTCAAATACACGGGCCTGCAACCTTGCGCCCAACACATTACACATACTCATCTTTCACCTCATATCTCACCGTTTTTTATTACGATCTATCTCCCGAATGTTCTAGCTAACACTTCAAATCCATAGTCATGAAGGGGCCATCTGGTCCATCTCCTGGGCCCATCCAAAATACGGCAACATCCTCGCCTCCGCAGGCTACGACGGAAAAGTCCTCATCTATCGCGAAACCTCCTCAGTCTGGACAAAAATTTACGATTTTGCCCTTCACACCGCTTCCGTTAATTCTCTCTCCTGGTGTCCTCACGAATCTGGATGTCTTCTCGCATGCGCTTCCTCAGATGGAAACGTATCGGTCTTAGAATTCAAAGATAATTCTATGGATCACAAGATTTTCCATGCACATGGTATTGGTGTGAACAGTGTTTCTTGGGCACCATCTTCGCAGCCAGGTAGCTTGGTGAGCGCCAATGCGGGTGGAAAGGAGGGGGGAGTTAGGAGATTTGTCACTGGAGGGAGTGATAATCTTTTGAGGATATGGGGATGGGATCAGGCTAGTTTGAGTTATAAAGTTGAGGGTGCTCCATTACAAGGGCACGGGGACTGGGTTAGAGATGTTGCGTGGAGTCCTACGGTTTTGCAGAAGAGTATGTTCGCCCTATATCGATTCTCGTCTTTCAATAACTTTTCCCTTTCTCTCAAAATTTATTTCACACAACTAACACCCAAAAGGTTACATAGCATCCGCCTCCCAAGACAAAACCGTCAGAATCTGGACCTCATCCGCAGCCAATCCAGGCCAATGGGAATCCAAAGTCCTACAATTCGAACGCGAAGTCTGGCGCGTGTCGTGGAGTTTAAGCGGGAATGTATTAGCAGTCAGCGGGGGAGATAATAAAGTTTCTCTATGGAAGGAGAACCTAAGGGGCGAGTGGGAATGCGTCAAGGAAATCGAGGAATAGACGCGCGAGAAGCGACAAGAGGCAATACAAGCGGAGATGCGATGAGAGTTTTGACCGAGGGTAGAAGAGAGGCGTTTCGGGACAGGCAGGCAGGCAGGCAAACAAACATAACATAACATAACATAACATACATCATACGTATTGGCAGCCAGCTGGTATGTGTGAAATGAAAAAATCAAAAAGAAAGCAAGAAAGAACGAAACATAAAGACCTCATGATCCTATCCCTTTGTGACTTATAAATGTTTGTTGTGTATGAACCCGTTGCTCCCCCACTGATTTCTTGTCGTTAGCGATTTACCCATTCAAGGACTGTTCCATGGAATTCATTTTACATTCTTCTTTTTGAAAAATACCCTCAGCAATAAGTAAGCATCAAATTATCATTTACATTAGCATAAGGAGCTACTTAGATATACATCTATATCTACATACCTAGCTAGTATACATCTTCACATGCGCACAGCACAGCACAGCATTAGGCGAGCAGGATAATTTTACTAATTCTCATTTCCATTCTATCAATCATCTCGTTCCCTATATTGATTTTGGAGTGACGTGATACGCACTTCAATCTACTTCAGCTCAAGCTCAAGCTCAAGATTTCCGAGAAAAGGGAAAAAAAAAAAAAAAACAAAATGCGAAACCATTGAACCAAGGAGATTCCATCAATTGCCCAACGCATGCAATACTTTCCGATCCTGATCTAGCATTCTACTGGAGCTCAAATTCTGCTCTCCTACCACCACCAGAAAGTGCACATGCAGACGCGAACGCGAACGCGGATGTAAGTGCAGTTTCATAGATTCAAAGATTACCACCCTGATCCAACGCCAAATTGGGGGTATATCCATGACCAGATCCATTTATATCCATCTATAACCCCAATCCTCAAATAAAACTCATCCTGCATACTCGCCCACTCCTTCCTGCGAGAGAAAACATCAATAGGAAACGAATAAGGGAAGAAATTGCGCAAAAAATATGTCTGAGAGGAGACTCTCGAAGTATGTCAAAGAATGTATGTGAAAAGAATGCTGAAAGTTGGTAAATATGTCCAAAGTCGAATTGAAAAAAAATTGTGGTAAACGATGCACGAGATTCGTTGTAAATTAAAAAAGGTATTCCATAATGTATGTTGAAAAGTGCTTTTCGTACTGTTGGTCCAAAATGATACTGTAAGTTGAAATGAAATGAAATTGAAATTGTTGTAATGCCGAGAATAGTTCATGTCCGAGATGAAAGCCGTCTGATGGGCGTCGGGTATGTATTTGAACGATATGCTTAATGCTGATGTTAATGCTAATGTTTTAAGGAAGGTATTATAATCTTGATACATTTTTTCTGTATGTACCGTTGAGCTGATTGTCGTAGATTGAGGAACTGAATCTCCAGTTTATGATGCTAACATTGGGTCGTTTCTTCGAATCCTTGTAGGTCATGCTTGGGAGAGCAAAAGCTAACAATGACCATTAAACTTCATGAGACGGAAGAATTCCAGCGCTTCTTTGCCATCAATAGGCTCGTGCGCATCACTTTCATCCACATTCCAGAAAATGAATGGCCCTGACATAACGTCCCTATGAGCAATAGCTAATGCATCAAACCATCGACCAATAATGATGCGACCGCCAGGCAAAACACAACCTTCGTAGCCCCAAGTCTGACCTCGATCGTAGTCTCCATTCTTATCAGGGAAAAACTTCATGATGATGATTCTCTGGAAGCCAGGGATCCCATGCTGTAGAGGAATTGCATGTACAGCTCCATATAGATGGGCAGTCGAGACAGAGTCACGCGAAGAACCATAAAAGTATTTTACACCAGGGTTGGGGTTCACTTTGGGCTTTTTGTGGTCCTTTCCTGATCGGCTCGATCGAGTGCTGCGTCTCGACCCATGGCGATGAGTGGGCTCAGGAACGGCATTAGAAAATGGGTCACTTTGAAGAATATTTTCCCACGATCTGGGCCAATTTCGCTCGCTGAACTTTTGGTTGTCAAACAATAACGAGATATCCTGTAAGACCTCGGTTAGTCATCCTGCATCACTGACATCTCAAAGTGAGCTTACCTGAAAAGATTCCCCACCATCTAGTTCGTCCGAGTAGGGGCCGTCATCTGTGTCTTCTTCAGCCTGTCTTATTCTTGCCAATTCATCGCCGTCCATATAAACTAATGTCGGATTAGCCTTTCAAGTCCTCAACACGAAAAATTGTCTTCGGCACTCACAATAGGCTCCTTTCCAACGATTTCCCAGCTCTTGAGTACCTGATTTCAATCGACCCAACCATGGCTGTGGCAATTGGCTTTGGTGCAGATCGGCATAGGCATGAGCAAGAAGCCCTTCACCTTTTCCAGCCTTGAGGTGGAACTTGAAGAAGTTCGCTACATGCAAGCACCAACGGACGTTGAGATCGCCTTTCCATCTCCCAAGGAATAGGGGTTGCCTTGTTGGTGCAGCATAAACCTCCGCTTGAGATAAGTCGAAATGAGATATTGTGTTTGTGCAGTATCTTGGATCCCAAGATATTGACGTCAAGCATAATTGAATCAATAACACCCGGGTATTAGCATCAGCATTGCCATCGACAGAGCAAATGGCTTTTAAACCCCAGTTGTTCTTGGTCTTCGCAATTGAATCAATGATATCAATTATGTCTCCAGTATGAGGTATGCCAGATACGAAGGAAACGTAATTTCGAATGTAGTCGAGATTGCGACCCACAATCACTTTGTCGCCATTACCATCATAGCCTCTGCAAGCATCGGATTCTGTGTCCTCCAATTAGTATGCACACTCTACCAATGGACTTGCCAGGATACATACCGATGATAAGATTCTGAAGCATATCGAGGACTTTTTCTTGCGCTTGTTCTATCTGTTTGATAACTGAATTGCCCAGGTACCTGTACTCATTCAAGTCGAACTTGGTGTAAAGTCTTGTGGTGGCGGATCTGAACTTGTACTTTTGTGTCAAAAGCGGTAAAGACAAATTTGGTACAGCATCAAATTTCTCTAGGAATCGATAACGCCAGACACTGTCAGAGATGGCACTGTAAGTCTTCTTACAGACTCGTGAATATCGAGTGATATCTGCATCGGAGGGTAGAAACATAGCGATAGCCTGGTGGACCTGCATTTGAGTGGTTAGTGAATAAAGTCAACAGAGAAACACGGCAGGTCACACGATCGAGAATCTACAATACACCTCGAAGAGCATGGGGATAATGGACGTCGTCGGCGATAACACATTGGATTTTAGCATTCAAACGAATGAATTCCATAGGTCTTCACCGGTGCTATGGCGTATTTGGTCGAAGATCTTGACAGAAAAGATTCAAGCGTAGAAGCGTACCTCAGTTGGAACTTTCTTAATCAACTCATCCAGCTTGACACTTCGAGCAACGACTTCCGCTGTCAATGCAGGAGGTCGCGAATCAACTATAATAACTGAGCCTGTATCGGAATCATCGCCGTCGTCGTCGTCTCTTCCATCAGTAGTAAAACTACTGTTGGCTGCATCGATCTGAGAATCTTCGTCGTCATCGTCACTATCCGAGATCTCTATATAATTCTTGGCTCGCTTGGTTTGAGGAACTTGGAAAGATTCATCTGTCTTTCTCTTGGATAAGGTATATGGAAGTTTCGTCTGAATCGCCTGACGAGAGGCAATCTTTTTCCTCTTGGTAGGCATGGTGAAGTTCGCAAGCGATGATGATGAATGGGTTGGATCGGAAAGAGGAATTGCGAGTGCAAGTGCAAGAGCTTCAATTGACTATCTTGGGAGAATTATAAGACACCGCAATAGTGTTGAAGGATAGGAAACGTGCTTGGTGGTGAAGTGATAGGTGTGATAGGTATGATAGCTGGATGAGAATTAAAAGTGATGGGATTTTGGGGAAAAAATAAATAGTGCCGTCCACTTAGGTAGGTAGTTGGTGAATCCAGGCCAGCTAATTTAGGGCTAAAGATCGTAAGTTCGCAAGCAACATATCAATACCTACCTAGGCATATATGAGAGATCAAATCGATAATGACAAAGATCTATGTGATTTTTGTGATGCTACCAACATATCCTTAGAATAAAAGATCTACTTTGAGGTTTGAGATATTGGGGAGGGGCATGGTGGTGGAGGTGGTGAAAAAGACAGCCTTACCCCTCAATGTCGAGCCTCGCATAAGATTGGAAAGATTACACTCACCTGCAGGAGCCACACGTGCATCACGACTTTCGATTGGTCGAAGGCAGGGGACGCAAACAAATGACCGACGGGGCTCACCAAACAGAATTTCGAGTGGTAAGAGATTTGAATTTATTGAGGATAGAAACAATAGGAAGAGAGGGTAATTTTCGAAATCTAGACGATGCTTTGCTGTAGGCAAGACTTGAGATTGCATCGAATTTTTATGACCGTCGTTGAGTTGTTGGAGTGAATTGTGTAGTGGCTTAGAGAGGTGGTAAGGTTACATGGTGATCCCATATCTTCAACCTTCAAACGATGATCATAGCCTGAACATTGAAAGTCAAGGCCATACAGGTAGGAAAATAGCAGAGGTTGTTAGAATGGTTGTTCGCCTTTGGTTTCAGCCTTTTGGAATTGATAGTAGATCACGGTAGCATTGGTGAAGTCGTTGTTGATGTGCACCGTTTCATATACGCTTATAATTACGAGACAAAAGAATGAAGAGGGACATCAAGATCAAAGAGAAAGAAAATTTGGATTCGTTTGCTTTTCCTCAAGGTCTTCTTCATACCATCTTCTATGCAATAAAGATTTCCTGCACCCTCTATATAATATACTAGTAGGGAGTAGTAATCTTTTCTGGAGGATTACCCATAACCTTACCTAACTTGAATCGATGTTTGTTTTTTGTGATGGCTAAAAAGTAAATATATAATAGTCTACTGCCAGCTAGGTAAGATTACCTACAACAAGATGCTACTAATAAATAGGTACTTTTAGCACATCCCGGTGAGTAGGCTCTTTATCATGATTCTTTGGATGGCAAGCTTGAGACAAGACAAGTCAATTCATATCTTCAACAATGTCAATAATAAATATGTTTCCAATATGCCGAGGTCACTCTACTTATAACGTCAATGTCTCATTTCATTTCATCTATCTCATCTCTTATCCAACTTTTAATCCCCATCTTTGATAAGGTTATTTATTGACATCTCCTTTTCCAAATTTTGAGTTGTCTTTATCTTCGTATCTAGCCATCGGTCTTTCTCCATACCTTAAACCCTCAAGTCAACTATCTTCAGAATTCCAACAGCCCGGATATCGCCTTTTCCCTAGTATCTCGTGGCTTTCTCGGAAACATCTTTATGATCTTCTCTCCGTCTGGGCAAAGCAACGGGTAAGCTTGATCCAGCATTCTGGGCATAAACCTTATGCACCTTTCCATCATCTTATTCACAACTTCCGTTCTGGGCAACAGCCTGGGCAGTGGGCAATCTAATCTGCACCTCATCTTGCAGCAAATCAAGTATATACGGAGGAGTAACACCAACAACCATCAACATGTCTTCCATGCATACGCAGTGGGTACTACACACAGAACAAGGATTAATTCATTCTGTATGGATAATGGATTGAATTCTTCTCACAAACTTCCAATCAAAAGTCATCTGCACGAGTATGTCTCGTACTCCTCCTCCACCTCTCCCGACCTCTCCCCCCTCTCCTCTCCTTTTACTTATCTACCGAGGAGGTTACGGCTTAACTTTAACTTCATTTTCTTGACCAACATTCATTGTTAAGAGGCCCCTCAACCACCCTCTTTAAGAAACCTGGAATTAGAAACCCCGAAGGCAAATATGGATACACCGTCTCCACAATCATCGGATCTAGATCAAGATAAGCATCATAAGGGACAATAAACCAATCATTGATATTCATTGTTCATTTTCCTTGCAGTGGCCATCATTCGACCAAACCCGTCTCCATAGATTCTGACATGGATAAACCTATCCAAGTCAACACAATGCTGCGGATAGTAGGGCTATGCGGCACGGAATTTATTTTCTAAATTTCTTATCGAAATATTCCTTCATTCCGTTTTCTTCCCATGATCTTCTCATTTCATTCACGAATATTCTCATCTTGTGGGATATATTTCTCGTACCTGGCATAAGCCTTCGATGAATTGATCATCCAACCTTCTTGTCCACACACCGTCAGCCAAGGACGTTAAGTTAGTGCCCCTAATATTTTTATATTTTTCTACTACATTATATATACGGAGTACTCTTTTATACATTGATCCTTTGGGCCAAGCAACTCGTTTATTGTGCGCTCGCCATGGCTTCTACCGATAATGCCGAGAAGAAGATCGATGAGAGTACCAGGGCTTCAGATTCATCCAATATTGAGAAGGGTGATGTCATTCCACGAAATGAAAACGCTGCGACGAGACACGAAGACCAAACAATCGCTATTCTCGAACTCGTAAAAGCCCAAGATGTTCATCATCCTATGCATTGGTCCGCCTTCAAACGATGGGGTATCGTGCTTATTTACTGTATGTTGCAGACTTTTGTTGCACTTACCAGTACAACTTATGTCTCCGCCGAGTTCTTGATACAAGAGAAGTTTGGAGGGACGACTCAAGTTGTTACTCTGGGCCAGAGTATGTTCATTTTGGGAACAGCGGTCGGTCCTATATTCTTGGGTCCATTATCGTAGGTTGAACACAGCATATGGCGCTCACTGCGATCATCGTGCTTGTGAACAGAACCATAACTGAACATTTACAGTGATCTTGGTGGCCGTAAATGGATTTATGTCATTAGCATTGCATTCTATGCAATTTTGAACTTTGTAAGTGACTCGAGGATATACCCATGGAATCTTTTTTAACATCATTTAGGGAACCGCATATGCTCTTAATCTTCCTATGCTCATCATCTTCATGTTCCTTGCGGGCACAGCTGGCTCTACTGCCCTTTCGAATGTAGCTGGTACAATTGCGGATTTGTTTGGAGATATTGATGGTGCTGGACAAGCAATGGCACTTTTCGTCATGTGTAAGATCCGAGAAATATTCCAGTCTCCGCCTCAGAAGCGCTAATGACTTGCATATAGCTGCAAATATTGGTCCATCTCTCGGTTCCCCCGTGGGGGAGTGGATAGCGGATAACTCGAACATGGGTCTTAAATGGATCTTCTTAATCAATGTAATTATTGGTTTTGCATTCGCTATCATCATGTGTTTCATTCCAGAAACATTACCAAGATTGGTTATCGCCAAAGCAGCCGCAAAGAATCAAACCGTTGATGATCAAGAAGCTGCTATCTTGACAAGCAAACTCAACGTTCTTCAAGAAATGAAGTTTATCACGACCATGACATTCAGAATTATGTTCACGGAACCAGTGGTTTTATTCCTTGGCTTGTACAATGGTTTCGCTTACGGTATCCTCTTCTTATACCTTGATGGAGTATTTGATGTTTTCGTCGTCAATAACGGTCTCTCTTACATCGGTGCGGATCTCACGTACCTCAACTTCGTCGTCGGAGTAGTCGTCATGTTCCTCTTCGTTCCGGTTCAAACTTGGTTCTACGCGAGAGATCGTAAGAAGCATGGTATCAACCGACCAGAAGCTAGATTCCTCACTTCTTTAGTTACCGTCTGGCTTTTCCCAGTCACACTCCTTTGGTTCGCTTTCACCTCTGATGGAAGCGTATCTTATTGGTCACCAGTTGTCGCGGGTGGTGTTCTTGGTTTTGCAGATCCATTATTATGGCTCAGTATGCTTAACTACATTACTGGTATGTTTTCATTTTCAATCCATCATTAATTACCCCTTACCTTACATCTCGCTAATTTCAATTCCTTCACTGTAGACTCCTATCCCAACGTCGCCGGTGCCGCGATCGCAGCTTTCCTCATTCCGTCCTTTGCTCTCGCAGCTGGTCTTGCTCATCTCGGTGTCCTCATGTTCGATAATATGTCGACGAAATGGGCTATGGGTACTATTGGATTCATTAGTATTGGCCTGTGTGCGTTGATTTACTTTATCTATTTCTTTGGTGCGAAAGTAAGAGCAAGATCGAAGCTTGCGAGAAGATTTTAGTTGTTTGTTGTATGGATATATGTGTGTATGTAGGTATGAAATGATGGATAGATGCATGAATGAGTAAATAAATGTATGGTAGAATCTTGGATTGGTGGATTGATGGGATAAGGTGTATGAGATTTTGCTTAATTAGCATTGTATTGTACTGTATTGTATTGCATTGGGTAGCGTGGATTGAATAAGATAGGGTTAAAAGTTCTTTAGCGGATGAATGGGTTTGTAGATGGATGATAGTGATGTATATTATAATGTATATATATAGAGAGAGAGAGATGTTAGATGTTAGATGTTAAATATTAGATATGAACCAGACGATGGGGAAATGTCATTTTTATTTTTTTACTTCCTTTTTATTTATTGTTTAATAATATGAAGAAATCTCCGTATGTATAAAGAAAGTACCTATATTACTAAGTAATTCAACTAAGGTTATGAAAAAGTTTATATCTAATTATAAAATCACTTCATAATCTTAATTTTAATTCTCTAGAACCAAAGAACTGGGAATTGATTTTACTTACTTGATGTTTTATAATCTTATATGAGTATCTAGTTAATATGATTTGGTTTTTAATTAGATTACTCTTTGCGGGACTGTTGATTTATCTATTATTTGGTGATGGTTTTTTTCTTATTCTAATCTTAGACTCGGGTAGAAGGGAATTTGCAATTAGACAAGGAAAATGATAGAGAGAAAAGACAAGGAAACTAATGCATTCATTCATTCGTTTCGTTCCTTCGTCCGTTCTTTCAAGTTAATAAATATAATTGTTCTTACTATTCAAAGGGCCCTTTATATCCCCCTTCAGGCCTTTGATCAAATAACCCTAAGCGACCTTTTAAGAACAATGGCATTGTGTAGTAGGTTCTTAGATACAATGCAGATGTGCTCCCTACACCAACAACAATTTGACTTGAAATAATATAAGGGAGTATGAAGAAAGGAGCAAAGAGAAGAGGAATTGAACATGTTTTAGGATAGAAAGATAAATGACTTGGATATTTCAGAGATAGGATTTTAATTTCAATCATTCATTCGCACTTCAATCACACAATGTATACAACACAACACAACACAACACAACACACATACAATCCCGCACCAATAACTCGCGAACTCGGTAAGTATCCTACTCTTATACATTTTCTACTTCTATCCATCTAAATCTCCAGCAACATGCAAGACACAAAGATGCAAGACACAAAGACGCAAGCTACAAATATACCAAAAAAAATATCGCAAGATATAATCATGCAAGATATAATAATCCAAGAAGCAATCATGCAAGATATAATCATGCGGGATATAATAACGCAGACGCAGGAAGTCATCATGATGGAAACGATTATTGAAGATCCGCCTGTACGAGATATTATCATGCAAGATAATAGCATTAGTATTGAGGATTCTATCAAGACGAGGGAAGATATTATTATGAGTAATACCAGTACCAATACCAATACCATTCCTATCCATGAAGAGATAAGTTCTATTCCCTCTGACACATTGATGGAAATGGAAATCGACGCAGTAGCAGTAGCAGTAGCAGGAACTCCAGATACCATCATGGAAGATCTAGTATGCACCGCAAACTTAAATCTAGAAGTACAAGTACAAGAAAGATACATGGCCGAGATGGAAATAGATACCCCACTCGAGGATATAGATACTATCATGGCAGAAGCAGTTCTAGGACTTGAACTAGAAGATACGGTCATGGAAGATGTAAGTAAGATTACTCCCACACAAAACCAAAACCAAAACCAAAACCAGAACCAAAAAAAATCTTCCTCTACCCGCTGGAAACGCTATGGAAAGAAAAACCAGTAGATAGATAAATCTCTGGTAGGTATACAGGTAGGCATACAGGTAGGTTGGGATACTTGGAGCAGTACTTGGAACGTATCGGTATAGTTTGCAATTTCTTTTTTTTTCAAGATTAGATTACTGTTTTCTGTTTCAGAAATCTACTGAACGCGCCACCTCTCAGCAAGCATTCTTTCCTATCTCATATTGTTTTTTCCGACTCTTATCAGGCTGGTCCTATAAGTTAGTCAACTCCCAGGCTGGCCCTACGAGTCAACTCTGGTACTCTTTGCGATTAGATTTCCTTGATAATTTAAAATTAGAAAAAAACAAAAAATAGAATTTCTTTATGTTATAAAACAACAAGCTTTTGTGCTAATGCTAATGAAATTGATTGATTGATTCGTGATTGAGAAAATTTTTCGTAGTAGTTATAAATTAGCTACGAGCTAGTCCGACAACCCCTAATAATGGAAATAGTAGAGTATTCATATTGAGAGATTTCTACTTTACTCTTAGCAATAGGCTTTTCTTGATTTTAGACCTCTGCTTATAAATCTCTATACTATCTTACTTGAGACAGTATAATCAAAAATCCCATGCAAATTCCTGGCTTAGAAATCTCATCATGATAATCATCATCACAACTAGAACCGGTTCCTCATTTCGTGAAACTCATCATCGTAATCATAATTTATATCATCCATCTCAACTCAATTCATTTCAATTCATGCCACAATATAAACACGTAAACGTTCCCCAAAACCCCCCATGCCATGCCGCATCCAATCCACCCACTGAAATATACAGTGTATTCACAAGCACAGTACAAGAAACCAAATGAAGCACAAACCACCAATAGGCATAATATCAACATAAACCCAAAACTCCTCTTTTCATATCTTGAACATTTTCATCGTTCCCCAAGTTCACGAAGTTACTCGACTGTGATTTCCGCTGTTGGATCCTTTCTAATATCCAATTCCATCAAACCCTCTTTCTTTTCAATGACAAGACCCTTCTCATTAGCCAAATGTAATAGACAGATAAAACAATAACTGGTTGAGATATCATTCATGACTTGTTTTGGGTATACAGTCTGGAGGTTTTGCATGACTGTTGTAAATTGGAGGGTTTCATTTTCATCAGTAGGTAATTTAAGAGGTGGTGTGGGGAGACGTGATGCGGAAAGTGAGGTATCCTGTTTTAATCTATGTTAGTGATAAAGTTTGGGGTTGAGATACAGGGTATGAGGAACTCACAGGTTGTTCAGGCTCACTAAATCCAATACCCTTCCATAATTCCTCTTTCAGTCTCCTCACATCAACCTTCTTAGCAACTCTAGCATATTGTACATATTCTGGTCTTAATCTTCGACTCTGTGTAACCAATTGTGTACCGAAAGCACCTTCTTCGCCGTCAACACCTTGAGGTCCGGCATTTAATATAGCAGTGATACCATCGATACCACCTGCACCTTGTCCTTGAGCTCCAGGTGAAAACTGTTCGCGTGCATCGGCGAATTCCAAATCATCATCGTCGTCAATACCACCCGGCATTGCCAAACCATCATCTTGAAAGAAGTTGGCATCGTAATCTCCATGAGGTGGAGCCTCATCCTCCAACGTGTGAGCTGGTTCTTCTTTTCGCGCCCAATAATCTTCACCAATTTCACCTTCAGGGATGTCATCCTCCTTCTTTTGACCAAAAGTTCCAGATTTTGCTCCAAATCCAGATTTTCGACTACCCATTCTAGCTTTGGGCTTAAGGAAAAGGCGTAACAACTGTTTGGAGTTAAAATGCTTATCATCGGGAAGAAGATTCCTCGTTTTAGATTTCCAGTCCTTCTTTGGGAGAGATATTGTAGCATTGGTTGCTGCATGTGTATAGATAGTTTCAGCTAGGCTAGCACTTAGTGGAGACGTAAAGTCAATCTCGAAAGGCTCTTTCTCCTTGCGAATCTTCGTAACTGCTGGCTTGTTGACATCTTTAATCTTTCGTATCCTCCAATGCTCAGGACCGGCCCAGTTCTTTTGCAAGGCCTCGTCGAAATAACTTAAAATATCGTCATGTCCACCTTCCGTCTTTGAACCACGATCAAGAGAAATGACGTACTCGCCGGTCTCGGGATCGAATGAACCAGCACGCCCTTCTCCATCCTCGCCATCGCCACCATCATTGTCGTATCCTACATCGTGAACTCGCATTCGTGGTTCGATCGCGGCGTCACGAGCCCAAGCTTCACCACCTTCACCAAATCCAGCATCATCTGGAATATCGAAGTTTCCGAGGAGGCCGTCATCGTCATCATCAAATCCAACTGGGTTGTCATCATCGAGGAAAATGCCAGATCTGTTACCTACCCCATTGTCTTCTGTCTTGTCTTTATCTTGTCGCCAATCTTCCGGTGCCTTTAAGAACGGAATGTCCATGGAACCAGAAGGATCTCCAAGGTCAAAATTCTTCAATGATGGACATATATCCTGTTCTTCAAGGAAATCCAAGTTTGGGAAAAACTTGATACCTAAAGCCTCCACATCTATCTCTACATCATCTTGATCTTCGTCCTCATTGTCATCATCTTTTAGCGTAACATTTGCCGATTCTAAAACTTCTTCCTGATCCTCTTCAATAGCATCATCCTTTCGTCTTCTGCCCCGTCCTTTTGCTGATGCGTCGCCTGCATCATCACTACTATCAAAAACTATACGTCCTTTAGAATCGATTGAGAGATGATTTAAGAGAAGACCCTTGGCTCCGCCTTCATCGAAATCTGCAGATGCTTTTTTGAATAAAGGATCAACAGAAAACTCAAGTTCAAACTTTTTTAATTGTAATGCTGAAAATGAAGTTGCGAGAGTCGCTTCTGATGAACGTTGAGTCTGAATTTATGATTAGCTACGGTTTTTTAGTGCATGTAAGTAACAATGGTGTCAAAATCAAAAAGATTTTGCCAAATAGAGTTGTTACAATTCGAGTGTAGTGGTTTAGTGATTTGACGAATGCAAAGATGAAGAATTATATCAGCAAACCGCAACATCTTCACAAACTCACTAGTAAATCAACAATAGTATATAAAAGCTCAATTGCAAGCAACAAAACTATTTACCCCTAGCTGCGAGTATAAGTTGGGAGGAAAAGTGTGACACAAGGTCCCACCCAATAAACAATGGACAAGCGCCCTCCAATCAGTCCAGAAACAATATCACAGATAGATGTGGTTGAAATGTGCCCAACCTCATTTCCACTTCACTGGGTTTCCTCTGTGGAACAAAAGATAGAGTAAAAACGTATGGGGAAAAAAGGTACATACAACAGTGGGGATTCGCTGGTGGTCACCCACCCAACTACTAATCCACCGATCTGAAGCTTGTGTATGGCAGAGCGGACGGGATGCCCAATTCTCTTCAGTCTGTGGTCGTATGTGACACAAAGGGTCTCATTTGATATTATATTCAAATGAAAGTTCCTCTTCATCTCCATTTTCTCAAAACATGCCACTAGACATCAGGCCTAAGTATCCCCATTACACTCCACCAATATGCAGTATGCGGTAAATAAGAGGTAAATATAGTTTTGGTCCGCACTGATAACGTTTGAACATCTCAACTATGAGACTCCACCAGGTATCAAAGCGCATGTACTCAGGCTGAGGAAAAATAAAGCAAGTATGGATGTGCTTCAGACGTACCCTTTTCTTGGTCTTCTTCCTCACAACCCCATCCTCGTCTTCGACCTCTTCTTCGCTCTCATCACCTTCACCCTCACCTTCTTCATTCTCGCCTCTCTTCTTTTTGTTGTTCCCGCTGTCTGCTAATCCACTCAAAAGTTTGCCGGTCTCTGTAGCCACACTGTCGACTCGACTCGTGTAAATCTTCACACATCCATCAAGAGTGCAACTAGCCTTTTGGAAATTGACCCCATCACCCTCCTTCAAAAGTGACATATCATGGAAATAATCAATCAGCGCAAAGTTCCAGGAGTTGGCAGCATTGATCTTGTTGTCTGTGGCCATCTTCATCCATTCTTCGAAATTTGCGAGAATTGGAACACGCTTCATGGGGGTTACTGCGTTTCCCCCCACCATCATAACCCCGCCATCGAGTTCATTCTCTTTCCCCATACGCCCTGGGGTTCTTTGGTTTGAAGATGGCGAAGAGCTCCCTGCTCGGTTGAAATTCACCAATTTTCGTGGAGTTGCGGCTTTTTTGATTTCGTTCATCTGAGTTTCGTGATGGGCATTTCTTGATTTTAACCGTCTTGCCTTTTCTTGCGCATCATCATTGAGAGCCAATTTCACTGGCGATGTATCGTTCAAGGGTACTCTATTTCAAGTCAGTAATGAAAGGTCTTATGTTGCACAGCGCGCAAATGTAAAGTATCATATCTGCCAAAGATATGGACTTCCAAATACCATAGCAACCAGGGAATTCATACTTCACGGGAGATTTTGCGGGAGTCGATAAAGAGCCAGAAGCAACTCTGCCTCTACTCGCATTTCGATTTTGTACGACTCTAGGCATATCAAAAAAAATAAAAAAATTATCGTGGTAGACAAATCTGTTGCGATGATGCTAATAAGTTTATTAGAAGTTTGTTTATTTTCATTATTTACATTTGGCAGAGACAGCGGGGATCGAATGCACAAACCCCGGCGTTAGCTAAAATAACCTCAGGTATCAAAAGAATGGCTTACATAATATTATTGCTTCGGGAGTCGGCACTTTTAATGGGACTGACTGCATGGGATTGCCACATTCATCATGATAAATTCAAGGGTGTCGAGTTCTTTATAATTCATTCACAGATTCCCAAATCAGATAAATATTGAGTAAGAAAATATCTCCTTTTCATCCTAGCACGACATCAATTTCTCATCGCAAAAGTTGCAAAATCTTCACTCCCTTTCAAGACCTTTCACCACTCTATAAGAATAGCCGTTAAATTTGTCATTGATCGCTCTTATCAGTTTTATCGATAAGGTTATCCTTACCTACTTTTTGGTGCTAGTTCTGAAGTGAAGGTGGATTCGTACGCTTGCCATTCGATCTTATGACGACGATTCCTTTTACTGCCGGAATCTCCTTTTAATGATTTGCACCATACATGAATGAGCTCTGAACGGCTTAGCTAGCACAGCCCGGGTTACGCCTTCGAGCTTTTGCCTTGTGTCGGAGGCCTTTTGCTTCTCATGAACTTGTTGATATTTTTATCATTGTAATCGCACTTCAACGACGAGAGCTTTAGGTCCAAATCAGATCATGCATCAAGCATGCATCGAATACCCTCCCATAAGATGCCATCCCGCTTACCGACACGATCCAAATACAGCTTTCGAGCTTTCTATCTCACCACATTAATCATCTCGTCATTAGCTGTGATAAGCCTTGTCGCAGACCAGAGCGCGAAATACCGTCATGGTTCCCAATATGGCGTGGCACAAAAACGAGCATTGGATGCGCTGGACAGTGGGAGACTTGTGAAACGGGATGAAGAGGTTTGTGGACACCAAAGGCGATGTGAAAGTTCTGTGCTAAATATCGGCGTTATAGTGTCGTCTTGTTCACCATGCCGAGGATAAATGCGGATTCATACTAGATAATTGTCCCGATGAAACTGCTGGGCTCCTAAATTACCTCTCGCTCTACTATTGCAAATTACCAAATGCTCAACCTGTGGCTTTCACCATTCTCATACTATGGCTTGGATTGCTGTTTTCGACAATTGGAATCGCAGCGAGCGATTTCTTCTGTATCAATTTATCAACAATTGCGAGCATACTGGGGATGAGCGAAAGTATGGCCGGCGTTACATTCCTAGCTTTTGGTAATGGCAGCCCGGATGTATTCTCGACGTTTGCTGCAATGAGTTCGCATAGTGGCAGTCTTGCCGTAGGTGAGCTCATTGGAGCAGCTGGATTTATTACTGCAGTTGTCGCAGGATCGATGGCTTTAGTTAGGGAGTTCAAGGTTGGCAAAAAGACATTTGTGAGGGATATTGGTTTCTTCATAGTTGCAGCGAGCTTCAGTATGGTGTTTCTTGCCGACGGCGCTCTTCACCTATGGGAATGTTTTGTGATGATTGGGTTTTACCTTTTTTACGTGGTAACAGTGGTTATGTGGCATTGGTACTTGGGAGGGCGAAGACGCCATCGTGAAAGAGAAGCTGCAGCGCGTGGCCAGTACTTAGCAATGACAAACGAAGAAATAGAGGTCACCGAAGAAGATGGTGACGATGAAGATGCGCCAGCAGGAGAGAGGGGCTTCCATGGTAACGAAGATTTTGCGGCATTAGAACGTGGCTCTAGTCCTCATCCCCGAGTACCAGAAGACGAAGACAGTGATGAGGATGGAGATGAGGGTAGGCACATTGCTGCTGAGGTGGCTAGCAGTATGCGAGTAATCAGAGCATCTGGTAGCCGCAGGAATACCATAACTCCAATTCGTCCCAGTTTGGTGGGCGCTCTAGAGTTCAGGTCGGTTCTATCATCGTTACAAAAGTCTCGCGGCTCTCATGGCCCACCTATAATTTTACGACGATATTCAGACGATCCATCAGCATCAATTGATCAACTTAGGACATCTGCAACAACATCGGCTCCGGCCTCGGAATATGCCTCGAGTATTAATCCTATTGAGATCGACGACAACGACACGGAGCGGTCTATGCTAGACCCCAAGCGTAGTAGGGCTGTCTCTTTGAACGCTGCGTCAGCCCTAAGACCCACTGACCCTACCGCATTTACTGCCGCAAATGTGCCAGATATTGGCATCGTGGCAGCCACTCCAACTTTTCCACGGCTGTTAGATGTGCCATCTACAACTAGCAGCCCCGCTCCTAAGTCGCCAACATTATCTATCTCGCCTCCTCCGTCTCTAGATGGATCACAAAGTCACAAACTATTCACAAATAGCACACCGCGCTGGAACGATGATTTGTTGGCACCACCTGGAAATGACTCTCCAGCAGTGTCACCACGACATCCCCGTACTCCAGACGAACGACCTAAGATTTCACCTACCAATTCTAGTGGATCGCGAACAGTACAACGACCTCGACTTCAAATACCGAACTCATCGAGGGATAGTTCGCGAACTCGGATACAATCGCCCATATTACCATTTCCTCTGTATATGGATTCGCCAGCGTTCATGTCGGCAGCTAGCTCTAAGGCTCCAAGTATTGTGCTACCGGATTCGGAAATCACGCCCGAATCAGTTAATTTGGAGCACGAGTTGTACTATACGGAAAGACCAATTAGGTGGTGGCCATATCGCATATTACCCAGCCCACAAATCGTACTTTCAGCTTTGTTTCCTACACTATGTACATGGAGAGACAAGAGCGGGTGGGATAAATTTATTAGCATTGTCTCGGCCCCTAGTATATTTCTTTTGGCAATCACACTGCCGGTGGTCGAATCGGAATCCAAAGATGAGGACGAAAAGATAGACTTTGCTGAAGAAAGAAGGGAATCTGGCACACCAGGAAGGAGGAATACTGGCCCGATATTAATCCCGGATAGCCCATCAATGATCTCTGAAGCAGACCCCGAATGGTCACAATACCAACGAAGTCTGCGTGACACTCATTCCGAGGAATATCCTCGTTCACCTGTTTCGAATTTCAGTCAACACAACACTGCCGCAGTAGCAATCTCGGCCGAGAGTCATCATCCTCATTCTCGTCCAATTCCAATGTCACCCCCCAAGAGAGTCAATTCGACCCACGAGGATGTAATTCATAGTGGGCCTGGAGTAGAGCATTCTAGAGGCTGGAACCGCTGGCTTGTCGTGCTCCAATTGTTTACAGCACCTATCTTTGTGGTGTTGATATTTTGGGCTAATAGTGACGATGGTGACTTAAAGTCGCTCGCACGCCTGGTTTTGTTTTCCCTTCTCGGGTCTTTGGTAGCGATTGCCATTCTTGCATTAACAACGACCCCTTCGAGGCCCCCCAAACATCGTTTCTTGCTTTGTTTCCTTGGTTTCGTCGTCGCTATTGCTTGGATTTCCACTATCGCCAATGAAGTTGTCGGAGTTCTCAAAGCGTTTGGTGTCATTCTAGGAATCTCAGATGCAATACTTGGTCTTACTATTTTTGCTGTTGGCAATTCATTAGGCGACCTCGTCGCCGACATCACGGTAGCCAGATTGGGATATCCAGTTATGGCACTGAGCGCCTGTTTTGGAGGACCGATGCTGAACATTCTCATCGGCATCGGTGTCAGTGGCGCATATATGACGATCAAAGATGCTAACCACAAACACTTCAAACACCCGAACAAAGATATCAAGTACAAGCCATATCAAATTGAAGTCAGTGGTACGCTGATGGTCAGTGCCATAACTTTACTGATCACTTTAGTCGGGCTCCTCATTGCGGTACCCATGAATAAGTGGGTGATGAGCAGGAAGATTGGATGGGGCTTGATCATTCTGTGGTGTATTAGTACAGTAATCAACGTTGGTGTGGAAATCAGTGGGGTATGGGGTGATAATTTGGACTTATCTACCTTTTTTTCGTGAGCTTTCAGATATTGTTAATGCATGGGATGAAATATGTTTATAAAGAGACAAGAGGGAGATAGAATTGTATTATACCCCCGAGTTATAAGGTAGCTTTTTGGGTATGATTTCAATGGATGTAATATATTGAACCATCAATACTTTGTTGAAGAGAATGAGAGGAATACTCCTTGACTTAGCACATAATTATCATTTTCATGTTTTGGTAGGTATCTAGGTAGTTAGTGGTATCTCTAGCTGGAGCCATCTAATGTCACTATGTATACAGTTGTAGTGAATGGCTGGATAGATAATAATCACATAGATGAAAGAGTAAGATTTTATACCTGCAACTACCTGGTGGGTAGCTCGTCTGAACTTGAACCCATTAAATATTAGCCTTGTATCTAAGGATTTAGAGTTCATCCGAATCTTATCCGGTTCGAGACACCAAGAAACTCCCGCCCCGCTAAAGCACATCGGACAAGACAACAAAGTGCTCCCTCCCGACGATGAAATAGCATACCCAGCAGGATACCTACGTAACCTTAACAACTATTCTACCCCTCACTCCACCCTTCTCGAATTAATTAAGATCACTCTTGTAAGACACCATCTTTTGCGACGATCTGCAAAAGCTTAACACTTTCTTATTCACACCACAGTATCTTCTAGCCTTCGAGTTAACCTCGCTGGCTATCGCGATAATGAGCACCATGCTCCCAGGGACACACGTCTTCTCTCATCAACATCAATACAATCCGCAGGTTGACCAACCATGGATGCAACAGCAGACCCACCATCAACAGGCGCAGCAGCAGCATGCGGCGGCGGTATCCGCTCATTACAATCGCATGGCGGCTCAAAGTCAAAACCACAACGCCGCAGTACCTTCAATCTCTTCCAACCACGGACAAGACCCGGCTATGATCGACTCCAACGTTTCGGAGGAGAATAGAAGGACTTTGAACTTCATTGCAGATTTACTCAATGAAGAGACCAGGGAAGCTGCCCTTCTAGAGCTCAGCAAGAAGCGCGAGCAAGTCCCAGAGCTTGCATTGATATTGTGGCACTCATTTGGTAAATCACGCAGCCGGATAGGATAATGAGGTTTACTGACAGATATAGGTGTTATGACATCACTTCTCCAAGAGATAATATCTGTCTATACTCTACTAAACCCCTCCCAACTGACCGCCGCCGCATCAAACCGAGTCTGCAATGCCTTGGCACTTCTACAATGTGTTGCTTCCCACAACGAGACTCGCGCCCTCTTTCTAAATGGTTAAGTCGCCCGGACATCGATCTACAAAGCGCAGTACTGACATCAGTAGCTCACATCCCTCTCTTTCTCTATCCCTTTCTCAACACGACTTCTAAATCCCGACCTTTCGAGTATCTACGTCTTACCTCTCTCGGAGTCATCGGCGCTCTTGTCAAGAATGATTCATCCGATGTTATCAACTTTCTCCTTACTACCGAAATAATTCCACTATGTCTTCGAATTATGGAGACCGGATCAGAACTCAGCAAGACAGTCGCAATCTTCATTGTGCAGAAGATCCTTCTCGATGACCATGGTCTGAATTATATCTGTGCCACATACGAGAGATTTTACGCTGTCGGTACAGTACTCAGCAATATGGTTTCACAACTTGTGGAACAACAAACGGCACGATTGTTGAAACATGTTGTCCGCTGCTTCCTTCGGTAAGAATATCTCTCATGACGTATTATTTCAATTTCACTAATATGACGACTAATAGTTTGAGTGATAATGCTCGAGCCCGAGAAGCCCTCCGCCAATGTCTCCCCGAACCTCTTCGCGATGCCACATTCTCCTCAGTCCTACGCGATGATGCTGCTACAAAACGATGCCTTGCGCAGCTCCTCATCAATTTATCCGATAATGTTGTTGAATCTTCATCTGGTCACCAAGGTCTTTGATCTCCAGTTCCTCCTTCCACTTTCAATGTACAATTATAAAAGCACCGATACGACGCAAACGAGCATGGGGGATTTCATCTTCGGTTTTGCATAGACATAACGATACCCGGTCTTCTTTTCGGAAATGTCGTAGGTCTCTGCAGCTGGTCATCAAGGGATTCATAAAAGCATTGCGGGGCAAATAGGGTTGGTCTGAAGGGTGTTTTACGCGGCTTGTTTCAATGAAGGTAAGGGCTGACAGTTGCAGCTCTCCATCAACTCAAGGGACTTGGGCCTTTACTCTCAAGGCGGTTATTTCCTTCTTTATTTACATTGCTTGGTGTCTACTACTCTGTACTTTGTCGTTTCGAAGGCGTTTGGGGCTGTCTTATATGCTGCACTATAATATAATGCTGCTAGGGAAATGGTTTGTAAAGTAGGCGAAGCTTCAGCGTTCAGGAATAGAGATACATTCTTGATCTAAGCGTAAACATAAAAGCAATGTATAATAAGCATAAGCATCTATGAATACTTTGTAGATATTGTTAACACATATAATACTGTCGGGAAGAATGACTATGGGATGCTTGTGTCCGGTTTATGAAAGTGAAATATAACCGGCGACGGGTGGACATAGGTAGTAGTTGAGCTACTCAGTACTTTTTGAAGTCTAGAATAACCTAGAGGTATGCTGGACTAAAATTTAAGCCGTTCTCCGAGCGATACTATGCTCCACTGGGCATCGCACAAACCGGGGTTTCAGACATGTCCGAATCTGCGGATCTTGCATGCTCGGCCATCTGGGATGTGCTGGATGGAGTGATCCTCGATAATCGTCGGTAGAGTAGGTAATAATAGATACACATTCTTGGTATTGGGTAGATTGGATTAATATTCGGATGAGAGTGAGTAGATTGTATGATTTATACTACCTAACCAAGGTAATTGGTAAGTCGGTAATAGGTACCTACCTAGGTCAATGTTGAAATTCTTGAAAATGAGAGATGCAAGAGGCTCAACCATCATGAATCGCCAAGTACCTACTCTAGGACTAGTGCGAATCTAGATAGATTCCATCCCCGCAATTGAATAGTAATCAATAAATAAATGCCACCCTCAGAAACTTAAAACTCTAAACTCTAATTCTCCCTTGCGGAACGTCGACACCCATTAGCCTTGGATTACGAAATGATTGAAGGAATGAAAACGTCACGCCATCTGCATCAAAGAGAATCGGAATATTGATAGATGGCTTGATATTGATCACTAATACATTTAAATCAGGTAAATTCATCACAGAGGACCTAACCTTATCAATTATTTTCCTCGCCACTGCACTTGGAAAGTCTTTACAGAGGCTACATACCGACATACCTACCCTGTAAGGCTAGCTGTCGCTCTGCGTCTCCAAGACTCATACGTACGTACATACATACATACAACCTTACGGCATATGTACCGCGTTTCATCCTGAGTCTAGGGGGCAAAGGAGCAAGTCAGTCAGGTCAAGAAGCTGACAAGCCTAGTACGGAGTACCTGGTCGTTAATTACCTCCTGGCTAGGTATCTTACATGCGTAAAAAAAGTCTATCTGATGACTGGAGAGAAGAATTGTAAGATCCTACCATTGCCGGGCTTTTGACGTTCAATTATATGTTCAATTATATGTTCAATTGTTTGTTCAGACTATCATTTCGGAGTCCGTTTACTTGAAGATCACATACACCGCTGACGACGACAAGTCATCTACTGGTAACAAGGCGTGATATATATTGCCTTAGTGTTCAAACGTCGAAAGGGTCCACCGTCCGTCCACCCCAATCCGTCTCCGCCAACACGACCCTGGGCGAAGATGAATTCTTCATACGATGATCTCCTTCCACATCGGGATAACTATGCTTTGACCATTCTCACTCAAGCGGCTATGCAGAGAAATTGTAATAATACCAACAATTGTAATAATACCAACAATCCTCCATCGAATAATTCCGATTCGCTATCCAACCCCAACGGTTCTAGCTTCCCGACTAATAATAACACTGGTAATAATAGTAATCATAATAATAACAATATTCATGCCTCTGGCAATAGTGGTGTCTCAACAAGCCGGGACGCCAATTATCTACCACGTGAAACGCCTATCACAACCTCCATCTCTTCATCTAGGATCACTAATCATCCCTCCGATATTTCACAATACAGTCTTCAGCCCTCATTACCCAACCTCGTTGAAGCTTACACAGCATCTCATCCAGCCATGGAAACACTTGTTTTTAATCCTACAGACCAATTCCCGCAGAGTGCCTACATGAACCATTCATTCCAACTAAGATATTCTAGTAGTCTGGGTATCTTGAATGCGGAGAAGTACGATGATGGTAGGGCTTCGTTAGGATCTCAAAGCCATAATATGATGAGTACGAAGAATCAAATGTCGGACCAGATACCCTTTGGAATCTTGGAAAGAAATGGAAATAGTAGTGATACGGGATCACCAAGTGAGGAGCAAGAGCAAGGAGGGAAGAAGCGTAGGAAGAGAGTCAGAAATGAGTCGCCGAGTCTGGAGGATGACGACGAAGATGCTCGCAAGAAGGCGAGAGGGAGACCGAGAGTCGATACTAAGGATGAAACTGCCGCCGATGTAAGTTATCTGCGTTTTATGTAACATTTTTATTTGGCAAAATCTCCTTGTTTTGCACAGTTTCAATATCAGGGGTAGGGTACTGGCCGCATACGTTCTTCAATACTTGGCGACATCAATAACATTGCTAATCATTACCCAGAGGCGGAGAACTCAAATTCGACTGGCCCAAAGAGCTTACCGTCATCGCAAAGAGACAACGATTTCTTCTTTAGAGAAGCAGGTTCAGGAGCTTCGAGGTACAAATGAAGAGATGAATAATATATTTCTCAGCCTTTACGATTTTGCCATAAGCCGAGGTCTTCTACAACGTGAGCCAGAGTTTGGTCAGCAACTTCAATCGACCACGGAAAGATTCCTTGCCCTCGCAAAACAGACCGCCAGTGATGATAATTTAAGGGACGATGTTGAATCACCAGACAATACTGCACATGAGTCCCATATTGAGACCAAATACTCCTCAAATCGTCGAAATACTCAACGTTCATCCCCTCCCATTTCACTCCCGGAAGAGCCCACTGTCACCGAGACGACACATCCTTGGGGCGGGTATATTGTGTCGAAGGAAACAAGTCATGAGGAAGAAAGGCAGACCGAATATAACCAGCAGGGCGCAAGAGACCCTAAAAATTTCGAGGTAATTAGCAGAGCAACCGAGGATAATGCTAGTTTTCCCTTCGACTTCATGAATCTCCAGCAATACCGAGTCGAGATACCTTCTCCTACCATTGATGATTTTTCTCAATTTCTTTTCCCGGAAGCCCAGGTCCCGCTTCCTAACACCCACTCTTACTTTGAGCTTTCGTTTGCACGTCGAATGCACCGCGCAGCGGTAGAGGTAGGTTATCAGCTGCTCACATCGCCAAATATTTCAAAAGATAAGTTCCAAAAGGTTTTTGGCTATTGCTTGAAATATGAAACCATGGAGAATGTTGCGTTTCGATTACAAAGGGTCCTCAACAGTTCAACGAAAGATACACTCCAGAACTGGCGCGCTCCGTTTGTTCACCTCGGAGGGGCAGGTACATACTATCCCAATCAAGGCCCTGACACTGACAATGAGTTCATGCCTAAGTTTCGCACTGGATTCTCCATGGGCCCTTTTCCCGCAGCACTCACACCAGTTTGGGAAAATATCAGTTCTGATATGAAATGTACTATTCCTGGATTTGAAGGTGACTTCTTCGATCCAAATGATGTTGAAGGATATCTCAGGGGCCATGGATTTGATCCTTATCCCGCCGCCGATTATATCACAGGTCAGATAGATCTCGAAGCTTTAGTCAAGGCGGACGGTTCAGAGACTGACAGCACTGACTCGAGATTCCCTCTTACACCTCGGAGTTCGACGGCTAAGGCCTCCGATGACACTAACCAAGGTGCATACGACTTTGATCATAACAATGGCGACTTAAGTAAGGAAGTTCAAAATGATAGCACCTCTTCTCTTATGAAATTTCTATCGTGGGATGCCAATCCTTTCAAGGGGACTAATCCCTTCGATTTATCCGGTCCGATATTTGATGGTACAGCCGGCCCCAATTCTGAAAATGCTTGTCCTACAGCTACTCCAAAGAACAAGAAACGTACTGTGACCATTAAAGTCGATACTCTGATAAAAGGTATGTTGTTTAGACATTAATATTTGGACTTTAGCTGATTTTTTTTTATAGAATTGGCTGTTCATGCATCCTGCTTAGGGCGCACTCCTGGATTCAGACGAGCCGATGTGAATGCTGCTATTATTGCAGCAGCAAAAGAAGCAGGATTTGAATGAGCCTCGAGTAAATCTGTTTCCTATAGCTGGGGAACCACGAATTTAGCACCTGCACGAACGCTATTCATTAAGATCGACTCTAATGATAGCTAACCTTAAAAAAACTGCATGCCGCCTACCAGTTTCGTACGAACTTTAAACCTATTAACACGCCTATGTCCACCTGAAATATCGTCTCCAAATATTTTAACTCTGGATTTATCGCTATATATTTAGTTTACAAGCATAAATCACTCCTCACCAGTCGTTTCATATATCGTTTGTTTTCAACATCTATTTACCTTGCGATTCAAATCCTTACAACGAAAATTCTACATTCGAAAAGGCGGATCGAAGTCAGTACATAACTTTCCAAATGAAACCATCTCTTGGTAGCATGCAAACTGATCATTTTCGGTACCGACAAACTTATCAAGGGAGGAGTCCGAAACAGGAGTTACGGATATGCGTTCAAAGGCCGACAGTGCGTCGTCCATTCAAGCTGGAAATCCCCTAGAGACCGGGCAAATGATTTTCACAATCGATCAGTCTCCAAAGTCTCAAATCCTCGTCATCATACGAGGCTACTTTGATCCCGAGCTAGATGCGTTACAACCATAATATCCTATTTCAAAATGCCGATCCTTCAGCTCAACTGTCTATAAATATGTAGCAGATATTCGGGGTGGCGAGATTTCAACTGAGGATCTTTATACATTTTAAAATAAGATATTCTGAATATCTGTTATACGGTGTGTTCAGTAGTCCGGGCTGTAAACCCATCAGACATTCATTTAAATCCTTGAAAATAATTCAATCATATTTAATTTATAACTTTATTGTCGTGAATGTTTTCACCACTATTCCTGTATCCAAAAGCGCTCTCCCCCCTAAACTACGAATAAATTATCATTCTCAAAATTCCAATCCCAATCAAACAATCAAACAAAGTCATCTCATCCCTCCCCCTAGTCTCCAATTTCCAATCTCATGAAATTCGGGTAGCTGGGAGGGAAAGAGTGGATAGAAAATCCTAAAAAAGAAGATTCAAGTTATTTTAATATTAATAATTATCCATTGAGTTACTTTAATTTATTTTATTATTTAAAAATACAAGTTCTTTAGACTTGCTGGTTGAGAGTGTATAAGGATGTTGATTTTAATGGATATAATCTTATATTTATATAATGAACCACATCTGAGGAATTGAAGTTAGATATCTTTGGTTTTACTTGTAGTTAAGGTTATGTGTCTGATAGTTCAATTGAAGATATAGTTCAATTCGAGATACTAAAGAGTTGGAAATTTTGGGGGTATTTTGATCTCTTGCTCCGATAGATTCAACAATCAAAGTGATTTCATGTTCACAAGATTCATTTAATTCTTATTGATAGACTCCTGTCTAGACAGTGTGACAAACTTAATCATGTAGCTCCTTCTAGTTCTTGGTGTCGTTCCTTCTTCATTTCTTAATGTCAAGATCAGAATGAAAACACAGTGAATATTGCTTTCCCCCTCCTCAGAAAAACATCAAATTCGCTCATCATCTTAAAATCGATCAATTATCAATTTTCTTCTAGCCTCATTCAGAAAGATGCCGATGAGAATTGAATTAGAACTATGTGTATCCGGTCTAAACGATCAGGCTGGAAAACACTTTGCCTATATGGCTGCAATTGCAATTCATGACCTGATATGCCTGAGTGAGGGGGAGGAACGACATTTCGCAGATTTATATGAAGTAGGCAAGATTTTTGATCAGACCCCTCCGCCTATGTTGCAAGAAAGAACCAGGCTCTCGAATTACCTATTGGCCCTAGATCGGGTCGTACCGAGATTCTGGGCAGTAAAACTCCAACTTACATGCCTTGAACACGCAGACAGATGCGATGTATTCAGAAAGCAGCTCAATTATCTGGAGAATTCTCCAAATATTGAGGACTCAAAGGAGGAGTATGAGTATTTGATTAGAGCGTCGGCTGAGGCTAGGACTGAAGTTTTGGGACATATCAACGCAGCCCGGAATTTCAACGTCCTCGATGGGCAGAATGCTTTACAATGGGCTTTTGAAGTTTTGGCCCATCAAGGACCACCGGAAGATTTATGGTTCATAAAGAGCTTGAAAAAATACTATCAGATTTCGAGACCACTAACGGATGGATTCAGTCTTGAACATTCCGAATTTGGTGATATTATTCGCGATGAAACTTGGTGTGTTGCTTCGGGAACTTGGGGCCCACCAAGTCGTCTGCGGCCTGTTAGGATCGTCCCGCCACAAATAAGCACGGATCATTTGGGTGCATTGTTTCCTGACACATCCTTTGGTAAACCATACCATCCCGAGAATGGTTTAATGCTCGACAGACAAATCGCAGATAATTTTGAGGCCGGTCGAATCTATATGGTACCAATAAGTAAGAACGATGATGGAGTAATAACGTGGCAACTCCGGGTCCTGGACTACAACCTTTTGCAACAAAGACACGATGGACTAGGATGTTCGTTTGCAAGACTTCATGAAGGGGAGTTGAAGTTTTTGGGTCTGTGGAAACCACGGCAAGACTTCCTGCAATTCCACTGGTTTTTCTGCTTGGCTATCTCAGCAGCAAGGAATTTTGGCAGCCGAAGAGTGGATTCTGAAGTGTCTCATGGTTGGCATGCTTGGGGATTGTTGGAAGATGAAAACGGGGTCTATCGAATGAGGAAAAGCTTACTCGAGGAGATGGACCGATACTCGGCTCGTAGGCTTCCTGCTCATCGGACGTCAAAAAAATCAATTATGGTAAGTTTGATGGCAAGGCTCTTCAATGTGGAAGAATGAAATGAAGGTCAATAGTTAAAATAGGGGGAAATGTAGTAGCCGCTAAAGCACTCTGAATGTTGGAAGTAGAGTGCAGGATTTTCTTGCCGTACATTGTCTATAACACAAAATAAATAATCACAGTATTTTTTCTTAAAAAAAACCGAATGGGGACTGATTGTATGATGTTTGATTCCACTTTGAAATTGGTTAATTACTAGGGGAAAATAAGAATAGTTCTTACTCTTCTTGATGTCGTGATACTACGATACATACCTTACCAAGGAAATTCTAAATGAAGTACGGGTACGATATTCATATAGGATGTAGTATGTATGTATGTATACAATTTGATCGTAAAGGCTAGCTAATTACCTATTCAAGAATCAGTATCGTGTTCTTTAGTGTTGTATTTGATCTTTAAATTTGAAAAGTTTACTAATTTATAGCTGGTCAGGTGGTTAGAATTTGCAAGTGAGGGGATTTTTTTTTAAAAAAGGAATTGGTTGTTGGGAGTGAAAGTGAAAATAAAGAGGAAGGAGGAGGAAGGGAAAAAGGAGGAAAAATGGGTCTTGCCTTGTGTTTCAGATGGAGAAACGCGTATAAATTACTTAATGGATTTATTTAGATTAGATACTCATGTTATGGTGTATTTCAAAGAAAGTTTCACGACTTCGTTTACTCGTATAAATTACCTAGAAAAATCACTGACATTGATGTAGGTTAGATAGGATATTCCAAAAACCCCTGAATTAACTTCTCGCTAATTTTTGTTGGTCCCGCCATATTTCTGGCGTAAGTATTATGCAGGATTGATGTCTGACAATTAAAAACTAGGTAGCCCGGGAAAATTATATCAATATTAATGAACATCTGAGTCGAATGAACTTGACATTGCGACAGGAAAAGAAGTGTTCAAATATGATTCCTCAGCCGAACCCAACACATCCGGAACTTAGCGTTGATAACGATTCAGAAAATCAAACCCGGCCCATATACACCCCCATGCACTGAATTCAAGTGTTTATAGCATAAACCGGAATCCGTAAACATTTGCAGGTACACCCAACAAAGATGTGCTCCACACTTACACACAATGTGATTACAACCGTAGGTCTTCTCAATACGAGTCTCACACTTGGGACAACTCTTGATCCCCAGTTTCTTCATCGATTGCAGCGTTTCCTCACAGTTTCCTGAGGTTTCGTCCTCGTGCTCCGCGCATGTTTTGTTCTCGTGTTGCTTGTGGCAATATGTGCAAATTACTGTGCAGCATTCGACACAAGTATTGAAATGCATCGTGTTAGTTACACGATAGGTAGTATTGCAATCCAGTTTTGGGCAATAGCGGAGTGTCTACGGGTTGCGCTGAATGTGATTTGTAAAGGAGGCTTCGAGGACGTCTTCGAATGCCTTGGATGAAAGAATCTGTTGTAGTTCTTCGAGGCTAAAGACTTGTTGACATTTTCTTATGTTGCTATGGCAATTGATTGAGCAGCAAAGAAAAGAACTTCGGACGTTATAAGACTTCTGGAGTTATCTACATTCTTTAACAAAGAAAGATTGTAGCCATATAGGTAGGGATATATAGACGCGGAACATATGAACTGCCTATTCTAGTCTCTAATTTGCTCGAAGCCGCGAGAATTTGGTACTTGTGCGTGGAAATGAGTAAAGAGGAATCGAAAACATATAGAATATTGCCAGGTATTATAGATAGCGAATGATATATACAATATTTACGATAGTGTGGTATGGAAATATATGTTGATAGTGAGAAGTTATGTAAATGATGGATGATGGAGGTAAATAATAGGTTTCTCAGCCTCATTAATTTATGCCTCATCAAGTGCGGTATGGTCGTTTAGGAGGTGTTGATGATAGAGAGATACATACCGCTCAGTACCATGAGAGACTGTTATCTGGGCGTGGTAAAATAATCTCTAAATCGAATTCAGATTAAATCATACTTTTTATATTTCCTCACTAGTCTTAAAAAGAAGGTAAGCGAGGGTGAAGCCGAGTGCTCAACAAATACTACATGCAATTTCGTACTATGTAAAAAGTACTACGATATTCTGGCGAGACTATGCCGAAAACAAGGAGCTCTTGTTATCTATAAAAGTAGGACCAGAATCTTAGTGTGTTTTTATAAATCATATATCTATGCATCAGCATAATACGAGAAATAAGGCTTTAGCTCGGCCGGTTGAGGTAAAATGCAGATAGGATGACTATGAAAAAAAAGGGGAGTAAGACAATGTGTTCTGATGGTTCGTTTTTATTTTCTTAATATTAAGGGGTATAAAGTAATTCTATTTGTGATAATGAGATATGGTGATGACAGGACAGAAGAAGAGGTGATATTAAGATTAGAAGAATTGTAAGGGTTTGATATAATAAGAACATAGCATCATTACAAAACAATATTAGCAAAAACAATGATACTAACAATAACTTCTCACTTCATTTAAAACCACATCTCCGACTCTCAAAAGAATCTTCCCATCTCAAAAACCACTCCATCAAGATCCTATCCTCGAAAAGTACTACAGAATTCATCTAGGTAATGTCAAGGTTCCTATGAAGACGAAAAACGAACTTGCTTTGATCTTGATATGGTTATCATTTCTAAACCACGATATTAAAATTATTTATACCCTTACACTCAGAAATAACATCTCGAAAAGAAAAAAATTCTTAGAAATACAAAGCATAGATAGGAAAAACGTGAGATCACTCAGAGTTGATACTATAAAGTATAGATACTTTATCTCCTTGTCATGATATGATCAGGTTTTGAGAGTATAAAAGGGGCTTGGGAGTATATTTAAGTAAATTTAGAATCATAATAAACAAAAGTATACTTTATGTAGAGAAGGGGGTTTTATGAAGGATGATTCAGGTTTAAATTCAATATTATTATATATAAAAGAGATAAAGTCAGTGTAACGATACTTTACTGGAGGCAGCGACTGCCTGAGGTTCGTCTGGTTAGTAGTTTTGGGTTAAGGCTTTATCACTGGTATTCACTTGGAAGTGAAGTCGTTACTAGATCAAGTAGAATATAAATAAACTAATTGATAACTAAGTTGAGCATAAAGCTCCTATATTATGAAACTACTCTGATTATATATTACTACTACTATTAGATAGCCTGGATAAACTGGTCTACCCGGGCTATCCCCTAGACTGGATAGACTGATCTATCTAGTCTATCCATCACGTGATCTTTATTGGCCTCAGGATACCAATCCTGGGACGATTATTATCTTAGGACGCATACTATCCTAGCTCCCCCTGATCTCCCAGGACACTTGTCCTATTCCATTGTGGTTGCCTAGAACGCTTGTCCTAGGATTCCTAGGTTCCTTATCGCCTGCGATAAGGAGCCCCGGTAATCGGCAGCCAATTCACCGACATTCACTATACCACTATAATCTCATCCGTGGTTCGTGACACCCTATCCCTATCCCATCCCATCCCATCCCCTCAATATCCAATACCCAACATCTCAATACCCTAAAAATAACCCTCCCCCTTCTCCCTCCCCGCCTCTCACCCTCTTTCATCCAATCAATCCAATCAATCAATTTAATTATCATTACTCATATTCTCACTCACACTCACATCTATATCCAGAGTGTTACGAGGTTTGCCGTCTAGATCACGTGGAAGTGCTTTAGGCTCTCGAGGTGGTTTATAACTAGGCGTCAAGCAGGGACTTAAGTAATGACAAATAATGATATGCAATTCGTAACTAATAGTAGAGTATACTAAATGATTGATCTTGAGCACGAAGCTCTATACAAAGGAAATCCGTCTTGATTATATAGACCTTCATGCTTCGTGGCTCGAAGGGAGCGAAGGGATCGAGCTTCGATCCTTTCGCTCTCCTCGATCGAAGGGCTCGAGAGGCCAAGCCTTCGAGCTCTTCGAGTTCTCGCATCACGTGTTATTACTAATCCTGTGACCTAATTGTTACCCGTCGTAACACAGAGTATGAATAATAACAATAATCATAGATTAATTTTTCATGGATTTAAATTTAAATTTACTAAATAAAGAAAAGAAAAAGAAAAAGTAAGTATTGTGAATAATATATTAATTGTTAAAGTGAATGGTTCCTGCGTAGCACGTGCACAGGGCACTAGTCCTGTTAGGACTAGATTGAGAAGCTCTCTTACAGAGAGCTTCGCACTTCCGTAGAACTTAGAAGAGAGATTAACCTACAAGACCAATATTACCTCAGTTCTGCCCTATCAGCTTCCCACTATTCCCTGTGTGAGGTCATTCCTTTTAACATTAATCTTAATTATAATATTTGCCTTAAAAAAACAAAAACCAACATAAAGGGGAAGAGAAGCAAAAAAAGAAACAAGAAAACACCCTCTCACCCGTAAAAGTAGGAAGAGAAGCAAG